GGGGGGGGGTGTCTTTTTTCTACCTACAATTCGAATTTATACAGCAAAATACTCCCCTCGTTCATGTTTGTGCTAGGAGCTTCTAGGATCATAGTAGATCTATACAGTAGGAAGGGAACGTAATCCTGGACCCCGAAGAGCAGGCTTATAATCAAACCATCGGAGTGGCAAAGCCGAAACAAGGCATAAAATTGGTTCAAAGGCAGGGTTCAAGTGGAAGGATTCGACTATATCAAGCTTGATCCCAAGGACACAAAAACGACGGGGCTTATAGAAGCAGACAGTGACTTTCTGCTCCTAAACTTCATCCGTGGTTTTTCACGCTCAGTCTAGAGGCAAAGGGAAAAGTGGGGTAACGCATCGAGATACCAAGTCAGGTTAGATCTTTCTAAGGTATTCTCAAGGTAGAGGATAGGATATCAAGGAGTGTGAGTAAGTAATGAGGGGGAGGACATGAGTACCTGGCTTCAGTAGCCGTGCTTGGTTCTTCCCGCATAAGTAGTTGAAGGATTCGAGGAGATATGCAGAGTGCTCAGGTGCTAGGTTAGACAAAAGCGATAAGAGTCTTATCAAGACGCTGGAGATCGATCGACGAGGGGTATTTGAAGATGATGGAGTCTCTCGCATATTTATACCTTATTGGTGCTGAATAGGGGAAATATAAACCGAGTGTGGAGTTTTCAGATGATAGCATCCAACTGGCTTTTCTATAGGTCGATCATTGCTCTGTCTAACTTGCTTGGAGCTGGGTGAGTATGCCCTGAAGCTTGCTATATTCTGCATCATCTTACGATATCCTAGGTGTTAACCCAGCAAGCCTGTAAATGATCATCAAGGGCCTAGGCATGAAATGCCATCATTTTAATTGACGAGGCTGATGTATACCTCAAGCAACGCCTCCCTTGAAAGCAATCTCGACAAGCAAGCAATGGTCGCCGTGTTTCTCTGTGCGCTGAAATGCTCCCGAGGGATAATATTTGTCACGGCGAACCGCATCCTAGGGTTCGATGATGCAACCTAGAGCCGAATCACACTCAACTTGTAGCCCCCAACGCCTGAGCGGCGGAAGGAGACCAGAAAGGGCAGGATTGATCAACCGAACCGTGATCAACGTTATAAGCTCACAGAAAGTGCCAAAGAAGCATTCAAAATGCTAGACTACGACGTAGAGTACGCTGAAGGGAGGATACACAAGTGGCCTGATCGAAATGTTGGAACAGGTGACTGAACGTACACCGCCCACCCTCGCCAGGTCTCACTAAACCGGGATGCGTACGTGAAGTGTTGTAAGCAGCCACCTCAATGGCGGACTTGGAATTCTGGGAGACGTTTGGCCGGAACCCAAGTAAAGGGGAGCCACGTCAATGAAGCACATGAAAACATTATCGAGTTTGTGAAATACCAAGCAGAGCAGCGGAAAAAGGACAAGGAATCGTATGCCAAGTGCCAATCGAGAAGACTACACGCGCGGTACTTTTGACGACTCCGACTTCAAGTCACCGGACTTGTCTCCGTCGCCTATGTCCGTCCTGGGGCTCTCCCGGTCAAAGCCATCCCGGGAGTCCAGATCTCCCTTCCCAGGACACATTCGGGACTTCCCCTGCGCCGTCTCGGGGGAGGAACTGGAATTGTGAAATTGGAATTGGAATCGAGAAGGAAGAGACGAGTTCCAAGACATGGTTACACGAGGTGACGGGGCTCTGGCCATAATGGATAGTCAACCAGGATGTCTGTCGGATGATTGTCGCCGCCGCTGATCAATGAGCAGGAGGAGAGGAAGTGCCAGAAGTGGGCGTCGGGAGAGAGGAACTTGCCAGTCCACTCCGTCGTCATACCAGGACTTGACGATCTTCTTCTAGACCGGCCGTTAGATGTCGGCAGACAGGCATATTACAGTGTGGGGGTTTGGACATAACGACATGTAATATTAATGCTTTTTGGTTGGATAGGAAGATGGAAATAGGTGGGTACAGTAGTAAGGTGGTTGTGAACCTCATGATACCCGAGCTTCGGGAACCACGTGATATCTAGCGAATGAGAAGGCACTAACTTCTTTTCGCTTAGCACCTACACCAAAGTGCCCTCCTGGACCATACTGCACCTCTGTGCCGTAACTCTGGGAGTGTGTTTACTCTGCCAAGTGACAACGCCACCAACACAATTAGCTTCCCCCGCAATGTCAACAGAGCTGTCTTTTCTGTTTCCGCTTGCGGACAAGCGGCCGAGGAGTTCTGGTGGAGCAATGTGTTGCAGTCAAATATCGAAACTTTTGAGCCGGTAGACGGTACCCTGTACGGGTATTCGCCTTTCCGTGAGGTCCAGGTCTTAATTGATGGCCAGCTTGCTGGTGTCCAATGGCCATTCCCTGTGATTTTCACAGGTGGTGTGGTTCCAGGCTTTTGGCGCCCAATTGTCGGTATAGATGCTTTTGATCTGCGAGAGCACGAGATTGATATCACTCCATGGCTACCAGTCCTCTGTGATGGTACGGAGCACACATTCGAAATCAGAGTGGTTGGCATTATCGACGATGGGGAATCCAGCGGGACGCTCAGTGAAACAGTAGGGAGTTCCTGGTATGTGACAGGGAAGATCTTCGTCTGGCTTGACGATGATGCGGCATCAATCACATCAGGCAGAATAGTAGGAGGCCCGATTAGACCTCCTATTATCAGTCTCTCGCAGAAACTGGGGCAGGATTCGACTGGTGCAAATGAGACTTTGGAATACACCGCCAACGTGGAACGCGATATAACCATCTCCTCGGTCGTCACCTCTCAGAAGGGTACCTTTCTCTCCGTTTGGACCCAAACCCTTTCAACCACCAACTATGGTCTGTACACCGCCTACGGTGCCGTTCAGCAAAACAACCAGACCACGAACGGCCTTGACGTATCAACCGGCAGTACCTATTACAAATCCAGCTACACCTACCCTCTCTATTGCAACTCCTCCATCAACGTCCAACCCAACGGCGACTTCTCCATCTCGGGCAACATAATCCGCGCTCTTGACCTCTCCATCCTCGGCGCGTCCATATTCCCCACGGGCCTCTCCCCCTTCTCCGCCCTGCCCCCCAACACCCCTCCCCTCCCCTCCTTCTCCGGCTCCCAGCTCTCCACCACGCAGAACGGCAGCGCGTTCTACTTCGCCAACGCCAGCTCTGGCAGCAGCAGCGGCTTCGGGAGCACGAGCCAAGAATTCAACTTCGTCGGGCTCGCTACTACAGACACGGAACTCTATCATAGAGAAGTCGAAGCGGTGAATCAGACCATAGTTCGGGATTATGAGACGTTGCTTGGAGAGGAGATGGCGAGCTTTGGCGTCCCTGGAGATCTGATCCCCGAGATACAGATGATTGCGGGTGTGACGAGTCCGAAACAGGCGGTTGGTAGAGGACCGGGGATGGTGAAGCAGGTGTTGATCCAGGGCGGTAGAGGAGGAGGCGTCTGAGAGAGGAGTGGATATCCAGCTAGATATATATTTGGTATATATGAATGGATGGATGGATAGATAGATGGATCCTGGGAGATAACAATGCATTTTTAATCTTTCTTCATACACATCTGTTAATTGGAGAGGGCTTGTGGATTGTAAGGATGTTATGTTATTGATGTAGATAATTCCTTTTTTCAGTATATAATTTTTGAGGGGTATGAATGAGGTGAGAAACAGGAACTGCTATTCTACCTACCTACCGACATATCGTTCTTCTTTTGCTATGCTTGGGCTGGGTTTTAGTCTGAACCGGAGAAGCAAGTATTGAATCTAGTCTCAAAGTGGGGTATGATGCACAATCACTTTCACATCAATCAAGCAAAACCGCTCATCTTAGGTGTGATCACTGATAGTATTTCATGATGACCTCCATGAAAAAAATGCCCCGGCCTGATCTGAGCCGTCGTGCAACAAGACCAATGTAACACCGTTCCCCAAGCCGTTTGTCTCTCTCAATCATCAAGTAACCGAAGTTGTGCTCCAACGACGAGATCAAGAGCGTCTACGATCTGGGCTTCTCCTTCTTCTCCTTCCACAGCGCTGACAGACCGACTCCCGAAACCTTGACGACCTTGAATCGCACACCGGGGATATCACCCTTCGCCTTACCCTTGCGACCGAATCCGGCGAGGAGGACTTCGTCGTTCTCGTCGACGAAGTTGAGACAACCGTCGTTGGGCACTGTGTGATGGATCTTTCGTTAGCCACCTTTCTTTCTCCACGCCCCCAACGAAAACCCCTCATGCCCTCCCATAGTGCACAATCTCTCGATCAACCGCAAACCCGAGGAGGGGAAAAGAAATGGGGGACGTACCGAAAGCAGTGACCTTCTTTCCGTTCTTGATCAATTGCACCCTGACGCACTTTCGGATAGCGGAGTTGGGCTGCTTGGCCTCGACACCGACCTTCTCGAGGACGATGCCCTTGGCGTGGGAGGAACCTCCGAAGGGCGAGGACTTGAAGGCCGTTCCCAGGGCACGCTTCTTGTATGACAGATCGGCCCAGCGCTGCTCGCGGCGGTGGTTTTGCAGCTTGCGGGCGGCGTTGAGACCACGGGGCTTTCCTTTACCCATGATTGCTGCAGAAGAAGATCACCAGTTAGAAATTTTTGTCTGATTCTGAGGATTTGGAAGTGCTGCTGTGTTTTCGTGTGTGTGATGAGAGTGGATGAGTGGTGGTGATGGGAACGTACCGGTTTATGGCGAAAATGGGTCCTAGATAAGTTTTGTCGTGGTGGTTGTCGTCGAGAATTCAATGTCTGAAATTTGGAAAATGGGCTCTTGGTGCGATTTCGACAAGCTAAGCGAGAAGCCCTGCCACCAATTTGTTGCCTCATATTAATGCCTCAGGATTGGCATCTCGGCTTTTAGTTTCGCCGGTGCCGAGAGAGCTCCCCTCCCTACCTACCTACTTTACATGTAAGCTACGGAGATAGCCACCTACAGCCTGGTCCGCAATCCTCCAACAACTATGCAAGCATGCCTCCATCACCAACAGGGAAGTCTGGTAAAGGAGTGTCACGAGAGCCCCCGCCGTCTCTCTTCCTAGGCCCGCCATCCCAAAATGCCTCCCATGTCTCAATCCCCGGCGGCACTCTCACTCAGCCGCCTACGAATACATCGACTCTGAGCCCCTCCCGCGTGCCTCTCACCCGCCAGCTCTCCTCCCTCTCGACACGCCTGCCCGCGCGGAACAACGTAGACGGCCAACCCGACAGCGGCGTCGCCGGCTCGCTGCCGCGGTCCGGCTCGCGGCAGAAGCAGGAGTCAGAGGTCAAGAAGCAGGCCGATCGCACCGATGCGCTGTGGGCCGAGATGCAGAGCACGCTGGAGGAGGTAGAGCTGAGCGCGACCAACGGGGCGCATGTCTTCGGGCCCGAGCATAGCAAGGCGCTGGATGAACTGCGAGCGGCGCAGATCCAGTTGGCGCAGGCGTGGGCGAGGAGCGAGGCGGACGATGTGGTGGAGAGCGCGGATAAGGAGAGTAAGGGGGTAGGGTCGAGGATTGGGGGCGGAATGCTGGATACGCTGGGTGTGGAGGGGGGGAAGGCGAGCACGGCGGCGAGTGCGACGGGGAGTAGTGGGATTGCGGCGGCGGAGAGGATGAGTAGTAAGTTGGCGGAGGAGACGGAGTCGGATATCCTGCTGGCGAGGAAGAGGAGGGAGGCCAATGATAGGTATTTCCAGAGAGTGAATGATGGGGTGTTGAATGTGGTTGCGAAGTTGGAGGATGTGGCTGGTGCGATGCAGCTCGTTGAGCGGGAGAGCCGGGATATATGGGGAGAAGATGAAAGCGCAACCGCAAGCCTGAGTGGAGGATGATTTGTGAGCATGCTGGGTCATCTTTCTCTTATTCTGAGTATTAGCGATGGCGTTGGCATTCATGGGACTTGGGCGCATCAGGTGGAAATGGTTGGCATGACTCGATATTCTGTATTATATGTATCTCATTGTTGTACTGCAAATACGCAGATTGGCCGCTGATTCCGGGTATCGTTCTGCATTCTGCATTCTGCATTGCGCACTCCAAGCAGTCATCCCTGAGCCTCTGATATCAAACGGCCTTCCTCCACTTCATACAGTAGCTCCCGCCCAACTCCAAAACGCCCTGCCCATTTTATGATTCCCCTCCACTCCCTTGAATTTCAGTTGCCCATGGTGAGAGAAACCTGCGCCAATTAGTATGCGGATATGCAAAAGACAGATATACTTCAAGGTAGACTGACAGCCATCAAAACACAGCATACACTTATGTAGGGACTTAATCGCTCCCCTACCCTCGCGCACTTCCAGAAAACACCGGTAAAAGCCCTGCAGATCGCTATGAGATTGTATACGTCGCGGAGGGCCAATTGGACCTACCCATCCTTATTTCTGTCCATGATACCCGGGAAGAGCTGGTGGATGTACGTGCTCGTACAAATGAGGAGCAGGAGGCAGAGCAAGGCTGAAGTGAAATTGAAGAGGGCAGACTATATAGAAGTTAGCAATGTAACAAGGGTTTAGCAGCAGCTATGTAGATAGAACAGATCACTTTACCATTGTGTTTACTCTTGTGTGAGAAGTGAGGAGTGGTTCCGGGATTGCCTATTGACAGGAGGTCTGGAAGACAACTTTCCATTAGGTGACAGTGAATGGCACGTGAGTCTGATCGGCGGTTATAAATACCGACCACCGGGAAAACTTCGGGACTCTCCTCACCCGCCACACTAGACCAGCCCCAGCAACGAAAGATGGCAGATGCCGCAACTCCCTCTCCGAGGATCATTAGGAGAGTCCATTTCAACGAGAACCCAGCGAGTCGCATCATCACCATTTCTCCACCACCAGGGCCGAGAATCCTCATCCGCATAACGCCTGAAGAGGAAAGACCTTCGCCATCAGCTTGTGGGAGTGCCTCCATTACTTCACGACGTGCAAAACCAGTGGTCAAACTTAAGGTACCTAAGGTGAGGTATCTAAGGATACAGCTCACCCTCGCCTTTTGCGGACGAGGAACTAGACGAAGACGAATCTCCCTGCGAAGAATCTTCAGACGAAGAGGAAAATCTTGAACAAGAGGATAATTCAGAGGAAGAAAAGCTATAACACAAGGATATTCGGGCGAAGAGAATCTTCCTGAACAAGAGACATGGAACCGAGAGCACGCATTGGACGCAATCGAGGACAGCAGAGCTTCTCAGATCAAGAGCGTGAGTTTGTGCACTTTAAAATACCTACTCATACTAATTTCTCTTCCCAGTCCAGCATTTCTTATACGCCCATGGCGACGTACCTCACTCGCTTGATACAACAAAACGCGTCCTTGACGAGCTCCTCACCGACTTCATCACCGAGCTCTGCTTCGAAGCGCACCGCTCCGCCCAGCTCGCCGGCCGCCAAAAGATTAAGATCGACGATGTCCGATTTGCCTGCCGCAAGAACCCGCTCTACCTAGGCAAGATCCAAGAGATGCAGGAGAAGAAAGATGAAATCGACAGGGCGAGGAAGACGTTAGATGTCAACGACGACAAGATCACGAAGTCCAATGTCAAGGCTCTGGAAGAGGAACCTCTGGGCGACGCCGACGATGATATGGATATGGATACTCGGACTATTGGAGGCAAGAGTAGTGTTGGTGGCAGATGATTTCCTTGGTTACGACGGCTCCTCAAGAGGAGCGCTAGTGCATGGTTTTATGAGGTTATGTTTGGTATCATCTCTTTTAAAGTGGCATATGGAAGGCGTTTATGGACGATACCCCCGGCCGCAACCACGTATGTTCTCATAGATTGCAATGGATTTTCCGGTTTCTCAGAGTGGCTTGATTATCGTGCACTTGGGCAATGCACAACTGGAAGAACGGAGAGCGGAGATCAAGAATATACCAATCACTGAAATCTTCCGATAATGCGATTGTGTTTTGATCCATTAGAGGAAGTCAACTCTCCAACAAAACACGGGCAAAAATCCAGGAAGTTACGATGCCCTGCATCTTGGTTTTCGTGGTGCTTATGGTAAGAAAAGAGCGCCGAGTTGGAGATTCCAACACTTTGAATCGCAGCATCTCGGATGTATTTGATACTTCCCAAGGATGCAACATAGCGAGAGCGGAGCAGAGGGGTCGATAGATGGATACATGTGTATCTCTCCTCACCTGTCAGGATCTAGACCGATATATCCTTGTCTTCTATTACACTTACTGTCGTGACATCTAGGACAACGTCTACTGGTGGGTTCTATTATTCCGAATACACGAAAATTGATATACTGCATTTCTTTTTCTTTTCACGATCCAAGGACTTATGAATACTTTCTATTTCGATGGATGGTCTAGCCACCAAAATGGAGGGCTGTTGAAAATCGACCTAATCTACCTTGTAAGTTGTGACATCTATGTACATGTATGTAAGTGGTCACTCACTGGGTCTAGTCTGGCCTGGCCACTGGGCGGGCACGCCCCCCCACCCTCCAAGGTGCCATCCCCGCTGACTTATAACAACTTATAAATCCCACTTTTCCCCCACCACCAGCACCGGCCCGCACCTCCATATCATCATCATAGAACAGTCATTACTGCGAGCAAAAAGCCTTTGTATCTGGGGCCGTATTCCCCCCTACAGCCAGAGACCTAAACCCCCTCTTGCTTGCCATGAATCCCGATGGCCATGTCTCCCACCGTCCGGACCCCCCAGACCTCGACGCTCAAGCCCAACGTAGATGATGAGCATCTTCCAGAACCGCTCCACAATGCCCCCAGTAACTTCGACCTCGCCCTCAACGGCGGCACGAACCGGACCTTCCTGTCGCCCGACCCAGCGAAAGCAGTGGATGTGGGACTGCTCGACCCCGAGGCTTTCAGGAGAGCGTCGATCAGTACGATTTCGTCCTTGGGGGTCCCGTCGCGGGGCGCCTCGCCTTGCCCTCGGGCTGCGCCGGCCGATGACAGGACGTGGCGGCGCTCGGCGAGGCTTCTGTGGGAGCGCAATCAGGGATTGCTTTTGGTTTCCATCTCGCAGCTGTTTGGCGCCTTGATGAATGTCACGACTAGGCTGCTGGAGCTCGAGGGCGAAGGCATGCATCCGTTCCAGGTACTGTTTGCGAGGATGCTGCTCACGTCCATCTTCTGCTGTGCGTGGATGTGGTGGAAGAAAGTTCCGGATTTCCCATTGGGGGCGAAGGGGGTTCGAGGGCTGCTGGTGGCCAGAGGTTTAACTGGGTTCTTTGGGATCTGGGGCATGTATTATTCGTTGCTGTACCTGCCAGTCGCGGATGCAGTCGTGCTGACGTTCCTGGCCCCGTCCGTGGCGAGTTATGGCTGCTATTTGTTCCTCCGCGAGCCCTTCCCTCGATCCGCTAGATACGCCTCCCTTATCTCGCTATTGGGCGTCCTCCTGATAGCCCGACCTACCTCGTTCTTCTCCTCGTCTACGCCCCCTACAACAGAGACGAGCACTTCGTCTTCGTATGATGGGGACTTTCCTACCCCCACACCTGGCCAGCGCCTTTCTGCTGTCGCGGTAGCCATGCTGGGCGTGCTGGGCTCCGCAGGAGCATATACCTCCATACGCTGGATCGGCAACCGCACCCATGCGCTGATATCTGTAAACTATTTTGCCGTATGGTGTACCATCGTCTCCACGCTCGCTCTTACCCTCTCCCGACCCCTGCACATTTCCTCACTGCACTTCGCCCTCCCCAACGGCGTACGCCAGTGGAGCATGCTCATCTTCCTCGGGATCTGCGGCTTCGTCATGCAGTTCCTGCTCACGAAGGGGCTGGCTGTCGGGGACCGCGGGGACGGGGCCAGAGCCACGAATATGATTTACCTCAACATGATTTTTGCGCTGGCGTTGGATAAGTTGATTTTTGGGCAGAGTCCAGGGTGGTGGAGTTTGGCGGGCAGCGGGCTGATTCTGGGAAGTGCGGTGTATGTTGCTGTGCAGAAACAGCAAAGTGCTGCCTTAGATGAAGAAGGAAGTGTTGCTGGAAGTGGGATTGAAGAGGAAGAGATAGGTATGCTGAGTGAGAGAGGTCGAGGGGAAAATAGGTCAGACGAGGAAACAGTTTAGGAACCGGGCGTTATTCAGACTTGAACTTTTGCGGCGCAACCAGGTTTTTGGAACTGAGGGACCTTTTTGGATGTGGCATTTGAGCATAGGTAGGAGCTTAGGAAATGGTAAGACCATATTTTCAGGAGTAGTATCTAGAGGTAGAAACGCATGAATGGAAAGAAATTCACCTTACCTTTACAACAGGGTACCGTCTATTCAACGATACGAAAGAATATGGCTGAATAGATATGAATAATCTCACCGCTGTGCCCCCTTTCCCCGTTTTCAGCACCCTCCTAGATCCGAAGAGGGGGACTACAGGATTTGGGAAAGGTGCTCCCAGGCAGCAGCAGGTATAATCAGGTAGTTCCTGGCAGGATGGGGACGATGTCGCACACAGGAAGTCCACGATCTTGGTTTTGAATGATGATACATCGATAAGTCATAGAAGAGACATCTACCAGAACTGTCTGGGTTCTTATTTCACATCCATCTAATAAAGCGGTGATCTATACAGCTTTTGTGGATGACGGTATTGTCAATGAGGCATTCTTCCCTGATTTTCAGAGGGGGTCTCGCTGAACTCTCAGACGAAGATGAGTAGAGCCTTCTTCAGTAAGGAAATGGATGTGCGCGCTGGAGAAACTGCTGGCAATAAAAGATGATGAAAGATATGCTTCTAGAGGGTAGCTGACTTGAGACATGAAGACAAAGGGCGGTTAGATCTGGAAAACGGGACGGGAGACGGGACGGAAACGGGACGACCCCATGAACTAATATAAATAGAGCGGGAGAAAACTATCTCACTTATGCATTTTCATGAAGCATCGGCAGCGATATATGGCGGTGAGAGACTCAGGGGAAATCGGGAGGCTGCGGGGGTCTCTAGACAAGCCTCGGTATGTACAAGTCGAAGCCACAGAGCCAAGCCGGCAATGATGTGATGCTAAATGTTAAAAGCTGGAGAATTGGGGAAAGACAGCGTGGTGATAGGCTCGATTCAGATACCAGTATCTAGCCGATATTATAGTCCTGGCGAGAGTAAGACCTCGCAGGAGAAGGCGGGACGAAGCCAGGACTACTGACTCACGGCCCGCAACTCTAGGGGTAGAACTGCGTGACTTCTTGAGGCTGATGATCTGAAGGCGGAAGAGCCATCGCAAACCATTGATTTGATGTTCCTCCCAAGGCGTCCCGGCGGGTAGCTCTCCCCGGGGTTCCTCGAGGTTGAGGTCTCTCGACTGGAAAATGAGGCGACTTGGAAACTGGGAGTGGCCGGGGTGGCACGTGATACGGACATGTGGCTGCGCAGGGCATCCCACCGCAATCTCTTTTCGTCCGCCTCATTTTCCCGGCTCTCTTTTTCTTATTTCCAGTGTTGCAAACTTGCAGCGTTGGGCCTCTTTGCTTCCAGTTTAGGTACTTGAGCAAATTCTGCACAGCGCGCGCTACTGCTACTGCACACGTTGTGTCAAACTCTGATTGTTGCATGTAGAGCCCAAAAGGCAAAGACGGCAAGCGGTACGAGTAATGGCCCCGGGTGCAGCGCTGTACCTCAGTACCTGACCCTGCGGAGTGTACGCTGTATAGTCGGTGGACCCGCCAGTCTGGGACCAATAATGTACCTGCTTACGGAGTATTCCCTCGACCCTCTCTGAGTCTCTCAGACGCTCATAGAGATTCGGGTGTCCCAGATTTCCCAATCCATCCGCTTGGCGAGAGGCAAGGAGGCAGGAGGCGCGAGGGACTTCAAAGATGTGATCAAGCAGGATCTGTTTGCTTGCAAGGCCGTAAATGCTCCAATCATCAATGGCAGAGCTCGATATATACCTTTCAGTGTTGACATACAAGCCGGGCGGCTTGATGCCGCCGACGGCAGGCCCTTCGAGGGACGTACGACGTACAGTGCACACTACACTGGTGGTCTGCGGTTCCTGTGAGAGGTGAGATATAAGCGCGGGATTCTCCCTCGTGGGCCGTGGCATTCTTGGAGCCCGAGGGCTAGATCCATAGTGGGGACGTGGCCAGCGTGGTCGTTCAAAGACTTCGAGTCTCGTAAACCCGCATTCCATGCCGTGGCTGCTTGCAGGCCATCGTGTATCTGCATCGGCAATATAGACAGAAGAAAAATGGGCCAGCAATCCTTTTGCTGAGAACTGGCAAGCCGAACCCCAGACGAAGATCTAAAGACCGGGCCCAGCGCAGAGAGACGGCCCACCCCCTTTATACGGAGGATATAATAGTTTGGTGAGCGCGGTAGCTGGTCATGGGTCGTGAGAGCTTCAAGAGCTTGAAATAGTACATCGCGGCCCACACGATTGAGCTCGGCCCACACGATTGAGCTGGGCGCGCACCAGGGCCACGGTCTACAGGGCCGCCAGGTCCACAGCAAACGAGTAGATCGAGAGCCGCGGCCCACCGCCAACCGCCATCCGTCAGGGGAGCAAGGGGAGCAAGGGGACAAGGGCCCAAGGGAGACAAGAATCAGGAATCAGGATACCGGGACACGACTGACAAAATCCCGGGAGAATGAGGCGGTTGGATCCCTGGAAGTCGGAGGTACCCTCGGGTTGAGGCTTTGGAAGTTTGGAGTTTGGGCGAGCATGCGAACGTCTGTCTGTGGTCTTACCGTCCTCCCGTCCTACCTACCGCCTTACATGTACAGGAAGGACGGCTGCGTGCTACATCATACATGATCCAGCTGGCCCCGACGATCCGCACCGGTATCCTGAATCATGCATTGAGTGACGAGGCTGGTGGTTGACCAGCTGGTAGCCATTATATTCCTGTGAGGTTGTAAGCTGGTGAGACTCACGAGAGATGGACTGGTAACAATACGTCGTAACAATCTGAGATATGTTCAGAAGGGATAATAGCGATACGTAAGGCATGGGGTAGCAGGAGCAAAGGCAAAATAAGCAAAATAGGGGGGGGAGGTGAGAATGCGCCTCAACCTTGAGCGGTTCACGCATCGCCAATCAACAACCCCCCTCGATTCTTGGACAGCGGACGTAGCATTTCATACAGAACTAACCACCATTTCCTCCTCTTTCGCCTCTTCCGGCCGGTGGGGGCACGTCCATAAGTCGTGCACACCTTTTACCCATTTTATATTGATTACATTACTACCTACTACCTAGGTACCTACTCTAGACTTATTAGGGAGACGGTAGAACCCTACCGACGCTATGGAGACGGGTATGAGATAGCTTCCTCATAACGCTATTCCACGCCCCCTCATCTCTTGCCTCACTATTATTGATGTGATGCCAACCTCGACTTGGTGAACTGAACCCTTCTCGCCGCACATACAAATCTTGTCTCCCACCTGCATCTTCCTCTTGTCCCCTCCAAGACCCCGTCCGCGTTGCGTTGCGTTGTATCGAGCCATCTCATCTAATCGGGGGAAGGGGCATACCAATCCCATCTATACCCGTCCGTCATATCGACCAGCATTCTTTGCTTGCGCCCGCTGTTCCTCCCATTCCTCCCGCATCGCCTTTTGCGTCTCTCGTGCTGTGCAGTACATGCCTTGCCTGCTCCCTGCCTGCCACCGCAGTTGTCCGTGAGAGGGCATATCTCAGGCCCCGTCTGCCCTACTTTCTTTCGGTCTTGTCAACAACTCCCTCCACTTCCGTTCCTTCGAGCCTCCCTTTGACCTCCCTTTTCTTTGGCTATCGTGCGAGGGATCGCTCCGACCCTCTGCGTCCTCAGTCGCTTCTGCATCGCCCCCAGTTGGCCGTGTAAAGAAAAACCGCCAGACCGTGGGCATCGAATAGATAGAAGTAGTGCGAGACCGAAAACAGAGGTACGTCGCACGAACCTACCCTGCTGTATACAAACATCCATATCCTTTCATTGTAGCTACCCGTGGTGGCCTCGAGACATTTCTCGCCGTGCTCGAATCATGAGAGTCGCACAATGTAGCTTGCCGAACCCACGAGATCATTGAAACCGAGCACAAAGTTGAGTCGTTGTTTGTCAAGAAGATATACTAACATGGATATCAGCACTTTGCGGGCCCACTTCTTCTTTCCCACCATCCCGCGAAAGAAAGAAACCCCCGCATTCTAGGATATCATATCGACTGATCCCCAGAACCCACGAGCTCTGGGCAAAACAAGCCGGTCCACACCTGGGCTGGGAGGAGAGAATAATGTCACACGAAGCAGGAAAGAGGCAGCGGGGAGATAGTATTGCGGCGACCAATGGCCACCCCAATTCTCCTTCGAACAACGATGGTGGATCCATGACACCCCCGGCAGTGGAAGAGACTCGACCACAGAGCTCGGTAGACATCAGTCTCGAGTCGCAGGAGTATGACATGGGGTCAACAGATCAGCCAGCAGGTGACCCATCACCGAGAAATCCGAATTACGCCTCTACAACGACAGCAGCGGTGTCAGAGAGAACGGCCAAGCAGATAACGAAAGCGCAATCTCCTTCCCTAGAGCCACCGGTGACCAAGGCTACTCTCAGCGAGCTCGATGTCAACAAGATTGTCCACAATCCGAAATTACGGCATGATATAAACTTCGATCCAGACCTGCACTTTCGGCCGAATCTAGATGGAGAGAAGGGGCGACGGAAGAGACAGAAAGCAAGCGATTTCTGGGAGACTATGCGAAGCCAGCTTCGAGATTACTTAGTTAATCGGGACCTGTTTGAAAAGGAGATTGGTGATGGAGAGTGGTGTCTACCGGCGACTCTGAAAGCTATTCGCGGGATCCTCGAGACGCTAGTTCCTCGACGAGACCGCCAGTCCGTTGAGGAGACTTTCAACGTGGAGTTGCTTATGCAACAATTCCGAAAAGGAGTTGCAGATCTTGTCAAACTCGCCCTCTGGTTATCACAGCTCTTGAAATGCCACTGTGCTCCAATGAGGGATGACTGGGTCGACGAGATGGTCACTCAGATCCGTAAGGGTGACCGAGAAGGTGATGTTGCGTTATTAGTGCTAGGGATGCAGAATCTGCTCGGTGTTTTGGAAGCCATGAAGCTTGTAAGTTTTTGATTTTGTTTATTGAATATGGCAATGAACCCCTATCTAATTCATATCACAGGATGTGGCCAACCACCAGATTCGCTGCCTACGACCCCTGCTGATCGAAGATACCGTCCACTTTGAGCAGAAGTTCTTCATGAAGAAGATTGCTCTTGGCAAAGTCGATATTGCCGGGGCACATGCGTGGTTTCGACGAGCGAGCAGCTCACGAGACACGGCACCTTTAGATATGTCGTCGATACATTCCCAAGTTAATACTTGGGACTTCATGAAGGCCCTTGTGAATCTGGTGCTGCCCTCCAAATCCGACGAATTAGTGCCGCATACCTTTCTTTTCGACGAAGAGCGCCTGATCAAGCTGCGTGCGGATATGGAGGACTCGATCAACCTCGAGATTTGCATGCGCCTGTTTCAAGGGCTAGAGACAGCAAGCAGACTGCAGGAGGCGCGGTCTGTACACCGCGATGATACTCCGGTGACCTCCTTTGTATCATCCCCTTTTGATCGCCCTACCTCTCCTGCCGATAGCGCCTTGCATTCCTCCCCAACCCTTCCGTTGCCGCATCACTTTGCGCCGAAATCTAAAGATATTGGTGCACAAGAGCGCGGCCATTTTCTTCGAACTCCCTCGGGCGGACAAGTATGGGTACCAAACATCGAGAGTGACGCCATAGCCTTATCCGCCGCTTCAAGTCCTTATTCATCGCCCTCATCTACTGCGTCAACTCCTGACACTTACCCTCCGACTCCTCTTTACCTCTCCCACTCAGTTTCTGGCTCTGCTTCTCAAGTCCGCAGCTCTCTCGTCGCCATATTAGCTTCCTCCAATACCTCAGACAGATGGACTTCGCTCGCTCCCTCTCTTGCACTTCAAATACTGCGTTCAACAAGTACACCTCTTACCCGATTACCGCAATTCGAGTCCCACTTAGGGTTCCATCTTTCCAATCCTAACTCAAGCCTTTATCAAGAGGCGGAGCAACGAGTCCTACGGCAACTCTTCCCTATCTTACAGAAGCTTGTTGAGAAATATACGCCTCTGACAAGTTTGCAAATTTTCGAAGCCGCGACCGCACCAAAGGTCCTACAAGTGAACTCGAGCACGCAAGCTGATGGTGCGAAAGAGGATATTACTGAGATCGCTACTAGAATTGCACATATAGGGATCCTACATTGGCGGGTGTGGGCTCCCTTGGCTTATCTGGTCGATCCTGATGGAGAGCAAGGAGAGACTATAAATTAGGTAATGCCTTGAGAGTCTGGATGCAGGGCATCGCTCAGCACATACTCTCGACAAAAGTGGTTCAGCTGTGTTACCGGAAGCGGTACAAAGCGATTCTATTTCTTACTGACGGAGTCCCCACGAGCGTTGAGCTAGTCCTTCCGCCCAACAGTGTGGGGATAAACCTGGAGAGCCAAAAAATCGCAGAAATTTCTACATCCCATCAGTTCCTTCCAACTTTTCTTTAATCGCACTCCTCCATCACACACCTTTTTTCTTACAATTTCTTTTGTATTCATCTTGCATACTTCTGATACCCGACGTCTCAAGGCGTATGTAATATAGAGAGAGTGTAATCGTTCCTTGGGCGGCTGGGGGGGTTGTTATTTCCACAAAAGCGGAAGATTATGTACCTTGGGCCGGTACAATCAAAAATTGGGTGGCTTTCTTGTATACCTACCTACCTACTTTATACAATTTCCTGACCGTCAAACCGAAAAAAAGGGGTTGGTCTTGGGAGGGCGTTAGGTGTGTCCCGTCCTTCGGAGGATTAGGGGAATAGAATTGAATTGAATTGAAAATCAAGTTGTGTATTAATTACTATTACAGCTTTTGCTGACTGACTGACGTACATGTGCATGTTTTTGAATGAAACTCCGGGGGGAAGAAAAGAACGTGGGGGGGAGTCATCGCATCGCTCTGCTTTACTGAACTACCTTACCTACCTTAAGGTACCTACCTACAGCCTACCTAGGTAGGTAAGATAAGCAGCCACAAACCCATGCAACCTCCCGAAATGCAGAACCAACCCTCCCTCCTTGCTACCTCTACAGAAGCTAATCTCGAAATATGCATGCATGCACATATGTGAGGATGTTAAGATGAATCCCTTGGTTTCTTGATTTGCTTTACATTACATTACATTACCTTGCCTTTACCTTGCCTTGCCTTGCCTTTACCTTACCTTTATGCTATGACGTTTAAGCAAGCACAGACCTAAAAGGGAGGAAAGTTTCTTTCCAAAGGAAGAAAAGTTCCATATTTTCTTTTTTCGCTATCCTCTTTTTATAAAAGTTACAGAATTCTCGGGCGCCTTATAATCCTCCGATTTCGCTATTCTAGAAGCATAATAGAAGTTACCCTTTTATCCCAACGCCGGTTGAAATGCATGCATCCTCGAACGCCAGGGTTCTCTCCTAAACGGTCATTTATCACGCTAAAACCAGGGGTACATGCTAAAGGTTGGATAGGATGAGTAATGGGGGGGAAAGTACAGAGGAAACTCCTTAGAATGAAATCTTCCCATTACTATTAAATCGAGAGGTCGTGGAGTTCATAGGACTGTGGATCGGCGCGTGCATCATCATTCCATCGTTTGAACCCATCGCCGAGGTCATCGTTGCAGTTCGTGAAGAACCACCATTCATTGAAAGTAAGGCGTCTGCGCGTTCGAAAACGTTGCCGCTAAACATTGCATTGTATGACGCGCTTTGTGAGGTAGAAGGAACAGTCGCCTGTACAGCTGGGCCAAGTGATGCACTCTGAGGTGTCATAGGCAGTGGAACTTGTGGCGACTGGGCAGTGTATGGAGAAGAACCATTTGACATGCCATTCAAGTAGGCAGCCCAGGGCGACTGTTGAATTAATTGTGTACACGCCTTAACTTCCTTTTGAAGGGGCCGAAGAAGGCCAATTACCTCGACCCATGGAAGTAGGGTGGTCACAGTCTTGGCATCTTTAATCTTCTCAGCAAGTGTGGCATAAGCCTATTGTGTGTAAGCATATACATCATCAAAAGGGACATAAGTAATAGACATACCTGCATGAAATGATTGCAGAGATCCCAAAAAGAATTGCGTGTTCTGATAGCTGGATCCTTGAGCATAATGAGGGACAGACGGCCTCTGAGTGCTTCTGCATTCTGTAGAGATATCGAGTTCTTTTGGATCAACAGCTGCCAGAACTGAATTGTTGTCTCGGGTTTGGACATATCACTGTTGACCTTCATCGCTGCACACAAATGATTATGGACAAGTGGGAGGTTTCGGATTGCCATCTCTGTCGACTTCTGCAATTGCAAGAAGATCTTTTCAAATAATCGATCCTCATCAGTGAAATCTCCTCCGATCCTACCACTGGCCAGATTTTGTGGGAATGAGTCACCAGAGCGTGGTGTGGCATTGTTCATCACAAATCGTGGCGCAGAATTAAGTAGCGGTGGAGGCATTGTGTCTGTCGCAACGCGAAGGTTACTAGAATGGTGGACCACAGTTGCACTTCTGGTTCTCGAGCTCGTGCCTGGCCTCTCACGTGTCGGAGTAACTGACTTGTCTCTTGGTGGAGCTCTAATTGTATCCTGACTTTCCTCCGAGATTCGTGATATACGCATGTCATCCATTGCTCCTGATATTTGGCCATGCAGGAAAAGGCTAGCTCCGGCATTACGAACTTCGACCAAGCTTCCATAGAGAAGAAGCAATAGATGGCGGATGTATCGCGGATCACTATTATTTATTAATGTATCGACGTTTCTTAATAGTAGAGAGCAGATGTGAATATAAGCGCTGACACAAGTTGAACAGGCACGGTGTACATTCTCGTTCGACCGGGGGGATACTTCTTCATCTTCTTCGGAGTAGGAGATGTAGTGCTGAAGATCACGGTCTAGCTCTTCGACGTGGGTTGTTGCGTTGTAAAAGACCCTCTCAAGACTAGTGCGCTTGTTGGTTCCATCCCTGGCAAGGCCAAGTAGATTTTGGATCAATGGGTGGACTTGAAACAACGCAAATAAGATGCCCTGCGCACCCTCAATAACTGGATCAGGTGAAGCAGACTCTCGTTTACGTTCTGGGAGGCTTGAAAGGCGCCGCACGTACGTTGCCCTAAGTGTTGTGGAGTCTGCAGGGCTTGCCGGACTTCTAGAACTGATAGATGCATTGGTCCTGTCATTTCCATTCATTGCAGATCCATGACTGAGACCTCGATAATGGCTGTAGCGGTTCAATTTCGTCTCGTCAACAGTTCCTAATTCTGATGGCCTCTTTGAGACGATCCCCATCCGTCTTGACCGGTCTTGGGTAGAACGTGCTGAGACTAGGTTCTCACTGTTGCTACGCAGACGTTCATTTGTGCTGCCGATCGTCAAAGGCATCACACCAGGACGTCGAAGATTAGCGTTCTGCTGGGAAAGGCCTCGATAATGTGAACGAGAGGGGATTGGAGGCGGTCGTGACATTCCCGGAGATCGTAGGTCAGGTATGTCAGTTCCATTAACCTTGATTGGAAATCGGCCACTCGTAACTCTCTTTATAGGACGAGGGGTCTCAGTTCCTTCGCTAGACTCCTCTCCACCAGATTCTATCTCTGAGCGATCAGCTATAGCCTTTTGTTTCAAAAACTTCTTTATCTGCGAAGTGACCGCAATATCGGCCATCTCGCTCTCCTGAAATCCGCTATTTGGAGGAGTTGTTGCTTGAGGTTGCAATACCTCCTTAGGTGGGAAGCGTATTGGATTACCCTCGAACTTGAGTACCTGGAGAGAGGCCATATCTGCAAGGCAGAGGGGCAGGTCCTCGATACGATTTTTCTGCACGGACAAGACCTTAAGTGAGGTTAACTTGACCAATTCGGGAGGTAGGACCCTGAGTTTATTGCGCCCAAGATCCAAGATTTCGAGGGATGTCAAGTCGCAAATCTGAATCCTGATCAGCATCTATCCTTCTATTCTTTGGTTTTTATCCCACATACCGCCATAGGAAAATCGCGGATTACGTTGCTGCGAACGTTCAAATATCGTAGTGAAGTACATTCTGAGAGTCGGGAAGGAAATGCGTATATTTGGTTATGGGACAGTGCCAATCTGGCATAGTAAGGGTCAGCTGTGTTCTTGTCTGTATCCCAATAGGGGCAAGGTGGAATGACTACCGTTCGAGGTCATTTTTGATTATATCAATTACCTCCTCCGGGAATTTCTGGATCTGCTTGTGGCTCAGGTCGATTGTGACTCCGGGCTTCAGCTCACTGCTGACACCGCTAGCCTCTGCTGCTTTTGTCCGATTCTCATCGAGGGCATGCTTCATTGCCTCCTGAACAAGGGCAACGACCTGACTCGTGGATATGGGTATCTCTGATTCTAGGGAGGAGTTGGACGCTTCATGCTGAACAGTCGGATTGGGTGGTATTCTTCGGACGGTGTTTAGGGGGGCTGGTCTCGGGTTTCCATTGTCCATCGGTCTGCCGGTGGTCTGTGACGCGGCGGCCAGTGGTGGACCGGCCGGACGCTCCATCTCGATGCTCTGCTTTTGTTTGGGAAGACTCGGGAAGACGGTTGTCACTTTCGGGGGGCAGTCCTTTCGAATTAGGGAATGTGGGGTGTAATCCCTATCTCAACCCCGCTCTGCAGAAGTAGAACAAGATCGGCTGATCAAGATCGGGAGCAGTGAATCTGAGAACTATGGTCGTCGTTGTTGTTCGTGTGATCAGGTCGTGAACTGGAGAGACGAGGCTGGGAGCATGCCTGGTCAGAGTGTAGTCGAAGTGACACCATGACCATCAGCATTGTTCTTCCCGGTCATATATCTGGTTGAGGAACAATCGGGGAGATGAGGGATAAGGGGGGGAGAGGAAGAGGTGATATCGTGATATCGTGAGACTGACATCCTCAAATTCCGTATCGTGCCAGATTATCGGTCGGCTGGCTCCCGTTAGCGCCTTCCAGTGACGCAGGAACTGCGCGTCGCTCATTGGGTCGCTTACGGCCACCCAAACCTTCTCTTGAGCCGCCTCTTGTAGCTGCTAGAGCTCAGAGCACAATACATACGACAGCTTTCTTTCTTGCCACATATCACGAATACAAGGCATTATGCTGTCAATTCTGTCGATTCATGCCATGCTCAGAGCCTTCAGATCGATGAGGTTCTAGTATAAGGTAACATGACATTGATAGATTGGTACCAGAAGATCTCTCAATATCCCAGCGTCCTCCTTCCAAAGTAGCCCTGCTCCGGTCATCCGGGCCATGGAGCTGCTGCTGCTTCTCTAGATCCAAAAACCACAGATGACAAGTTTTGAGTCTTCCAAACCGAGCTCATTCTATAGCATCAGTCTTTACATCTGGTGCAGACCCCAGCATTCCATTTACAACCCCATTCCTTCCCTCAAGCAAGTGGATGTATTGCCCTACGTCAACATAGGAACAGCGATCTTAATACTCTTGCATCTGCGATAGGAGATACAACTGTAAACTGTCGGATCGGATACGTCCGTTGCTAGTGGAAGAGGAAGAGTGTGAAGGTCCCACCAGCCCGGAGGGTACCAAGTTCGGGGTAAGAGAAGTAATTAGCGATCAATGAGAAAGCAGAAGCAACTATGCGGATTATGCAGAGAGAGGTTGGATTGAATAAGGGGTGCGGGAAAGCAGATTGTCGAGAGGTAAGACGTTGGCCCTAATGGTTCTGCTTCGAGAGGACTTGAATTCTTCTGTCAATGCTGCCGCCTTATCTGACATGCCATGGCGGTTATTGTATGTCCACCGGCTGGTCGCAGATCTCAGTCATTGCCAGCATAGGCCTTTCCCAGCCGTGAGGTCATTGAAGTGTCTGTGAGAGGGCGCACTTGACAGCCATGAATTACATCGTTGCATCAGGATTATGCCTTCTGATTTGATGGGCAATGGAAAAGAGCTTCCCAAAGCCATTACAGGGTGTATCCAAGCCTTCGGTACTAAGAATAGTAGTGGATGGCCCTAGCTAAGTACTGTTTCTTGGAAAAGGAAGCATGCATTATTGCGAGCATCTAGAATAGAGACACTCGAGGTTGCGAACTCGAAACACCGCAGAAAACAAGTGCGAGAATAAGATCGCCGAGGACTGTTCGGGGTCATTTTGGGAGTAGAAATTGAAAATTATCCAGGCGTTTTGTAACTTACAGTCTTGTGAAGATCGAGAACCCTTTCGCTGTTATTCATTCCAACATCTCAGGAAGGAAATTTTTCAAGTCGTGGTGCCGAAAGATTCCTCGAATCTTTCTTATAGGATTCTTCTTATCTGCGCGCAGGTGTGACTCTATCAACCACGCCCAGTTCGCTTGAGAAGAGCAACCTTCCTACAGATCCCGCATAAGCCTTTCAGGCTGAGAACGGTGTATGAATAAATCAATCAATCAATCAATCCTACCTTCCGGAAAGAAAACGCCCGAGGATATCTACCAGCCTCGATGTCGTGAGTAAAGTCGATATCGAGGGCCGGAATCCCAAGCTTTTCATTCTCCAAAGATTCAAAATATGAGACCTGGCAGGACCAAACAAACGACGATCTGCTTGATCGCGTCCAAGTACCATCCTGGAAAAGGGGCCTGCCACATCACGTGCCACATAGCAAAGATTCATCATGCCTCCTTTGTCGAGGACCAATTCATGTGTGGATATTGATTTCACGCTCCGTCGCAAGTTTAAGAAGACCTCTTTCAGGTAAATTATCCTCACCATGACTAGATCTATAGGCTAACCCCTACCAAAGGCCCTTGCAACGTGAAGTCATCGTTGCCGCACTGAGCGGTGATGATGTCTTCGTTCAAGCTGCTACTTCGTTTGGCAAAAGCTTATGCTTTCAACTGCCAGCCTTGATTGATCATGGGAGTGAGCACCCCGAGACTTATATGTGTTGGCAAGATCTGACTATTTGCAGTCACAATTGTCATCTCGCCGCTCTTGTCCTTGATGGTAAGCCGAGCAGCCTTATTCCAAAGCCTCGAGTTGACTTATTCCCAGACTGATCAAGTAAACGCTTTACGTGCTGCCAATATTGAAGCCGGCACTATCAACAGCCATACCCCTTACCCAGAAAGACAGCGGCTCTTTTCAGACCTTGCCACCGGCCATCCCGTTACGCGGCTCCTCTACGTCACACCAGAGCAATGTAATGCAGACAGTTTTCGAAAGCATCTCCGAGTCGTGCATGAGCAAAGGGAGCTTGCCCGAATTGCCGTCGATGAGGCTCATTGCATCTCGGAATGGGGCCATGACTTCCGTCCCACCTTCAAAGAACTACGCTGGTTTCGAGACAGCTTCCCAGACGTGCCTATCATCTGCCTCACGGCAACAGCCACACCACGAGTCCGCCAGGATGTCCTCACGACACTGGGGCTATCAGAAACCAAATTAAAAGTCTTCACCATGACCACCTTCCGAAAGAACCTGCATTATGAGGTCCGGTTTAAATGCGATAAAGAGGACCACTATGGCGATTTCTTAGGCTGGCTAAAGAGAGTCCATAAGCGGCGCGCAGAGGATCCAGCCCGGCGCGCCGAGCTCGAACGCAACAATGAGCGCCTCGACAACGTCTCAGGGATAATCTACACGCTCTTCCGCCAGGACTGCGAGGATCTCTCAGCCCGCCTGCGCGCAGACGGCATCGGCGCCAGGCCCTACCACGCGGGACTCCGCAACGACGAAAAGAACGAGACGCTACGGCGCTGGGTCGATAACGAGAAGGGCTACGACGTGATAGTGGCGACGACGGCGTTCGGCATGGGCATCGACAAAGAGAACGTGCGGTTCGTCGTGCACTGGCAGCTGCCCAAATCCTTCGAGGGCTTCTATCAAGAAGCGGGCCGCGCGGGCCGCGATGGGAAAGCGAGCCTCTGCATCATGTATTACAGTCGCGAGGACCGCGATCGCGCCTTCACGCGCCTCGCCAAGGATGGTCGCTCGGGCTCGAATCTGGAAGCTAGGGTGAAGACGCTGCAGGCTCTGATCGAGTACTGCGAGGACACGGACACGTGTAGACATAAGCTGATCTGTCGCTACTTTGGCGAGAAAGAGATCCCCGCCTGCGACTATGCTTGCGATTGGCACAAAGACGCAAAGAGTTTGAAGCGGGCCAAGTTGAACGGTCTGGAGAGTGAGGAGTGGGTTAGTACACAACGAGACATGGGCCGTTTTGATAATGGTTATGAAGGTTATGAAGGTTATGATTGAGTCTTTTTTTTGAAGGGATGGATTCTCATAGCTGATTGCTTGGAATATATGTAGAATAAGCCCTTCTGAACTTACACAAATGCTTTTTATTGGCAGAAGAACGCTCTGCCTCTTCTGTCTCTGTATGCAGATCACATATATATATCAAAGACCTCCCATCTCAAAGCAACTACATCCTATTACCTCCCTCCCTCCCTCCCTCCTTCTAAAAGTCCAATCCAATCCAGTCCCCGCCCCTTCCCAACCATCTATCCATGCATCCCCCCATTCAATTATCCCAACAAGTCTTCTCGCCGTCCATCTCCCATCTCCTAACCAACCCTCCAGAAGCCCTACACATTTAAACCCAAATCCATCTCACCATCAACCCTCCCCTTTCCATTTCCAAATTTCCAAATTTTCATAATTCTCCACTTGCCCACATTCTTTCTTTCATTCTTTCTTTCTTTCCTTCTCTTCTTAACTAATCATCTTTTTCCATTCATTCTCCTAACTAGGTAGGCAAATGACTAACTAGTTGAGTGAGTGAGTGAGTGAGTGATTGGTTGAACGTACAATTACCTAGTTACCAAGCCTAGGAGGAGTGCTGATTAGAGAGGAGAGGAGGAGAGGAGAGTAGACTAGAATGAAATATTCGTTGGAGGTTGCTCTCTGTTTACGATTACTTGTCCTGTACAGGAATTCTCATATGTTTGGTTGTTTGTTTGTTTGCTTGCTTGTTTGTTTGTGATGACAAAGTAAAAAGGAAATAGGAAAGGAAAGCAAAGGAAAGAGAATAGTAGTCCAACAATAACAAAGGGGGGTATCTCTACATGTATGCACCAATTTATGCCACCCATGCCATCCCATGCCATGCCATCCCATGCCATGCCATCCCATCCCATCCCATCCCAGAACTCCGATTCTCAATGCGTTCATTCATTCATAAACCCCATCCAGCCCAGCCCACCATCACAAACCAACTCCCTCCCACACGATCATGAATCTCCCTCAATATCCACCTTCCCTCAACAACGGACCATGAGGCACCATCCCATGAGGCATCTCCCCTCTCAATCGCCACCAGAAATAATTCTCCACCGACATTCTCGCCAGGTGGCCCACCTTGCGCTCTCTCATCCTTCCCTGCAAAATCCTAAGCTCCTGCGGTATGGTGTTACCTTGCTTATCGACCTCTTCTTCCCACCACTGTTTCTCGGCTTTGCACTCTTCGAGAACTGCCGCGATCATGGCGTCGTTCAGCTCGTGGTGTTCTGGGATCCGGATCGTGCGGAACCAGCGGCTGGTCTGGTGGTAGAGGAAGCAGGTGTCGAGGGGCGCGAGGAGAGATGTGATGCTGGAGAGCGGCTGGCCTTTGTAGGTTAGGTATTGGATGATGGCTTGGGAGGGTGGTTGGGAGCGGGGAGGTTGAAGGATGTTCTCTTCAGAGTCCGAGTCGGAGTGGGAATCATCAGATGAGTCATAATTAGAGGGCGAAAACGGAGAGGTTCTGGGGCCCATGGAGCCAACGTCGAACTCATCTTCGTCGATCATGGGATCGATGAGCGGGAGCTGGTAGTACTCAGAGATATTGTTATCCACGTCGAGCACAGTCTGGAGACCGTCGGGAGCCATGATGTAGAAGCCCGAGTAGGGAACAATGATGGTGCGGAGGTCTTTACTCTGGTACTTGGTTGCGAATTCCTCGTCGGAGGGTTTCATCAGGGAGGCGCTTTTGCGCGTAGCAACCAGGCCTCGGGCGGTTCGGATGCGGTCGAGGATGCCTTCGTAAGACATACTCATGTTATCAAAAAAATTGGGGAATGGGACAGACTGCTCGTCAGCTTCGAGTTCAGCATCGATGGCTTGATTACCAGCTTCGAGTAGCTTCTTGCCTGTGCTAACGGCCTCGTCATCTGCTCCGTAGAGATCATCTTCAACCTCATCACCAGCTTCAGAAGCCGCGAGACTTGGTGGAGGGACCTGGTACGCTGGCTTAACATACTGCAGCGTATCAGTAGAAGAGTCATTGAGTCTCTCCAGCTCGGCTGTAGTCAGTGCCACGACACATTTGTCAGGATCAATAGGGTCCGCAGCAGCCTGTTCACCACACGATGTGCCGATCTGTTTGAGCTTCTCCTCTGAGAGTAGGGTGGCAGCGGTTCCACTGTGCCGATTGTCCCAGATTCGATTCGCAGGGAGGACGGGTGGCTCGTGGAAGGGGATGATACGTTGAACAGTGCGTGCGATCGTCGTCAGCGCTCTGGATTGGTTCATCATGTTGGAGAACTTGCTCTGCGGAGTGGTGTAAACAACCTGCGTGACTAGTTAGTCTCAATCCAACCAGGACAGGACGCGACTCCACGCGTTCCGATCTAAGAATAAACAAGACAAGTACATACACTAGGATTGTGTTGGTAATTAAGGGGAGCTACTTCAACCTTCTTGAACTGAAGGTGAGTGCGATCGAGGAACAAGTCGAGGCTCTTGCTAGATCGGCGCATGGATTTCTTAACTCTCTCCAAGCAGGTCTCGAGAGACTTGGAAGGCAAACCCAACTTTGGTTCGTAAGATGACATTGAGCTGCGCCCATTGACATAAGCATTGAAGTTACCATCAGTAGTCCAGACAGTCTCGTAAACAACACCTTGTGCTGTGCCAGGCATCTTCGTCTCTTTCTTCAACTTTACCATGATGGGCGTGGTCGTATCGATGATCGGTGGTCCAACGAAAGATGAGCCTGCAGGCACAGTCGCATTGACTTGTTGTGGTGGGTGCTTTTCTAAAAAGCGGTTCAAAGCAGACGAGAAGATCGATCTATTCTGTTTACCTTGTTAGCTTGAGTGAATTCACCTTTGGGAGTGTGATCTTACGATTTTCATTGTTCCAGTCTGCGAAATCACTGGAATCTGAGAGGTTGACAAATAGAGGTCGTGAACTGTTCCGTCGGCGTCATGGATGGCCAAATATGCCCCTGATCGCGATGCCTTGTAGACGCTCTCTTCATCAAAGGTCCCAAGGGACTCTGTTGATAGAGATGCCTATTTAGAGTGTCAGCTTCTTAGGATATCCCACTCCAACATGAGAAGAAGTATCATACAGTATGAGCCATCGAACCAGGTTTGAATAGACTAGAGAGCTGCGTCTCTTGTCTCTTTGACAGGATGAGGTCATGAACTCTTCCTTGAACATCTCTGAAAGAGAACTTCGCACGAGTTTCAATTCCTCCCTGTTTACAATCAGCAATTGATAGTCAACAGTCGAATTCTCAGCGCATACCTCCATCTTCGGAGTTAAGTCAATGCCGCTTCGGTAAGCTTGAAAAGGGGGGTTGGATGAGATCAAAGAACTACAACTTCTTCACTGTGAAAGTCAATCCCTTTGTGATTCAAATACCTATTGTTGTGAGGGATCAAAGTTTTGTTGTTGTTGTTGTTGTAGTCTTGTAGAAACTGGTGAGGAGGCCTTTGAACAAGCAGCGCAGGAGAACCAGGGGCGCGATGATAGGTTCGGTTAGCTAGCGCGCTTCTTTCAGGAGAACGCTAGTCCTGTTGTGAGTGGGAGGTCCTATGCCTTCACTTTCTTGTTCGATCTTCTAGGACTTGAGGAAACAAAATTGGAGGGCATTCTCGAGGGACTGATGAGATGAGACACTTAGGACCCAACGGGACCATCGAAGAACAGTAAGAACACCGAGGAGACATTGGAAACGCGTTTTGATAAACAAGCATCTCAATGCAGAGCCCTCCTCCACATTTCTACCTTTTGGCTTTCGAAGTAGGAGTCCTGAAGTCAAGACCCCTCCATATCCAAGCAAGCATCATGTTCGAACCCCACTTGAAGTTCTGACAAGGGCAGACTAAGCAAGCAACCCAGACTGCACAGAAAGACTCTTGCCAGGCAGAGATACCAGCAGAAATGGAGCTGATGACTAGCAGCAAGATAGGTATCTGCGAGCCAGTTCTCTCATACTTATGGAGACCAAATTCTCTTGAATACTGCACTTCCAAACCATCGATGAGCAACAACACGCTTCTATCTCAAAGTCAAGAGGGTGCGCAGCAGATCACAGCTCACAACCAACATCCCCTCCTCCCAAACTTTCAAACTTGACACCGTCATCGCACAGCACTTATCACCGCATCATCTTTCACATTCAGAACCTACCATTCAAAGACCATTCTTCCTTCAGGGGCGGTTATGGAAGGAACCAGCTCGATTTAAAGAATGTGGCATTCTTAAGATATCTCAATTCCAAACACCATCAGCATCAGCATCATCACCACATCACTTCAGCGTAACCAACTCCTCCGCACTAGTAGGATGGATGGCGACGCAGTTGTCGAAATCCGCCTTCGTCGCGCCCATCTTGATAGCGACGCCGAAGCCCTGCAACATCTCGCCGCTGCCCAAGCCCAGGATATGCAGACCGACGACCTTCTCGTCGGGGCCTTGGCAGATCAGCTTGTAGCGCGTGGGTCCCTTTTCCTCTTGCTCCATCATGGAGTAGTACATGGCCGTGAAGCTGGTGTTGTATATCTTGAGGTTCTCCTTGCCGTATTTCTCGATGGCTTCCGGTTCTGACAGCCCGATGCTGCCGATTTCTGGGTGCGCGAAGACCACGGATGGAATCAGGTTGTAGTCCAGCTTGGAGTTGCTGAACTTGGGGGGGCCGAAGAGTCGGTCACTGAGCTTGCGGCCGGCGGCGATGGCAACGGGCGTCAGCTCGACCTTGCCGGTGACGTCGCCCAGCGAGTAGATGTTCTCGACGTTGGTGTTTTGGTACTCGTCGACAACGACCTGGCCGCGTCCGTTTTGCTTGATGCCGGCTTTGTCCAGTCCCAGATCCTCGACTTCAGGGGAGCGGCCAATAGCCCAGATCAATTCATCGACATCTTCGAGCGTGCCCTTCCCATTGGAGTCTTCGTAGTGCACCGTAAGCTTTCCGGTCTTCTCGTCCTTCTCGATCTTGGTCTGGCTGGAATTCTTGTGCAGGCGAACGCCCAGACGTTCATACTCGGCGGTAATGGTCTCCTGAATCATAGGGTCGAACGACCTGAGGAACTTATCATGGCGGATGAAGAGATGTGTTTCCGTGCCCAGCGCATTAAACATGCCTGCAAACTCGATCGCAATGTATCCGGCGCCCACCAACGCCACCTTCTTTGGCTGCTTCTCGATATCAAAGAAGCCATCACTGTCGATGCCGTACTCGGCCCCGGGGACATCCTTGGGGATAATCGGGTGTCCGCCAACGGCCAGCAGGATCTTCTTCGCCCGGATATCGGTGGTTGATCCATCATCCAGCACCACCTGCGCCGTGTTCTTGTCCAGGAGATGTGCCCGGCCGTGGATATGCTCAACCTTGTCATTCACCAGGTTCCGCTCGTAGATGCCGTTCAGACGCTTGACGTACGCATCCCGCTTCTTCTTGAAGGTCGGCCAGTCGAAGGGCGCCGTCTCCTTCACGGAAAACCCGTATGCCTTGGCTTCGCGCAGCGTTTCCGCAATGGCCGCCGCGAAGAATGTAACTTTCTTTGGTACGCATCTTGCTTTGCTGTTAGCTTCTGCTCTTCTTCTTCTTCGCACATGGATGGATAGAATAGGGGGCAGATGTGAGGTTATACGTACCCAACATTAACACACGTCCCTCCCAGCCGTTTGCTCTCCACCACAATCGTCTTCGCACCATAATACCCACTGGCCCTCCTCGCCGAAGCCAGCCCACCACTGCCACCGCCAATAACCAGGTAATCGCATTCCTTCGTGACGGGCGCCATCCTGCTCGCGGAAGCTGTCGCCGAGAACTGTCGCGCCAGAGAAGCAACTCGAGAATGGACCAGCGTCGTCGTCGTCGTCGTTGTCTTAGTTGCGAGAGACACCGAGGAGGAGCGGGTGAAGCATGCGAGTTTTTGCATGGGAATGTTTGTGTTCGACGGACAAGCACCACCGCTCGACTACTACCTTACCTACTACGTACGACTGGCTTACGGGGGGGGATCGGGGATCGGGGGGAAGATGGGGGGGGTTTGGATTGGAGTGACGTGCTTCTAGAGCTCCTGCAGGCTGACGATTGTTCGTTTTTTACCCTTACTCCGCAGCCGCAGATTACCAAGCGGGTCTAGAACTCGGCGTCGAAGAATATTATTATCAAACAAGAGAGAGTGGGAGTTCACTTCATGATTTCAAAGCTTGCTATTGTAAAGGCTCTTCGAGAGCTTGTGTTCTACTGTTTTTATTGAAGTTGAAGTACCTTATGGGCTTTTCGCCCCCCCGTGTATGAATAATCCAGTCGATGTCGTGCTCAGAGCCCTGGGTCGCAGCCTCGCCTTATCACGTGACAATATATGGGATAGGTAGGTCCCCCGCCGTACCAAAGGTACAGATTCCTCCTCTGTAGTCCTTCGATTTATCTGATAAAGTCTCTATTAATATACGCTCACCGTATGATTCTCTGCACTACTAATCAATCAGAAGCTCATCCCGAGTTCCGTCCCCAGCCGCCAATTATTCGCTTTATTTAAAGCCTTCTGAGTCCTTAAGATAATATTACTCCAGCTTTCGCAATAATTCAACAGAACAGACGAGCACCGCAATTCCAGCCTCTCTATAGAGCCAAGAGACAGAGCAAGCAAGCAAGCAAGCAGGTGAAATCTTAGGGTATCATTGATTTTACTCCGCTTTACAAGTTTCAGTTTTCGGTACATCTCTGCGATGTAGCGAAAGGTAAGGTACCTAAGGTAGCTAGCTAGCTGGCCACCCATCTAGATAATCCATCTTTCTGTCTTATCCGCTGGGTTATGATAAACCGCCCAGATTATAACATACATACACATACACACACACATCAATTACATTCCATTCCAATCCATTCCTAGGTCCCTCCTCTGAACGGGGGAGGACCGGGACCCGATTGACGAACCGACGTGTTCCAACGCCGGAGAAATGCTGGACCGCCTGGAAAACCGCGCACGCTGCAAAAAAAAGTAATGAAGATAGATGGGGAGAGGTGGAGAAGCTTAAGCACAGGGGCCGGCGGGTTGGTTGGTTGCCGAGATGATGATTCGGGGGGAGGACAAGCGGGACCGGGTTTGGCAAATGACGGGTTTGGGAACTTGGGAGAGCGTCTCCAGCTCTGCTGCTTGCTGTAGGTCTACGAGGCCGGGGGCTTTTTTGAGAGGGGGGTAAGAGGAAGGAGATGAAGTTGAAGAGCTGAGGGGGAGCGGACGGACGACTATGTGAATTTGGTATGGATGATATCCGGGTTCTCGTGCCAGTCATCGATGCTGACCCACATCTGATTGGATTGTTAGTAGGAGATCTTAAGAAGTAGTAGGGTGTTAGAATAGGAGGGCGGACCTTTCTGAAGGTGCTCAATCCCGCCAAGATGCTACCTCCAATCCAAGTCGAATATTTCCTCTCGGGGGGTGCGAAGATCTTGATCCTCATATCCTTCACGGCTAGTCTCTGCACTTCATGTAATAACCTGTCACCAAAACCTTTCGTCAACGTGCTACCACCAGACAATACAATATTGCCAAATAGGGACTTTCGAAGGTCCAGGTCTGTGCGGTTGATAGCATCCACGACGATCTGATGGATTCCGGGGTACTCAAGACCGATAATCTCAGGGTCAAAGAGGATCTCAGGTGCTCGGAACCGTTCCGCTCCAATCTATCCCTGTGTAAGCAAAGATCCAGCCCAATACCCAAATTCAGAAGTAATACCTTGATCTTATTACCGTCCGGCAGTGCGTATTCAACAACCTTACCATCTCCAACCTTGGAGGCGGCCCACTCCTTCTCCTCCTGCCTTGGATTCGCAGCCACATAGCTGACCTTCTCCTTGATCATTCTCACCACCTCTTTTTCCGCACTGGTATGGAACACATAGCCCGACTTCCGTAATAACAGCTGCAGATATTCTGTGACGTCCCGTCCAGCAACATCTATCCTTCGTATTGAGCTGGCCATCGAGAAGCCTTCGTACACTGGCACGGCGTGCGAGACTCCGTCGCCGGAGTCGAGAACTATCCCCGTGGTCCTGCCGGACGCATATAGGGAGAGGACAGCTTGGATGGATGTGTATAATGCAGGGACGTTGAAGGTCTCGAAGAGGATCTGGGCCGCGGTATCGCGATTACTTCGAGGGTTGAGCGGCGGTTCTGTCAACAGCACAGGATGCTACGAGGTGAATTATTAGCTGCATGCTCTTCTCACGCTGTCCAGATCTTGAGCCCAACGGTCTTCTTCATGCTAGTAGTGGACCACCCAAGAACAAAAACTCACCTCCTCACTCAAGGTCTTCAATCCCTCCCCATATACCCACTCCCAGATCCTCTCCATATCGTCCCAATCCGTCACAATGCCATGTTCCAGCGGATACCTGATCCTCAGCAGTCCTCTTAAATCCTGTGCTCTCTGTCCAATAAACACATCCCCTTCCAACGCCCCAGCCAGCACTCTGAGATGTTTCGGCCTGCCTACAAAAGATGGGAAGTAGCATTTCGGCAGATCTTCACCCGCAAAGCCCGCGCGTATGGTGCCCGAGCCGTTGTCCAGGACTATAGGGGCGTTGTGGAGCGTGTCGGCCATGGTTGCTTTGGGTTCTTCGCAATTCTTTCCTGTAAGAGGGCCGGCGGAGGAGGGGGCTTTGGTGGCGGATGGCCGTGCGATGGGAGGGGAGAGGGGTGCGTTTGAGATGGGTTGGCTTGGGGTCAAGAATTAGGGAGATCTCGCGGTTGAGGTCAATCTGTCGGTTTCTCCTGAACGTCGCGTAGCCCGACGCGCCCCAGGCTTTTTTGAGTACCGTAACGACAGGGGTATGATATACCGACGGCAATAGCACAGCTCTTTTGATTGAACTCTGGACAGGAATAAGAAAATCATTGAGAAATATGCCGTTGTTTGTTTGATATCAATCAAATACTACAACCTTGTTTCATTTTTTATTTACATCCGAGTTACCTTTTCATCAACATTTTGGGAATACCTAAGTGAGCACACACTTTTGACCTCTTCTTCGAGATCTTGATTGAGATCGCAGTGAGGGGGTGCTGTGCCTGAACGATGACGGTAGATCAGGGGCAGAGGGGGGAGTTGGACCAAATAGACGTCTTTTCTATTCAGGAAGAAAATAGGCAGGTTTCACATTCATACCAGAGAATCACTTCACACGGAACAAAAGACAAGTAACCAGGAAGCAAGATTGTATTGTAGAATATCTTGCAAGCTTGATGTTTTTATAGCTGGTTAAAATTCCACCAGCCACGCTCCGTCCCTTTCCCAGAGCCGCCATATCGCGGGCCCATCCATAAAAAGCTGACAACATAAAGCAATGTACAAATTCGGGTATCATAAAGTATTGGGGGTATTCCCATCGCATCGCTAAGTCGCTCATGACAAAGGAAGAGATTCGTAAAATTCACCAAGACAAATTATCTGGAGTCTGCCAGCCAGTATTGTCCTGAGGTCCCCCTGCTTTTTTTTTCCCGTCCGTAAAATAAGAAAGATGTGAGGAACGCCGTAATTTGCTGCCGCATGCTTTTTTTTTTGTTGACCCATTGCGCCGTGAAGAGAGACCGGAAAGACAAGATTATATGAGTGAAGAGCCCGTCATTGGGGGCAATTATGGGGAAGTCGAGAAGCAGCCCGCTTGCCTCGGACGCCTGTCATGCTGAAAACCGAGATAGGAACACATAGTCGCTGAAGAGGAGATTATTATGTATGTTTCGAGGAGTGGAACCGATCGTTCAAGAGCGCGAAAATGTCTGACTGAGACGATTGAAGAACCCACTCCGATTGCTGGCATCGGAGTCTGTCGAGCATGTCGAGTACTTGCGTGAAGACCCGGCTTGTGTTGAGGTCCAGTTGCCAGCTCCTCCCCGACCAACGTGGCAGATAGCCCCGTCCCTCATCTTCTGCTCGCGGGTGCGTTGCCGTTCTAGTTCCTCATCGAAGGAGAAGGCCTTCTTCTCGGCGTTGAGGTGGATGTTGCCAGCGCCGCCTCTCCCGCTGCTGAACTTGATGCTCGTATCGGGGAGACCAGCTTCGAAGAGGGATGCGGGTGCCTGTGTTGTGCGGCCGGTGCTGGACTTGGGGGCCCTGAAGGTGTTGCCGGCGCCACCACGGCCGGAGTGGATGTAGTTGCGGGCGGTGGGGTGTGGCTCAGTGATGGTGTATTGGAATGGCATTTGAGTATTCGTGTGTGGGAGAGATTGAGGTATTTGAGGTGTTGTAGAGAACTGGATAGGTTGTGTACCTCGTCTCTGATATGTGTGTGACGTAGAACAAAGAGAAAGAGACAGAGGCTGATTTATTGAAAGAACAGTCGTCGTCTGTCTGTATGTAGATTGGGTGATGATGAAATGGAGATGATGGTATGATTGGTATGTTCACACAATGACTTGAGTGAATGGAATGGAATGTAATGTAGTAGTGGAGTAGTAGATGATGGAAGCAAGGAGAGGATAGAGTGGCCAGCGATTATTATTATATACGGGGTCAAAAGAGAGCTCACCATTGTGTCTAAGCTGGGTTCCCCTCCGCAACGACTCACAGCGAAAAGTCTTGCGCTGGTTTCTTCACGATGTTTGGCACTTTGCCGTTAACTGAAAGCGACTGCGATCACGAGCGGAGGGCGGGGCCATGGCTGTGACTAAAGACGAGAGGGGCTGGCCAATGAGAAGGGCGGGTCGAGACGCTATTACCCCCAGGAAACTACGAGAGACGAGGACGCGGCAGCGTGACAAGCAATTGCTCCACGGCCCGCCAATATTGTGCCATAATATGCCATACCTAGGTAATATGCCAATATTGTCCCCTCAGAACGTGCTCGACCCAGGCCTCTGCCGTTGGCCACCTGACACGGTGAATAATGGATGCATGAATAATACTGTGCATAAGTGCCTCGATGGATGGATCATCTAATCATCAACGTATAGACATCATAGACATCATAGACATCGTCAGCATCATCATCCTCCTCCTCAACTCCACGGCCATCATGGACCCATCTCAGACCATACCAAGCACACTATACTGACTTGCCAAGGTAACCTGCTTCGTACAATCCAGAGACATCTAGCTATTGTTACTAACTCTTGACTCGATCCTACCAGCATACCTCTCAAGTCTCATTGACCCAGACCTGGCCACTGGGGAACCTTTGCAGGTACCTGGTAAAGTGGTACCCTCAAAGTACCTCCTCCCCGTACCTTCTGACACCCATCGACTCATACGACCAGGGCCACCAAAATAGAACCCCAGCAACAAGGTCCGTCAGAATAGGGCGCAGTATTATGGAGCCGCAAGAGAGAAAAAAGACTCAAAAAGACACAAAAAGACACAAAAAGACACAAAAAGACACAAATACTCGGCTCGTGGTCTCGCCTCCCCATATTTGTGGCCTCGGCAGTAGATCCGCCCCATTCCGCCCCGCTCGTAGCCGCAGAGTCCAGCCGCCCATGGCTGATGCAATTGGGCGAGAGGCGACCATTTCTGCGGAGCAGCTTCCGGCTGCCGGATTTCTGTTATTTTTTCCCCTTTTTTTCTAATTTTCTCCAATTTTTCCAATCTTTTCAATTCTCCCCTTTTTTCTTTCTTTTTCCTTCCTATGATTTTCCAGCTCTGCTCTTTTTGTTCCTATTTTTAGTCTCCGTTCCTGCATCTTTGCCACTGCCTTCGCTTCCACGAGTCACAGTCATAGAGAGGGCTTGCTCGCGTCTTCCCGATGCTTCGATCACAACACCACACACAATTTTTCCACAGAACACGACAGCTCGGAGAAATTCCCTCACCCCTTGCCCCAGTGCTACGGCATAGTTGCACCACCAGGCGTAGAGATAGAGCACGGCATCGCGGGTTCCTGAAACCTGAGAAGCGCAAGACACCTACTTGGTCATGAGAGGACCTACATACATCCCTCTACCATAACTCAGCCCTAGAGTTGTTACGTGATGAAACGGTATTACACGGCAACCTACCGCCGCGACTATCACACCGACAGAGCCTGTTTCCGTGTGCCAGTTCTCTCCGGTCAGCCTCAAGTCGGCCTGTCCGGTTCCAAGAACGAGACACAGCGCAAGGGCGATGCAGGAACCCGAATGCGCTGCGACAAGGTCGAACGTCCTTGCCATCCACCAGAGTGGGATTGCGGGTTGTGTGTTTTCAATTCAAGTGGTTATCCATTCTATTTCTACTATCTTTAATTATCTTTTTGGTGTTGCTTGGCCGGTCTACAAGCAGGAAGAGGCAGCTCTAGGAGACCCTTCCGCAACATTTGTTGAACCCTTCCTGATTCCTGAGATGCGATCTTAGCAAGTGGAGTATTGGCTTATAATACTCTTGCACTCGGCGATTTAGTATCCCTTAGCATGTTACAAGAAACAGCCGTTCTAGCTCTTCATATACATATCCCATCTGTACAATCTCTACTTATGGTTTGGGTCTAAATTCTACACAAACTGCTTACAATGTACAACCCTCTGTTCAAGAAGATGTACTTGTCAAGAAACTACTCCGCCTTTCTAAGAAAAGACATGCAACGTGCATGAATAGCCAAGTCTATTAGCACTGCCATATGGTCCGACTGTTCTTTCCTACATGGCCTATCAAGAGTCAAACTGTTCAGACAAGAACACGGGTCTAGCAGGAAGGCAGGAGAGTAGAGAAAAGAGAGGAGAAATTGTTTGTGGACAAGCGGTCTGTCTGTGCAGTCGGAAGACATATCGCCTATCGTTTTTTAGCCGCTGTCAAGTTCTCGCGTGTGCTATGCTACCTGCTCATTCTCTCCGTGGTGCTCTCCGTTCGGTTTCCAGCAGGCCTACCAGCGCCTTCTAGCTACTGGCTAACACTACAGTATCACTCAGCGAGGCTTTGCCCATTGGACCCTGGATGTTAGGGGTAGGGCAACTTCCCTGGGGGCTAGAAACCGTGCTAGTTGGATTAACTTGACCGCGTTACGGGGCTTTATTTCGATTCTTCCCCTTTCTTTACGCCTACGTGGGAAATCAGGCCGCCTGTACAGGAGGTGTTTCGTCTATATGTCCGAGAAAACTCTTCGCTAAAGCGTATCACCCTGCTTTGGAGCGTTCTCTATACCTGTTGCCAGAAGAGCAGACCGCACATCCCAAAGCCCTCCGCTACGTGTGCGCTCCGAGTTATCATTACTCGGTCTATTGACATCGACTCTTGATATCCCACCGTCGTCTTGGATCCGTGCTCAGTCTCCATCCGCTCAGCCACGGCAAGCGCCGGCTCTTCCCTCGTGTCACCCCAGCTACCCCTCGCACCCCGCGGAAGAAGCTCTCGCCTCATATCATATCACATCTACCTTAGCTGCTCGACCGCTCACGCCATGTCGGCACGCAGCCTAACGAAACACCCCTCGGCCGGGACACAACGCGATCAGCTGTTAGATCCGCTGCTGATTCTCGCTCTTCACCCGCTCTCCGATTCGTCCCATGTCATGTCATCCTACATACTGTACGGGTCACTGGGTGCGTGTTGGGCACTGATAGTCGCGGAAAAATATCTTCAGGACGCCGCCCCGTCACGTACCCATTGTTGGAAACGGATGCTGTGGAACGTGGTATATGGAGCTTGATGTCGCCGCCTCCCATCTCCTAAAGACGTGTCCGACTCCCATATGCTGTTGTGATTGGGAGCTCCCAGCTGATAGCTGCGCGCTGGTTGGAGCTTGGGAAAGATGGACGCAGCCTCTGAATTTAGCCGCGCAGATCAGCAAGAGCAGCTAGGATGTACAAGACTTGGGAGCAATAGGTCTGTTCCAAATCTTTGTGAAGGAGTAATATACATGACCATTATCAGAGACTCCTACCGGCATTGTTCAGTAGCACGGGGTCTGCACGTATGCCACACGTTGTTTCTGCCGGCGTTGTGTTTCAAAACCGCATGCACAATTGCGTCTCTATCTGTCTTCATCAGATTCATCGGCAGGGGAAATTTGACAAAATCTCAAGATCTGATGATGATAACTTATAGTGCTGATGTAGCGAAAGTCACATAGAAGATAGAGTGACGATCGACAACATCATCCTACACATGAGCCCACTTCCCCACGTCGACCGAGAAGAGCGCATGACTCCATTGCCGCCCAACCAACCTCCCGTAAGATCGGTTGCGTCACCGGGCGAGGAAAACACACAGAGAGATGTAGGAAAGGTAACTATCATATCAAGCACGTGCTCGACCACGGCTCCAAGTCATGGCGGATGGGCAAGCAGCCACCAGCGGCCAGAAACGAACGCAAGAAATGAAGAAACGAATGCAGCCCTCCGGCGACCTAACTCCCTTTGTATCCAACTCCGTTGTCCCACCGCCCCCAGAGGTATCCCTTCTCCCAAACCAAACCAAAAAAAATGACTCCCGCAATCCCAGGCGAGCGGTCGTCACTGATGGCCAGACGTGGAGCCGTAGCCTTGTCCATAGCCGGTGTTGCCCTGGTACTCACCGCCAAAGCCCGTGTTCCCGCCGTATGCAGCGTCGGCCTGCACGGCATAGCCCGTCGACGTGTAGGCCGCGTGAACAGGACACGGCGATCTGGTGAGCCCGGCTCCTCCGCAGCGCTGGCACGACGCGACCCTATTCAAGTGTCAGTCACGTGTGCCCACTTATGGCTTGGAGAACGTACTTCCTGGGATGACCTCCACAATGAGTGCAGTGGTTGAGGACGAAGCCGCCAATGCAGCAAGCGTCGGTGTTGTTGTTCTGACCGCCGACTCCTTGAGCCATGATGATCAATTGGGTCTTGCCTTGATTGAGGGTCCTGAAGAAGAGGTAGCGGGGGGAGGCAATGCTGGTGCAAAAGCCGGCTTGCTTAGAAGAGAACTGATATTGACGAAGCTATTGCGCTCTGAATGATTTCTTGCTACTAAGCTTCTTCCTGACCTCGAGTCTGCTGTTATCAATAACCATCAAGGGACATCCCGCCCCTCTTATAGCTCTCCCTCGCTCTCTTTCACCCGCCCACTTCAGCCGATTTGTGTTCATGAATGTGCCAACATTGAAGATCATGTTGGGCAGCGCTGCTGACTGCGCGCACCGAACAAGAAAGATTCGCAGCAGGGCCTTCGGTTAACAAAACAAGAAAAGGTCTCACACCGCCTCGTCTTCTCTCCAGAATAGGATCCTCGTCCGCGATTGGAGCCGCCATGCAGACAGACCATATATGGAAAGGAGCAAAAGATGGCCTGCTGATTGATAACGGCGGCATGGACACGCCACAAGCAGTTTTTTTTCGTTGGTTCCGCCTCCCGATTGTGCGGAGACGAAGATGCATTTCTATGGGCCTTGCTCTCAATTCCTGCCTCGAGTACGTTACAGCATTGGATAATACGTGGAGGTGCTGCCGACATGAAGCGCGCATGTGGGGCGGAGAGAGAGAACGCTGCAAGTCATCCCGTTGGATCGTGCATGTCCTTTGCTCTTCGTTCTCTAGCCCCAACCTTAGACAAATCCTCGGGTCCCTATTCTGCTATTGTTGACTCCTTTTGCGCGAAAGCCCCTATAGACAGATAGGTACTTAGGTAGCTTCCTCGTTGTTCCTTACCGATGGATTTCTTGCTTGCCTACATCCTACCTAGGTACTCTGTGAAGTTGAAAGTACGCTCTGGTGAGGATCGGGAAAGGGAAACATCAACTCTCGTCTGTTCGGATGATCACGCCTCATGCAGAGCACGTCGCAACTCGCGACACGGGAAAAAGGTCTCAGTTGCTGGCAACCCAAAGCACGAATAGCCGTGCATTCCAGAATTACCGAAAAATGGAACGCTATCCCGCCTGCGGTGCCCGGAGACAGAGACGGCACGCACATCCCATGTTTCGTTTCAAAGCCCAGCGCGAAGGCCTCATTTTGCCAAGCCTAGGAGCAGAACTAGCTCTCTTTACTCGGTCTGCAGGCTTCCGGGAGGGACGAAACGAGTTTCTATTCACGGCGCAGAATGATTGATGTTCATGCATTGTTCAACGTCGAGCTTCGAGCTTCGAGCTTCGAGCTTCTTCGTTGGTGTCCTGGATTATCCAACTCCCTCCTTGGCTGCTATGTAGGCGACAAGTCGCTGACTAAGCGAACATCGTCTTCGGGAAGACCAACAGGCACCTGGCTCTTTCACTCCCACACCACCATCCCTCCATCAGCAACTCCGCAAGTGCGTTGTTGTCGGGCTCGCAGAACGGTCGCGCGGATCATCACGTCGATCATCTATCTACCTACTTCCAAATCCCTTTCCTAGAGAAGTTCTCCAACCTACGTACGTCCGACATGCTCAGAGGGGGGTCAGCAGGTATCTCTTTGGGCCTCTCTCCTCGCGCTGTCCCGTTTCTTCCCTCCCCCGGAACGTAGAACCGTTCCAATTGCAGTGGGCGTCCCAGGTGTACAAACCCCGAACCCCAGCCCTCCCACGCTTGTAGGGGAGTTCTTCCTCTGATTGCTGGCTTCCGTGCGTACATACATACAGCATCCCTTCATCGCATTCCCCCCCTCGTTCTCTCAAATAATGACGCAGAAGGCGCGGGGGCCGCGGCTGCTTATCGACTAAATCCACTGATCTCAACACGATATGATACGATGCATCACACGTCATGCTGTACTTCCACCCACAAGTACATCCATCCCTTGAACAAAGCGGCCCCCGGGGGGTGTGGAGGTGTGGGTTGACAAATCCTAGAAAGAAGCAGGTCCGTCAGGGCCGAATATGATTCCTCATTTTTTTATTTTCTCTTTGCGCTGTCGTCCGATCTGCTCTGCTCTGCTGCTGCTGCCGCTCTCGTAGATCATGCAAGCAAGGACTATGACTATACAAGGGAAGAAAAGAAGAGAAAAGAAGAAGATTGGTTGGTTTCATGGATGGAGTCACACACGCACGCATCATGGAATTTTCAATTCAGTGAGGAGAGGATTAAGTTGAATGCACATTTTCTTCTTCTTCTTCTTCTTCTTGATCTCCCATTTCTCTCTCCTTCTATTGGTCAGGCAAATACATAAGAGAAAAAAACAGAGGGGGATAAGACTCGGGTCCGGTTCGGTTCGGCTCGGTTCGGCTCGGCTACCGGAAGACGCCCGCCGCTGCTCAGGTTTGGTTTGACTTCTTTTCAGTTTCTCTACCTTACTTCACAATTCAATTCAATTCCAATCAATTCAATCAATCTAGTTATACTGTACTGTACTGTATTATACTGTACTGTAGGCCAAGTAACTTAAGTAGCAAGCAAGCAAGACAGATTCCAAATATTTATAAAGTCCCACCACCGGGATAAATCTCATTCATGCATGTATGCATACATACATCGAATCGATCGAGCGAGCCACGTTGTTACCCTACCCTACCCTACCTACCTTACGAGCTATTTTATCATTACCTTACTTTACTTTGTTGGTATCAGTTAGATGATATTAGACGTACATCGTGCCAATATAAAAGTGGGAAAATTGCAAACTAGGTACCTACCTACCTAGCATACGAGGGGTTCGTTCAAGTCAAGTCAATAATCACTACTGTGTAAAAGTAAAAGTAAAAGTAAAAGTAAAAGTAAAAGAACAACACTTGTAGAATTTCCCTATAACTAAAACACTAAGTAAGAGCCAGCCACCGATAAGAAACTTCCTTTCCTTTGTATGAGGATGAGGAGGAGGAAGTTTTCGTTGCATGCATGCACAAACAAAGAAAGCTAGGTAGGTAAGGTAGGTAGACGCCCATCCCTTGCAAGACGCCCGACGAGATGCAGGAAAGGAAAGGAAGGAAATTGAAATCATGAATGAATGGCCCCCAACCAACCAACCCTGACAAATAAATACCCTCAAAAGCAAAGCAAGCAAGTACTCCGTCCCGATCGATCGATCGCCCCTTGGATATTCTGCATCGCTCTCAATACCTATAGAGAGCACCCAATACCTCAAAGCTTCAGTACCTAATACCAACCATATCGCGAAAAAGAAAGAGAGGCCCCTTGAAAAAGCCCCGGAAGAAACTCCACTCTAGTAGGATGATCGAGATTCCGCGTCCAAAACTTACAAGAAGTCTGGAGCTGTGGCAACGAGGACCGAGAAGAGGCCGGCGCCCACAACAGCACCCCCGAGAGCGGCGTAACCTACACCCTCCACGATCCTCTTGAGCCTCTTCGCTGATCGCTGTTCGGGGAGATTAGGCTCAACATCTTGCTTGACGCCTGGAAGCTTGGGAGTAGCTACAACCTCTGATCCTGATGCAGGCATATCTGTCGAACCAATCGAAGCATCTAATGAGGACGAAGCCGCCCAGATTCTGACCTCGTCTTCGATGACATTAGAGATCTCGTCTGCTTTGCGTTTCTTGTCCTTAGTTTGATCCGCTGTTGAGCTATCGATGATATCACGGATGCTAAGCTTAGAACGTCCTGGTTGAGAAGATGCTTCCTTGCTCGCAGCTGCCATGGAAGCCTTGCTCTTATTGTATTCGAAAGCACTTGTCATGTCGAGCAGAGGGCTGGGGTCTCTCTCAAAGATTGGTACTTGAGTACCATCACTGACGTAAGAAAGCGGCGGATCTGCTCGGGCGGTCAGAGAGACTGTACGTGAATCCGTTATAAGGAACTTACAAGAACCAGCCGCCTTGACCATACCCGGCGAGTGAGGAGGAATAACAGAGGGCTCCGCAGCATCATAACTGTCTACAGAAGAAAGGCTCCTTGTATATCTGCCTTGACGTCTTTCTGTGGACGGGGTCGCAACAATGACTTTGTGCTGTGGCTTCTGCTCTTGGTATCCTGTGGACTCTGAACCTTGCATTGTTCTTCCAGCCGGTGGTTTCGATATGACACCGTCCTCTGTTGCATAAAACTTTGCTTTGTTGTCCTCTCTGGCCTCAAAAAAGGCATGTTTGCCGGTCTTATCGCCGAGTGATTGTACACCACTCTCAGCAAGTAGTTGCTCCCAAGTAGTGGTTTTAACTGGGGAACTACGCGCAAATGAAGGATTAGAAGCCTGGCTGGGCTCTCGGGACAGTGAAATGGCAGTCTTCACCATTGCTGCATCAGAAGGGCTTGGCTGTCTGATACCTGTAGTCGATTGGCTAAATGGGTCCCTCATCGGCAAAGCAGAGCATTCGTAAGCATGGTGACTATCGAAGTTTGAAATTGTTTGGGGTGGCATTTCTGCGGGCTGGAACAATGAGGTACCACGCTTCAGTCTCTCATTCTCATCATTGTTCGCAGCAACGTTAATAGGGCCTTTGCCAGACATGACACTGTCGGTATTGCTCTCGTCCTCAGGCCTAAGCTCACCATAATGATCTGCATCGCCGTTTTCGAGCAGACCATCATCAAAAAGTGCTTGGATACCTTCTCTTCCTGACTCCGAGAGGCCGAAATCGCTTTCATCATCTTCGTCGCTCATGATGCTCTCCGATGCGAGGATGCGTGCAGCGAGTTCTATTGACGACGCACGCATGTCCTCATCACTGCTGGAAGTGGATGGTCCAAAGTTGGCGTGTTCATCTGCTTGGCGGGATTGGATTTTTGGAGAGCCCGGAGCTGAGTGGGTTTCAACGTTCATCTCCGGATCCTCAAAGGTATCGTGAATCTCTGAGCCCTCAGCTTCCTCTAAGCCATAACCATCCAAGGAGCCGGAATCATCAGATCCGCTATCGTCTGAGTGGAGATTTGAGCCCGAGGATGATGAGGATCGTACCTCTTCATCATCACTATCGCTGATAATACGAGGGTAGAACTCGGTCTTTGTTTGGTCATCAGAGTCGATGCCAGCAATGAGATAACGTATGTTCTTCACCTTGCAACGTTCTTCGTCGTTAGATTCCTCGTCCCCAGAGGACGCAGCAGGAAAGTCGTCCCTGGTGAGATCGATTGCATTGATAGCCTGGGATGCCTTGACTGGTCGACTTCCTATTGAGATCCCGTCATCGCTTGAAGAACCCTCATTCCCCTCGATATTATCATCGCTGATTTCATATTCTTCATCCTCGACATCAGATGAATCGGGGCAGGTGAACGTATTACTCTTAGTCCTGTACCATGACAATTAGCACTGTTGTAGCTGTAACAATGCAAGGAAGGCCGGGAAGTTTGCTTACTTGTAGGGGACAAACTCGTAATTGATACGGAAGGCACATGCAGGGAATACTTCAGAACCGCGTCTAACCTCAGTGCCGAATACAACAATGTCATTATCGCTGACGCTTCTTTGCTTTTTTTGTTCCAATGCAGTGTTGTTGAGGTAAGTTCCGTGGGTGGAGCCGATATCCCGTATCATGACCATCTGAGGTTTCGTCAGCATATGCATCGAATAGACTGCTGGGGTATCTCACATTATTTTCGGGATCGAGTGATATCTCTGCATGGTTGCGGGACATAACCGGGCTATCAAACCAGGCATTATCGACTGCTCCTGATAGTCCCTTGCTGACACTCTTCGAGGCTCGACCGATCTGGAAGGAACGGCGGTCTGGACGGAGGTCTAGGATTCGTTCGGAAGGACGGATATCCCCATTCAAGGAGGTGAGAGTGATATGAACTGGACGTGGTCAGTACTCGAGCATTGGTTTGATAAGATTTATGCAGCCGCAGAGAAACAGAATGGGATGGGCAGAAGTAATAGCAGGGTCGAAGCAACTGGGGTCAGTCACAGTGAAATACACTGATGGGATTCCCAAGCCCTACAGCCCAGAGACAGTTGGCATTTCAATAGCTGTCGTATTGGGTAGTACCAGCCTCGGAGGGAATGTGACTAAGACGAGACCTCGATACATACCTAGACTGTCCATTGCGACGATGACTGGATATCCGGCGACCTTGATGCAAAGCTTGGGGGGAGTGGAATCAGTGAAAGCAGCGAAATGAGGAATCTCTGTGCTTTTTGTGTGGGGCTCAACCCAAGCCGTGGTTGTATGGAACGCTGACGGAGGTGACGATTGTAGTCTGGGACACTATGTCGCTAGGCAAGATCAAAGGGTGTGAAGGGGGGAGCTTCGAAGGCTCGAAGAATCTCGAGGACCTTCGGATCGTTCTGCTTCGAGCAGAATGGTGTTGAGAATTATTGGATGTTTGTCGATGGGGAGTTGAAGTTGAACGAGGGGGGAAGAAGTGGTGGAGGAGGGGTCAAGTTCAAGGGAAGGCAGCCAGCAGTCAGGTGCTACGAGGTGGTGCTGTAACTCTGGACTGTACGGCGAGTGAATAAGGCGTTCGGGCGGTTTGCCTTGTCGATAAGGATAAGAGGGCGATAACGGGCGAGTCTATACCGCAAGCGGCTAGGGTGGACACGGGTCGCGAAACACCTCACCTTACACAGGTCATACGCTTACCGAGGCATATATGAGTGGTATTGTTACTGTTAATGATATTGATATTGACACTAACAGTTCTGGGATCTGTACAATGTGAAATACGGCTCTTCGATAAAACCTGTAATCTTGGTATTATTCACGTTGTGAGAGGGCGTAAACAAGACATCCTCTCTCTCCACGATATGACTGACCTCTGACGTAGGGCGAGCGAGCCTTAGCCCCGACCCACCTTTTCTCCAGAGCGCCTATTCCAAAGAATGCACCTTGGTCACCGACAATATCTATCTCCCTCCTATTGTCGTCGCCTTCCCACAACCTTTCATTCACTCCCGCCGCCTTTTTAATCTCATGCTTTACACATGGAGAAACTCATGCAATCAACTCCCCAGGTGCCTTATGATCGAGCTTTACGATAATACTTAAGACCTCGCCTCATCCAAGAGTACCCCGCATCTGATTCCGTGTTGACGGACACGATCACCTTATTTCGTACTCTCGTTTCATTTCCAGGAGACCAGAAAATCTCCATCATGCGCGACCTAAGACGCCAGGCTCTGGAGAGCGGGAAGACGGTCTCGAAGAAAGCGCAGTCGCGCATGTCTTCCCGGACCTCGTCAGCGGCAAACTCGCGCTCAAACTCGACAAATCCGAGTCGCCATGGCTCGGACGACGAGGAGGGGAACATGAGTGATAGCACAAACTGGAGGTTCGTGTACTCTGCGATGTGGAATCTCCAAATCTGGGTCGTTTGTTTAACCTATATACAGTATCAACTCCATCGATGATATGATCTTGAGTAGCCCGGACAATCCGACCGACTGGAAACAAGATCTCGCTGATCGGATGGAAGAAATCATAGACCGAAAAAGAAGCAGTATCCAGGGCAGAGAAGCCACTCTCGCTGCTTATACTCACATTCTTATGAGTCGATACGCATTTTCGGAAATAGAACATAAGCTCTCGGAACTGTATCCTGCCTTGCTGAAAAGCATCAAGGCAGAGAGCAGTGAGAAGGAAACATGTCTTGCCCTGAAAGGTTGGTAAAACCCAGATTTCCAAACTGGAAGTGATAGCCTAACAATGTTTCAAGCTATTGCACTCTCCCTGATTACTGCTCCTTCGGACGCCGCTTATGATGCAATTTTCCGAGCGCTGAAGCATGCATATACCGATTCAGAATACCACAGTGTGAAAGCGGCGGCGATTCACACACTAGCTGCAGCGGCAATGTATGGTGGCGCATCAGACAGGGAAATCGAAGAGATCATGGACGATTTCCTCGAAGTCATCGAGTCAGATGGCGAATCGGTGGGAGCAGGCGACAGTGGCGAGGTGGTAGCGGCCTTGTGTGAAGAATGGGGGTTTCTGGCTACTTCAATAGATGATGTTGAAGACAAGACCGAGGCGGCGATGGATGCCTTCGTGGAACAACTTGACAGCAGCGATACGTCGGTGCAAGTTGCCGCTGGGGAGAACATTGCTCTGCTCTACGAGAAGAGTTATACAGAGCGTGAAGCAGATGATGCGCCTGCCACCGAGGAGGAGGATGAGGAAGGATATCCCATTGATCAGAGTTATGTCAAGCGCTACGAGGTCTACCGACAAAAGAATCAACTCGAGCACACACTTTCCAAGCTGGCCAACGAGTCGTCAAAGAGAATTGCCAAGAAAGACCGCAAAGCGCTTCACGCCAGCTTCGCTGATATCCTTAACACGGTCGAACACCCCTGGCGGGGACCGCGATACCAAAATGCGATCGATCAGGAGACGGGACGAAGATATGGGTCTAGGATGACGGTTCGCATTCACAAGACCGGAAGTATGAAGATAGACCGGTGGTGGAAGCTGCATAGACTACAGGCACTTAGAAGAGTCCTTGGTGGAGGATTCGTGGTTCATTATGAGAACAATGAGGTGGTCTTCGATAGCCTTCCGTCAGTAGCGTAGATCCCCTATCGTCCAGAGCATGGCTGACGTAAATGCAGGATCATGATATCCACCGACAGGTGAAGCTAGTTGATGGAAAGGAATAGAGGGACTGGCAGACATGTTTGGCAAGTTCTTCTTGGGTTTGGACTGGAAAAGACCGGGGCGTTTAAATGTTTTAAACTTGAAAGAAAAAATACGCAATACCCTGAAGCGCTTACCCCGATATATGTAATTCTTTGCCAACGAGACAAGATCGTGGCTCGTTGGGTTTCCTCAATTACTAGTAGGCGAAAAAGAACGACGAATGAAAATGGCCAGATGCGCACGGTTTTGCCAAAACCCCTACTGTAACCTTGACCAAGAGTTGAACCTGGGCTGTGCTTCAATCTGGAGCGTCGCTCGTTGCTCATCCCCCATGATGCCATGGGCCATGTCCAAGTTTCCACGGAGCAGTGGAGAAGAAAAACAACAGGTCTCCCCAGCAACCGGCGTGAGGGCCTCGAGGAGGGAATGCTCCGTGATACGGCTAATACGAGGCTGGGGAGACTAAGCTCGGCAGGGTATAGTGCCCGCGCACATCCCTGTCGCGTATCAAATTCGTCGTCCGAGGCAGATCCCCTCGAGGCTCGAGGTCAGGGCCGCAAGGGGAATAGCGGTGAAAAAAACATATGAAGAACCGTCCGAATCCAGGATAGAGATATGGTCTATAGAGATATGGCTTGGGAAATATTACTGTATTAAAATCCAAATCAGTAACTTTTGTTTTGCGGGCAACGCAGTACAGTAGTAGTAGGTAGTACGCAGCACATCTGCAGCGCACCGACGAAACCCTTTGACGAGGCCATTCAGCCCTCTCGTTACTTGCGGGCTAAGACACTGCATCCCTTCCAAGTTCCAACCACTGGCAGAGTCAGCACCACGCTCGAATCTGTTTGTTCTTGAGAAGCATCCCTCTCCTGACTACTCCGCCAGTCCCAGTCGTCAGTCGCCCGTCTCCAGTCCCCGCCCCGTACTGTAGCATCCATCGTTCAGTGCTCGCAGGGATCCGATAACCCACACCCCCCAGCCCAGCGTGATAATCGGCTGGCCAAACCAGATACCGTGTTTAGGCTGAGCCCGCAATTCTAGCGCTGTTGACTGCTCCAGCATTCACCCAATCATACCCGTATCTCTGCTGGGAGACGGGCGGGTGGTTGAACCTGGGTGCTCGACCAGTTGACAACGCACAACTACCTCTTCCTGGCCGCCTCTCGCCCCCCCAAACACAACTTCTACTGTCCATATTCACCACATCCTCGCCCATATCGAATCGCAATCGCATCTGACTCGGTGCGAGCTCCGGATGCTCGTTCTTGCAGCAGTTCCTGGTCCGCACTTCGTTTGCCCGTAGCCACGGTACCGCCCAGCACCCGGGCGCTCAGCTCCCTCAACCCCAGCAATTCTTTCGGACTCCTCCCATCGAGAGATCCCTACAGCGCAGCAGCACAGGTCAACAACAACAATTTCACCTCCCATGCATCCCTACGACATCCTGCTTCATCTCTGACGGAACAAGAATGGGTGTCGAGCCGCGAAAAGCGCCCCCTCTTCCCGCGCCAACGGAGAGCGATAGCAATCCGGGGAGAGAGACTGAGATCGAGAGTCGGGTCACCGACAAGACGACTTACTCTCTGCCCTCCGATGGCAGCCCTATTACAATACCGACCAAGAAACGGGGCAAGGACCACGGCCTGTCTTCCAACAAGAGCCAGACGTCGCTGCTAATTGAATATTTTGAGGGGGGGAAGCCTGGTCAAGCTGATTCGCGAAGACCGTCCGTTCGAGTCAAAGTCACACCGTCGTCGAAGAGCCGGAGTCGGTCAGCACACGACCACATCCAGATCACCGAACGCAAGGGCACGCGAAAGCCATCATACACGAAGCGGATACAATTGTCACCAAACGTCAAAGACGACAAGTCACCCGAAGGCGAGCACGATGATAATGATTTCAACTCGTACCATTCAGCTACAGAAGAATCCAACGTTACATCTCGGGGTGGCGGGCCAATTGAGGTCGAAATAATGCCGCCCAGGCGACACGGAAGCCCTCTAATTCCTACCGACGAGAGTAATTCGAGATACATACAACAAAATTCATCAGATATCTCATCGCTGCCTGCCAACAGCTTCCTTGATGGCAAGTCACAATCCCCCGAAAGGAGACGCAGCCACAGCTTGTCACGAGACGAACCGCTGATACCAGCCGCCGCTGCGGGAGTGGCCGCTGCCGCCGTTAGTGAGAAACTACGCGCTCCTTCACGTAGACGAAGCCGAAGCCTTAGTCGGGAACGCATAGTCGCACAAAAGGCAGTGGAGAAGGTCCGGGGCGAAAAGTCAGAGCGTCGACGCAAACACAGCAGCAGGAGCCGGAGCGTCAGTGGCGAACACCCCCCGGAAGGAGCCAAGTCTCCGCGAAGACGATCGAGCCGTAGCCATCAAGAGGAATCTGTAGTATCAGGCGCAGCATCGAGTTTCCTCAGCTCACAAGTAAGTGGCAAGTCTGGTGATCAGTACTCAGTTCGATCTGGGGCTTCAAAATCTTCCATCAATAACCCGAAGCTACTCGAGACTGTGGAGGATGCTATTCGCCGACTTATCCTACCTGAACTCGCAACTCTGAAAAGAGAACAAAGCAAGCACGCACATCGTGACAGGGACCGGAGGGGATCGATCACTTCGGGGAGTGGCGTCTCCAGAGATTCGAGGGACGGCTCTTCGAGTACTAGGCGACTTTCAGACCGTGGAAGCGCCACTGACCTCTCAAAAAACCCAAAGGTTACTGTGAATGATGCAGATATCGGTTCAGGGAAGAGTCGCAAGGACCGCGTCAGACATGGGGATTCCTCTCGGGATTTCGAGCGGGAGGCTTCGGAGGAGACAGTCGTTCAAGATGGTGACGAAAAACGCAAAAGCCAGAGCAGTGATAAGCATCGTGGATTGGAGGCTGCAGCGATTGGTGCTGGATTGGGTGCGATGACAGCCGCGGCCGTCCATAACCATAAGTCACATGATTCTCTTGATGAGAAGAAGGAGCGCCGGCGACGAAGGACGAAGAGTCGTAGTCGAAGCGACAGCATTGCTGAGAACTACGAGGACCGAGAGAACGAGCCTGTGCCACCCATGCCACTAATGAGTGACATCAACCCATCTGACCTAACCAGAAGCTCAATCCTGTCAGCAGAGACCGAACGGCCTCACTCAGCTAGTCAGGAACTAGCAACACCAATTCGAGAAGTACCTCGAGGTGTTGCTTCTCCGCCCTCCCCTACGCCACCCAAAACTCCAGGCCAACAAGGCTTAGGAATCCAACACTCCGGTTATTCTCGTGATAATTTGAGTCCTCGTAGCCAACACAGTGGACAGCAGCTCCATGATCAAGAATACGAATTGGATGAGCACGGACGAAAAGTGCCAATGCATGAACAGGATCGGGGCGATCCGTACGGCAAAGACGAGCATGATAATGGTGACCATCACCATGCGGGCCTTGCCAGAGACGATCATGATGATGACCGCGAACTGGAGGATGAACAGGGCTACGATTACTACCAAAGTCATCAAGAAGTACCACCGCCATTGAAATATGTTCCTTACGCTCATCAAAGACGTGGTCTGAGCCCGATTCCGAGCGTCTCCGGCTATACTGAGGGCGATCCCGAGCCTCAGCAACGTGATTCCAGATTGACTCGAAGCATCGGCTCATACTCGTCTCTGAATAAGTCACCCCGAGTCAATTCCTCTGGGAGATCCACCAGGTCTATTGATTCCACCAGCAATGTAAATCCCCATGACTTTTCAGAGGTCCGACATGGAGGTCTTGCGGATTCCGAAATTACCCAAGACGGAGAATTCTGGGAAGAACAGCACAGAGAGAATGATCGGAATCGCGATATCGATTCAGAGAGCTACCGCAACTCCGCTCCACGCATGGACTACAAGCATATGTCAAACTACACCGATGATAGCATGGACGCTCCAGTTCTGGAACGTGCTACTACTGGTCAAAACATTCGGGGCGTTGGTGCCAACCCAAATTACGTGCATACACCTGTTGGGGTAGAATCTGCCGTTGCCTCTCTCGTGAATACTTCGGATGTTACTGGCCTATCTAGTCAATATAACAGAAGAGGGTCATATGCCTCGTATGAAGACGGCTCAGAGGGACACTTTGCCAGCCGCAGAAACAGCCCTACGAAACGCGACACTTTTGGCACTGAGCGGGAGATATCAAGTCAACGAGATAGCCCGCCAAAATACGAGGAAGAGTATGAGCTAGATGATCAGGGACGAAAGATCGCTATGCCAACGTACAAAAACTCGCGCACCCTCGGGGAGGCCGGATTAGCTGGCATAGCTGCTGGAGCAGCTGCACATGTTCTTGCAAAGGAACGCCAGAAGAAGTCCTCGGCGGATCGGATCCAGTATGAAGGTCGTCATGAGGACACTGGAGCACCCTTGCAGAAATCTTTCAAGGAACGAGCTAAGGAGGGGCAGGGTCAGATCCCTTCCCCACGCCATAGCATTGATGCTCCACTTAGTGAGGCTGCTAGTCATGAAGAACTTAAAATGACTGCAAGCGGACTTCCGGATATGCAGGACCCTATGCCGGAGATTGGTTACGGAGAGGGAGCTTCTGATGTGACAACAAACCCTTCAATCATCCAAGGACCAATCGGCGGAGCCCCAGAAACCAGAGATCATTGGCAAGGGCAGTCAACTCCTAAGCGAAAGCCCGTTGCATCAAGTCAATCCCATGGCTCCGACGCGAATCTGAAGGCTGCAGAAGCTGCTCTAGTTGGAGCCGCAGCTGGAGCCGGAACCACAGCTGCTATTGCAGCCCACAACCGAAAGGCAAGCCATGAGACCAATGAGGAAGAGTGGCACAGAACGTCAGGAGAGCGAAAGCGTGATACGCTTGTAACCAATCCGTACGAGGGCACAAGTCCTATTGCTGCCATCGGATCAGGCCTTGATCGGGATCTTTTGGGTCAGACAGGATACCAAGACGATCATGATTTTGATGCAACCAAGCTCGGCTACCCTGGAAGCCCTGGCGCTTTGCCAAAGGACGAGGGCTACATTTCGTCTGCGCCGAATGCACGTTCTGCAGGTGGTGCCACCCCTGAGCCTAGAATGAAGGGCGTTGGCTTCCTCGATGGTGAAATCGGAGATGCGACTGGGGCTGTAGCTGGCGATCCCTTCTATAGTCCAAAGCATTCTCGACATCTGAGCGGTATGTCACATGGGATGGGGTCACCACTTTATGACAGCGCCACGGGCAATGGTATCGATCGGATCCAATCGAAGGACATCGTTGCACTTATGGACCACGTAAGTCTGCTCTGGGACTTTTCTCCGCTATTGCTAACTATTTATAGCTCACTGTTCGCGATGCCCAACGGAGTGCTCGGGATACCGAAATACTCGTCACTCTTGTTCGGGCAGCTGCTGAGATGCGAAATTCATTTGAAGATATGAAACGACTCCTGGCCGATACAGAAGATGTGATAATTACAGAGGTCCAGACCAACACGGACAGGTCGGTTCAAAAGGCGATCAACGGTCCAAGACCGCTCCCACCAAGCGGTGCTCGTTCTTCGAGAAAAGGATCCCAAGATGACACGTACGAGGATCTTCCCACCAAGCGAAGGAACGTGTTCCGCAGAGCATTGCAAGGATTAAGCTTGAGGAGTTCGAATGATTTTGGCAAGATTGAGGGCATGCTCAATCAGCTGTTAGACGAGGTTGAAGGACTCAAAGCCACCCAAAATTTCAAGGGTGAAAGTAATCAAGGAACATCTTATGATGAATTGCAGCAAGAGGGGAACTACGAGCAAGACCAGGGCTACGAGCCCGAGGGTAATGCCGGTACCTCGATTGCAAGTCACGCCAGCCAGTCTGGTCATCTCTCCGTTTTGTCGCGAGGCGCCAGTGCGACACGAGTAGCCGATGGTCGAAGATTCTCGGATCATCGCATCAGCACCGTACCCGAAGGAGATGAGGAGGAGCTCAACCCACATGAAGAAACAATCCTCAATAACCAGTTCGAGAACAATGAGCAGCTGCTAACGCCAAATCGGGAAAATATCCGGGGAGGCTCTGCACCTCTGGGTACGCCTCCTCAACAGATCGCTCCCGCTTCTCTAAGTAATGAGAACACGCCACGAACCGATAAGAGCAAGAAGCACAAGTCGAGCAGCTCGTCTGGATGGATCCCCAAGGTCTCTCGTTGGTCCGAGACAACTGCCTCGACTGTTTTGAGGGGCTTTAGGAGCAGTGGGCGGAGCAGTGGACGGAAAGAGGATAATCAGTTTGCTGAACCATCTTCAAGGTCCGGGTCCGACCTAGGAAACTACGCCGACCACGATCCGTACGGCGAAGATAGGTTATATTCGCCCGAGCGACTTCAGCAGGAGAACGAGCCTTCGTCACTTCACCCCCCTGAAGACCCAAAATATAAAGCTCATCGAAACTCACTCAATCTGCAACACCCTCAGCCGCGTCCTGGGCCAACACATCGTTATCAGACGGCGCTTGAGAGGGAGGCTCAGGATTTCGAGCCGATAACCCCAGCGAGTGCAAACTGGTCGCAGACATCCCTGAACCGTCTGCCTGCTCAACAGATCAATCGATACAGTGGTGACAGCAATCCCACAGGAAGAATGAGTCCAATCTCAGACGGGGGATACTCAAATCATTCTGCGTCAAATCCACCTGCGCGCCCACCTAAGGAGCCGCTCACTCCACAACTTGCTGTTAGGGGACGAGCAGGGAAGCTCCAGAAGAGCCCGCTCAGCAACGATCATCTGAACCCCGACGGCCGCCCCTATAGCGCCGGCAGCGGCCACTACGAACCCGGCGGCTCTCCCCGCTCGGCGGCGCGCAGGCTCTCGGGCGCACTAGGCGGGGTGCCGGCAAGGAAACCCACAGGACCAAGGAGCATGGCTTCCAAGAGCGGCGGCGAACTGAACCGCGACGACGGAACCGTGCGAAGAAATCCGAAGAGAGGTATGTCTCCTTTGCCTCCATCCATACATGCCCCTGTTAACAAGTCACTCTAGATACCTTCGGCACCATGATCAGTAATCAAAGCGACGAATCCGAAACCTTCTAAACATCTCCCCCCTCTCTCTCCTCTCTCTTCTTCCCCAGGGACCCAAGTTCCAACCCAACCCCAACCCAACCCAACCCAAAACAAAAAGCAAGAACAAAAAAGCAAAAAAACAAAAACAGGCTGCACCCCGCTACCGGCTAGCGTCGTGCAGCCAAACCTATGCGACAGATGCGATGGACTGGCTTTGTTATCTGGTTTAAACCAGCTTTTGATTTTTTTGACAACTGGACTGGATGGATGGGGTTTAGCTGCTGCTGCTGGGATTGCGTGCGATGATGAATAAATAATAAATAGTTCTTGCTTTGCTTGCTACATAGGCACGAAATGAAATCATGAGATAATGACCCCAAAAACACACTCCCCCTTTGTTGTTTTTTGCGTTCCTTCCTTCCTTCCTTCTTTCCTTCGTTCTTTCCTTCATTCTTTCCTTCCTTCTTTCCTTCCTTCTTTCCTTTGCTTATCTTGTCTTGTCCAGACTTGTCTTGTCGATATAGTCGATATAGTCCCCGCTGTGTCTGTGTCGTGTGTCGTGTGCTGTCTAGCAGGGGAGTGGAGTGAGTACAGGGCATGGCATGGGTATAAAAAGTAGTAGTAGGAGTAGTAGTATAGTGTTTTAATACATAGATAAGATAGATAGATAAAGTAACTAGATAACTAGAGCTTTTATACATTCAATTTACACTCCTTTTTTTAGCTTTACTATTTTCTGAGCTACTACTTACTTAGTGATATGATATGAGATGATACGAAGTTCGATTCTATTCATATACAAATAGGATAGATGGATGGATATAGGGGTCATTTCATAGATAGAGAGATAGAACGCAAAATGCGTCAGATAGATAGATAGATAAGATGCAGAGATAGATAAGATGCAGAATTTCAGATTTCGATTTCTATACTGTATACCTATGTAAATACCATCCCCCATCCCCCATCCATCCATTCCATACGACACCACACCACCACCCATCATCCATCAATCCATCCATCCATCTCATTCGTTCCCGATACCGAAAAACCAACCTAGCACGTTTCTCAAAAAAAAGTGAGAAAGAGGAGAAACCCAAGAGGAGATAAAAAGGAAACCCCACACACCCTACCCCCCGACGGCCCAAACTCCAAAAAGATTCCCCCAAGCCCAAGAAATACCCGAACCCGAACCGAAACCCACTACATGAGACATGAATATGATGCACGGGAATCCCATCCCAGACTCGTAAACCCCCCGCCTAAAACGCCGTCGTTGTATGGGATGGATGTTTATGTTTAACTTTCAACGCCCTTCTTACTACTATGACTTATGATATGGATTCTCAGGAGGCTGAGGCTTCTGCTTCTGCTTCGATCTTGGTGGCGATGCCTTCGTACCAGGAGCCGTGGCTCTCGCGGTCGAGAGCACCGACCCGGCTGATCTCGTCGACCATGGCGCCGACGCGCTGGACGAACTCGGGGAGGCCGAGCGTGGCGAGGCTCTCCGAGGCGGTGCTCGCGCTGCGCACCTTCTCCTTCTCGGTGTTGGCGGCGAGGCGCGAGAGGAAGTGGCCCCTTAGACGGACTAGCAGGAGGCGCATGACGGGGTCGCGGAGATTCGTCGTGCCGTCGGAGCTGGTGACGGCGACGGACGCCGAGATGATGCGAGTAACGAGATCCTTGATGTGGTTCTTGGTGGCGACGGGCATGCTGCGCGAGCTCTCGAGAGCGGCTTGGATGCCCTGCGCTGCTTGGTCGGCCGCCTTGGAGTTCTCGAGCACTGAGTAGATGCGCGCCGCTTCCGTCTTCCACTGGGAGCGGACGTCTCTCTTCAGGAGGTTCTTGCCCTGCAGTAGGATCGCACCCGTGGTCACGATCCGGAGGATCTCGGTGCGGATCCGCGTGATTCGTTTGCTGTCCAGTTGCAACGTCTCGGGGATGGCGACTGAAGAATCAACAGAGGTAAAGATATCAACCAGCATCTGCGCGTAGATCTTATCTGGCGTTGGCCGAGCTCTCGCAAGATTGACATTCTCTGGATCGCGTCGAGCAGCTTCGGTCATGACCTTGTTCCTAGCTGTCCGCCACGCATCTTCCGTAGCGGCCAGGGAATTCGATGTCTCCTCCATGATCTCAGCGAAGCGCTTGTTCTCATACAACGTAGCATGCTTGATGAGCTCCGGTGCTGACTGATGGAGCATAAAATTCGCATAGTCCAACTGCATGAGGTCGATAAAGCGTAATAGGGCCTGGAGGTGAGTGACGACGTCCCCATTCTGGAAGTTCTCCGTCAGCTCCTTCACTTCCGCATCACGGAAAGGAGAACAGAGACGCGGGAGGATGGACGCCATGAACGAGAAGAATTTCTCGTAGGAGAAAGTCCCGCTCTGGAGTTCCCGGGCAACGACCTCCGTGTCGAGGACTTCCCCGATGAGGGTGTGCATGGAGTTGCCCTCTTTGAGGAGTCGTTGTAGCTTCCCTCGAATGTTGTCGGCCATCGCGAGAACCCAGGGATCACTGTTCCCAGCGGCTACCTCCTGACGCATCGAATCAAAAATGAGCTGATTGATGGCTCCCCGTTGCTCCAGACAATCTTCAATCTCGATCCGGTACTCGCGATTGATGGCCAGCTCGTGGACCACGGTTCGGTTATCTGGAAGGACCGAGCCCGCACTCCGCAGCTCATCAGCGTATGTGCTCTGGTGTCTGAGCGGCGTGGATGGTGGCGTGAGAGTCTGCAGATGGTTGGTGACTGATTGTTCGGATGCGGCCAGATCTGGAATCACCGGTGCAGCAGCTTCCGCAGCCCTGGGCCTTGAATCACCAGCAGGCTTCTTCGCTGCCCTGGCTCTTCGGGCTTCCCTGATGGCATTTGTAATCAAACGTTTGCCTTGTGCAGCGCCGGCAAGTTTCTTGATCCTAACCATCAGCTTGAGTTGATTCTCGCGGATGCCTTCTCGGTAAGACTCCGAGACGACCTCCTCGGTGCTGTCCTTGACAGTCTGCCATATGGCATCTAGCTCTACAAATTGCAGAACCATCATATCAATAAGGGTGCTGGAATCCCGAGCCTTCCATGCAATGAAGGCATTGAAGAAGGCAGCATACACCTCCGACAACGTAGACAGTTGTGCAGGAGGCGGCGTATAGTTGTTAGCGGCGTTCAATCGCGACAAGACATTCTCAAATGAGATCAGTAGGTCTCGGGCCTTGGCTACGAGTCCCTGCAGCTGGGGATTAGCCAAATCATCTCGCAACATTGGTAACACACCCACCTGCTCCTGCTCCCCACTCTCGCCCTTGCTACTGAGAACTTGAGTGGGGTGTCCAAGAATGAGGAAGGCACTGAGAAACGTGCGAACTGCGGTCATCTCGTTGACGGATCCACTCTCCCCCTCCTTCAGACCGCAGATCCTCAGAATATGTGCAGTTGCAACCAGCACCTTCTCTTGTGCCAACAGCTCAACCACATCTTCAAACGAGGTTTCCCGGACGCCGTCGATCGTGAGACCCAGCTCTGCGAAGTCCTTCAGTGCTTTCCAGCGTCGATGAATCCTCCAGCGGTTCTGTATCATAGCAGCGGCCATAGGCTCAGTGATAGCCTCACGGACTCCGGGTATAGGAGAGGTGCTTTTCCGCTGCTGGCTCACTGAGCGGCCTCTCTTCATGCTGCCCCGGTTCAACATCTCCTCCCTCCTCCTCTCTGCCTCAGCAAGACGGAGTTCCATCTCCCTCCTTAATTTCTTCCCTTCCGCTTCCCGCTTTTCTTTCATGCTCTCCGCGATGCCTTTCGCACGCTTCACTTCCTCCGCGCAGCTGGCCACGATCTCGGCCAGGTTCTTCTCTCTCGCCTGCTGGGCAGCTAACGCTCTCTCTTCGCTATTGCAGGTACTCCTTGGAGCCGCCTTGGCCAACGCGGCCCTCAGACGCACCTTTTCCGCATGCGCAGCCCGGTCTGCGAGCCTAGCCTTCCGATCCTCGATAATGGAAGCTCTGCGCAGATGCTGTGCGACGTGACTACTCTGTGGGCCGCCATGGCGGCTTGAGGCGTGCGACTGGTGGGAGTGGACTGAAGACATGGAGTTGCGGCGCGAGGAGGCGGCGGAGGACTTGCGGCGGTTGTTCGCGGGGTGGTAGAAGCGCGCGGCGATGCGGGGCGGTGGCATGTGTATGCGCGTGCCGTTGCGCTCTTCGCTGGTCAGGTCGACGTCGATATCTTCGGGGATGTCGGCGGCGGTGCCGAGGGACTCGGCCAGATTGCGATCGGGGTCGCTGAGGTCGTGTGCTGGGCGACGCATCATGGTGTTTGTGGTGGTTGTTGGAACGAGAGCTGGCTCTCGGGTAATGCTCTATTTAAACCAGTCCCGCGCTGCTAGGTATTGCGGCTCCGGTATACCAGTCTGAAACGAAATCGGAACGGGGCAGTCTATTTGCAGATTTGAACCAAAGAAGGTATGGTATATACGATCTGACGTAGGCAAGCACAGAGTACCTTAGAATGGGATGAATGGAAGCAAGAGTACAGAAGAAAGACAAAGGAAGCAAAGCTCCTCGTCGGCGGGAAAAGGACAAGGTGATGATGATGAGGATGATGGTGAAGAAGAAGAAGAAGAAGAAGAGGAAGAAGAAAGGAAGCGGAGGAGGAGGTTGGGCAGACAGTCAGTGGTTGGTGTTCTGCGTCAGCGTCAGGCGGAGTGTCGCGATGTCGTAAGAAACGAGGATTCCAGTGTTCGAGAGCGGTTCTGACGGCGGCATGCCGTGGTGCGGCCTTGCCTGCTTCGGGCCTAGGGCGGGCGAGGCAAAACAAAGAAGCCGCGAGAAAGATGATTAAGGACGGTTTTACGCTGGTGGAGAGGTATGATGTACGGTAAGGTAAGGGTAGGGCAAGGAGGGATATTTGAATTTATATATATATGTATAAAGTACCTATCATTATGATTATACCCTGATAATCATAATCATATATCGATACAAAACAAAACAAGAATCCTTCACATGACCCTTCATCTCTTGTCTTTCTCCGCTGAAACCATACACTCACTCACTATCGCCCCCGACCGCCTTCCGTTTGCAGACGATACGCATCGGGTAAGTCCAGTCTCTTAGAATAGGAAGGGACCACCGTCTGCTAAGGTATCGAGGTCTGGACTGGCTAGGCTCTCTGGCAGATCTTGGGTTTTTTATATCATATCATATTATATCATAGCATATCGTACGGTATCGTTCAATATCACTGCGTCTCTCTCATACTCATACTCTAACTCCCACTTCAACTCATACTCACGTTTCATCTCATAACTCCCTATCTATCTATCTATACATAACCCCCATTTTATTCCTCATTTCTCATTTCTAATTCTCAATCCCCGCGGAGGCAGGTCATCTATCTATCTCCCACCCCTCCTCCCTCCCTCCCTCCCTCCCTATCTATACATACCATCATACCCATCTACCATCTATCATCTATCACGCGCACGCGCACGCGCGCGGTGAGTCGCGTCGAGTCGAGTCATGAAGGGACATTGACTCAGACGCACGAGAATAGAGTTATCGATTTCCCCTTTCCCCGGACCGACACATGCCCTATGACCGTGCAGCATAGCAGCGGAAGGGGACTTTTTCGCCTTCCCCGGGGATGAAAGGGAGGGAGGCGGGGGTATGGGAATGCAATGTGCAGCGTTTTTTTTTCTCTGATACTGTGGGTTCATGCAGTTCAATCACGCAGTTCATACATCACGATTGCGATGTTGATCGTCCATGGGGACTTTCGGCATCACGCGGAATCGGGGTCAGATGAGTTGAGGGACCACCTTGAATTGCACACGCCTCAGCTGCGCGGTTAGGGAAGAAATTTACGTATGTACAAGAAGGTAAAATACATCGGTCGCCGATCGTCAGAAGATGAGGGGGAGTCAAGTGTTCGTACATTCCCGTTGGCCCTGATCTACCATACAAGAAGAGATCCAGGCTCGTCAGCTCGAAGCCCGTGACCGTACCTATCCCCCATCTCATCAGAAACGCCTTCCAATCCGGTTGGGTGATGCATCGCTCGTTTTTTGGAATGCGGATAGCAGCATATGCTGTATCCAAAGCAAAAAAAGAAAAGTTGAAATCAGAAAGTCTTATTCGGAAACCCCTCTCAAATGAAATTCGTCCTCTGCATCGTTTCCCCTTGGGCGAGCCAGGATCATCTATGCGCTGGCGGATGCGGTGGGCTTGGTGATGGAGATGAACCCGCTCTTGCCGGCGTACCCAGAGCTGCTGCCGGTTCCGTTGTTGTAAGGGTAGGCGGGGCTGCTGACGGGGACGGGCACGACGGTGGCGGTGCTGTAGATCACGACGGGGCCGGAGCTGCTGGTAGCCGCGGATCCGAAGCTGGTGACAGCGGCTTCCTTGACGTTTGAGGGAGCGGCATCCTCTCCGGCTGCGTTGGACGCGGCAGTTGGAACGGCGGTCTCGGTCTGGTGAGGTTCGTTAGTTATAGAGATGGGGAGATGTGAGGAGAGGAGACGCACCACAGTGACGGTAGAGACAGCTGAGGTCACGGTGACAGTCACGGGAACACAAGCGCCTTCGGGTGCGGTGCCAGAAGCAGCGCTGCCAGCTGGGGCCGCTGAGGCTTCGGCCGGGGCCGCTGAGCCTGAGGCGGGCAGGACAGTAACGTATCTGGTAGAGGTCGAGGTCGAAGTGAGAGTGGTTGTAGGGCTGGTGGCTTCGGCACCCTCCGCTGTGCTGGCCTCGGCCTCATTGCCGGCAACTGGGCTGCTGGTAGCGTAGACGGTGCTTGTGCTGTACTGCTTGATCGTAGTGGTAACGACGGTGGTCGAGGTTCCGGTGCCGAGAGTGTAGGTGAGAACGACAGACTCGGAGGATGAAGATGCAGCAGCAGCTGGAGCCTCTGGGGCACCTGGAGCGCTCGTGACGGCAGGGCTGTTAGGGGAGGCACCAGTTCCCAGGGGAACGGCGGGGGTTACGGCCGCACCAGCTGCGCTGCTGGTGGTGCTGATTGGGGTTGGGGTTGCGGAGTAGGAGGCGATGATGGCGGAGCTGGCGGACTCTGCTTCAGCGACGGGGCAGACAGTCTAGATATCCTGTTAGTGGTACATCCTCAGCATGATCCAGATCGGTTCCCTTACGGTCGTCAAAGCGATGACATCGGTGACGACGCTCTCGCTGGTTGCCTCGGCAGGACGGGCAGGGCAGTCCGTGATGCTTGCCGCGCAGCTGGTGATGGTGTAGACGGAGGTAGAGAAGACGGTCAAGGTGGTTGAGGCAGCGGAGTCGATGCTCGAGGAGTTGTATTGACGGCGTGGGTGGAAGTGCACATGCTGGGGGTGGGAGTACGCTGATGCCAGGGCGGCGAACCAGGCGACCGACAACGTGGTGAAATGCATCGTGGCTTTGGGGATCGATCTGAAGGTTGTCGTCGGATCGATAATGCGCAGATGCTCTCTCGTGTGCCTCTAAGCAATGAATGCTTCTTCCAATACTGTGACGATGACGCGCGACGATCTTCTGTAGTTCTTCGGGTGCGAAGGCGTGGGAGGGGGTATCGAGGGAGGGTGGCGGAGCGTGAGGATTCTATCTAGACGCAGATGGGCAGATGTTGGAAAAAGGAGCGAAAGTCAATTCCGCAAAGGGGTCTCTTCGGTAAAGAATGACAGAAGTTTGGACAGAGAAGATATCTATTGCAAGGAACGACTGTAAGGACGGTGGTGGTCAAGACGAAGGTGGTGGGAGAGAGAAGAAAAGGCGAGGGAGAGGGCGAGAAGAAGAGTAGAAGAGGAGAAGAGGTGAAGAGGTTAAGCGGAGCGACTGGGGGGGGGTGAATGAATGATGTGTCTAGGGGGGCCAGGGCGGGAGACGAAAGGGCGACAAGGGGTGACGCGACCAGGCCGGACAGAGGAGACAGGAGAAAAGCCAGAACGCAGAATCATGTCGGGGACGCAGAATGTCGGGGTGAAGAGCACTACAACTACAGTCTACAGTCCTACAGTCCTACACAACAGCACAGCACAGCACGCAGAGGCACAGCGCAGAAGCACATCGCAGCAGCACATCGTAGAAGCACAGCACAGCACTGCACTTCAAGCACAGCACCTCCGGATCTCAGGATCTCTCAGGCGTGCAGGCGCCAGTGCAGGGCATTTTGCTCAATGATAGGGATTCACTGGATTATTCGCGGGTCTGGCCCAGGGGAGAGAGCCAATGCCATGGCTTCTTCCCCTGACCCAAAGTACTGCCCGCTCCGGACTAGCCCGCGCTCCACGCTTACCCACACTCGGCCACAGTGTGGCCGCGTAGACCCGGCAGCGTAAGATTGGAAGGATCGTGGGAGACAAGGGGTTGTGGGACAGCCGCGTGCGCTGATTGGCCAGATTGCTTTCCTGTCCTTACCTAATCCTTTCCCCTGGTGAAACATTATTGCACGCACAACACACGAGAGGAGAGAGAGAGGGAGAGGGAATTATGCTTGGTTTGATTGATTATTCTTTATTTCCTCCTTTTTAATTTATTTCTCGGCTTCTTCAATTATTCATGGGGCAAGAAAGCAGTGGAGAGCGAGGGGGAGGGGAGAGAGAGCAGAGAGCCTCATCCATGGCTCCCCTCGATACTCCGTAATGATAGAGGAACGGTACCTGGCTGACCGTCGGTTATTCCCGAGATTCCTCCAATATAAGACGCAATGAGCGCCACAACCACAGCCCCCTCCCATTGGCCGGTCCATCGCCAGCCAACACGCCTAGGCTCAGGAACCCATGAACCCTCATCAGATCTCCGACCCCATCATCTCCATAACATTAACCTCAAATCTCACAAGAACTCTATAAGATAATTATAATTTCCCTTTCCCTACTCTACATATACACTAGGCTGATCATCTCACGATCAGCAATAAGATCGGCTTCTAGAACGCCGTGGCCCGACCCAGACGACGGAGCTCTTGCGCCGAGGGGCACCTTCATCTCTAAAGCGAGATGCCGTCGCTATCGTGAAACCGCTTCGGGCCTTGTTTGACACAGTCTCAAGAACTCTGACGGTCGAGACCTTATAACTAATTAATTAACGCCTACGGAGTTTTATAACACAATTTTGTGATCGTATATCTGTAGCATGAGCATGAAGATTGCCCAGCCGCCGCCATCTTTATTAAGTACTGCAGTTGCGTGCTCATTCGCCTTCCATCCCCACCGCGTGTCATTATTTGCTGGATATTAGGTTTATGCGACGCGCCCTCATTCCAAGCTTGACACAACCGCCCTCTTCCTGGACATTCCCAGCGATGCGCCCGGCTGCTTTCGTTTCTCCTCTCCCTTTCTTTTCCCCTCCTCTCCTTGCTTCCCTCCTCGTCATCCCCAGTTTAACCCCCCCTTCTGATTCTTCCAGTACCAAAAGAAGTACATTCCCTCATGTCTAGATACTTCAGAAATACAAACGTCACGTGTTTGCATTTCTGGATGCCTACCTACCTAGTACCTAGGTACATTAAGGTAAGGTACCTTAGGTAGCGCCAGATCTTAGGTAGCGTGCTGTGGTCTTTAAGGGTCCAGCTGCTTTCAAGCCTTATGTAGACGTCGGATTTGATTCTGGTGTACTTAAAAGACTTGCTTACTCATTATATACAGCATGTATGAATCGCAGAGCGTAGGTATTCTCAAGTCCCAGTACATGCCAGAGTCACTTCCCCTTTTATACATACCACATTAAGTAAGGTTACCTTAGAATCTTAGATACCTAAGGTACCTTAGGTTCAGTAAGGGGCTAAGCGAGACCACCTTACCTCAACTCCCTCTCCCTCCTTTCAATCACCCACCACCGTCACAAACCCTCCTCACCTAATCATCCGTCTAGGAATGAGTTATAGTCAGTGAGGTTCTTCTCTCTAGCTAGGTAGGGGTATGTCTCCTATCCTTGGCCACGCTGGACAGTCTGGTAATCAGCAGCCTGCTAAAGGGATCGGTTCGAGGTAGGCAGTTATGGGAAAAGCATGAATTGAGGTCTAGAAACTAAAGTACAAATCGACTCTCCGCTTTCTGACTAACATATCCCCCACAAGTCTCTTCCAAATCGCCAGAGAGCCTCGAGATATGCTACAGAAGAGTGACTGTGATTATTACGATTATGATTATGAGCGGGCGCAACTCCACCATTCAACTGCGGCACAAGGAAAAAAAAAACAACAGAGACAAATGATTAGGGTATCCCCGACATGCGCCTCGATCCGATGAACCTCGATCCTAGCTTCTGCTCGACCTCAGTGTCTCGCACGATTCCTACTCGAGAGCTGCCCAGAACGCGGCATCCGCGAGACGGAGGAGAGGGGTTCCGAAGTGCATCTGCACGATAGGTGACCAGAACGGCCTCACATCCTCTCCAAACTGGTGCTGTAGCATCCGGCTGAATTCTGGCAAACGTCTCCACTTTCGTACGTTGCCTCTCAGAGCATTGGTGGGATCGTCCAGATCAGTCAGCTCGGGGTGCTTCTTTGCCTCTTTCTCTTCGTGAAGGCGACGGGATTCTTCAGTGGTCATAGGCTCCTCGTCATCTTTGATGGCTGCCAGCTTTTCCTCTTCGTCGAGTTCTCTGATTTCTTGGAGCACCGTATAGATGATCTCGTGGAGTCTCTTCAGAGCCTCTTCTCGGAAACGGTGGTTCTTCTGGACTTCCTTCTCCCAAAGCTCCTGCTTTTGCACGCTCAAACTCCACAAGTGGCCCAACCAATAGTACTTCTGGTTATCGTTCAACTTGCTGCCCTCAATGATGTCTCGGATCCACATCTTCACCTGGCCGACGTACTGGACCTCTATCATCTCGAACTTGTGCCAGAACTTCTTGAAGTCTTGAGGAAATCGTTGCTTCAATGGAAGGTTGGTGAGGTCGAGAACCTCCGGTGAGGGGGATCGTGGTCTAAATGGGTCGGGGTTGACTTCACCGGGGGGAGGTATGAAGTACTTTGCTGGCGCATGTCTCCACATTGGGGGTTTGGGGTCATGATAGAATGGTGACAAAGCAGTTCCAGGAGCATTCGGAATGGCGGCTGTAGTGGCCTGTTCCTGACCGTCCTTGTTGTTGCCATTTTGGACGCTCTCAATCTTCGGGGCGATCACAACGTGCGGGGTGTTCTCAATCTTCGGGGCGATCATAACCTTCGGGACAATCAACACCTGGACTTTCTGAGCCTTCTGGAGTCCGTCAACCTCGGGGGGGCTCTCAATCTTTGGGGCGACCACAGTCTGGACTTTCTGGGCTTTCTGGACTCCCTCGACGTCGTGATCCTTATCGACTTTGTTTGCAAGTAGCTCAGCTTTGGATGTAGCGCGCTTAGACAGATGCTCTGCTGGCCAGGTTAGCAAACATCATCTAAATGAACGCAACAAGACATCTGTAAGGTACGTATCCAACTAAAAAGGCAAGACGCGTCTCGTCACGCTTTATGTCTACCTTACACCCAAGACCTTGTAAAGCTTGTATAGCTAGGACATTGACCGGAGCCAGGTGAAAGCACAGAGACTACCCCAGCTACTTGGCGTCGTTGGCCAATTGAACCCTGAGAGCTAATGAAGAAAGAAACAAGAAGGGTTATCACTCACGTTGCTTTGTATCTTGTTCACCTGACAGCGAACTGTTGCGACGACGCTTGTTCTGTGCCGGTGTCGCTGCCGCCATTGCCTCCATCGTCTCCATGTCGATCTCCTTCGACTTCTCGGTCTTGCGGCGATTCCTCCGTCCTTTGACAGCCGCAAATGGCGCGTCGTCTTAAGTTAAGACAAGTGTTAGTACTGCCTCTCGAAAGGATGCCCAATTGATGCTGGGATGATGGGGGTGCGTGAAAGTGTTAGGAGTTGAAAGGGTGTTGTACGCGTGTGTTTATTAAGGGGGAGTAAACAAACGTACCATTCATCTTGGGAAGTCCTATCACCTCTCAAATGATAATAAGACTACTCTTAGTAGGATGATAATACTTTACACTGCTTTGTGCAAAGTTGGGAGGATATCTTGCGCAGTCGAGATGTAGATGAAGTTTGTTCCTTAAGGTAACGTAAAGTCAATCCTTGTCCTTAGGGAGAGGAAGGCAGTACCTGGGATACTCCGCTTAAACCTTCGCTAAGAAGAAACTCTGTTCAGCATGATTGAATACTCGCAAAGCGCGCAGGCTGTAGATCGGCTGCCATCTTATTCAATTCACTACTGGGCTCTCTCCCGCCCTTGGGCCACATGCCGGATCAAACACCTGCTTTATCTTTATTGAAGGTACTTGACTAACACTACAACAGGGGACATGAATGATAATACAGCATCTTTGAGAAATCTATCTATCTTGGACCTATTCATGACCTGATAGTCCTGAAGGATTACCAGCTCTTTAGCAAGGCGCGCTCTCAACTCGGAATTCTAGCTCCTCTCCTACAGTATTTAGCCTAAATCATATATCTATATACTTCTTCCAACAACATCAACGATCCCTCCGTTTTCCGACCTACCTATATAGTCCTGCATGAATGGTTACATGTTTATCACCAAGCAGAGATCTCTACCCTTACTCTATACATCCAGGAGATACTCAATCCAATTATTACAAAACCCCTCAATCCTATATACACTATCCACAAGCCCGAAGAGACGAGAGCAGCCGTTTTTAACCAAAAGTTTAGATAGATGTGCTTTCTTTGCTTGTTATGCTGACCTTCTTTGCTCGATCTATTTCGAATTGTCAACCCCGCCTCCCCCCTCGCCCCTAAAAAAACCACCTTTTAGCTGTAAGTTTAGCAGATAAAGAAGTGGAGATTCTGTTTTTGTATTTAAGAAAGAGTGGGAATGGCAAATACAGAAGCATATACGAGCGTAGAATAGATGTAAATCAGGATCTTATGCCTCAACACTCTGTTAGAGAAGATCAACATTATCTATCGCCGTGTCGTCAGAACAAGCTTCTATCTAAACCATACCAAATTATATATTTCCCGCAATAAGCCCCCCCCTTATTAAGTAACTTACAACATACCTAGACACATAGACTGAAAGTTCATTATATCCTATTTTTAATATTCAATAGAACGTGTATCCACGAATTGAGAAAGGGAAGATGTTTACTAGAATGTAACTTGTACGCGCAAGGGTAGGTAAGTAAGGTACCTAGCTGAGTCAGCACCCGTCGCCTCGAGACGGCATGCCTACCTTACCCGCCTCCCATATCCTCGACAATATCCCGATATGTTCTAGGGGTTTATGATACGGCGCTGCGCGTCTTTAGGTTGGTGAATGTTGAGTGGGAGAGATGACTGGCTTTAGAGTGAGTGGATTTGCGGATCTGGGGGCGAGCATGGGTAGGTATATATACGGTAAGTATCGAGGTGTTGCGAAGAGATGCGGGGGAGGGAAATGTCATTGATGAGGGGAGCTGTCTTCTTGGATTTGAGAGATTCTGGTCTGCTGGCATAGAATATGGTTGTTTTGAGGAGTGGGAGGGTAGGTATGAGCGATGTGCTACTGGCTGTCTTGCTTGGAAGGGCGTCTTTCTGCTGTGCGGGGACTCCATGGAAGTTCTGATTTCAGTCTCTTTGGGGAGCTCGAGAGAAGTTCAAAACTTAAGGATCATCCTATTCTGAGTTCAAGAATGGGGAAGGGGTAAGTTTGGTGTCCTATCTCGTTATCAGATATCAGTTGAAGAGGCTCTGGGCTGCATATCGAGGATTAGTATCCATTTTCTGACCAAGGGGTCTGGAGTTGTGGCCCTTGAGGTATCCAACGTACTGTTCCCAAGAGGGTATATGCAAGTATCTCTGCCCCGAGGGGAAGTTCAGGAGCCTAGAGGCTTTACAACAGGAACAGGTGCTCTACTCTTCTCGTGAAGAGTTTGAGTAGGGATGTCAGTTGATGCAAAGTCTGACAGCGAGAGAAACTCTTTAAACAGGGCTATCTGTGAGAAAAGAGACTCTGTCCTGGTCTAGAGATCCAACGACGTTGTACACAGCCTCTGCACCAAGGCTAGATGGGCTCAGCCGGCATGGCATGGAATATCTGATTTGATATCAACAGTCATCCTTAGCCAATATGCTCAAGTTCCTTTCAATGTCTGCTCTTGACGCGTTTGATTCACGCTTTAGCGGCTGGCAGCTTTTGAAGTGAATTCACGCTCTCGCGTTAGGTGGTCCATGACTTTTCAAAAGGACGCTAAGGCTATATCCCTTCCTCCTACCCACCTCCTCATCATCTTCTTCATCAACTCTCTATCAACCCACGTCGCGCTCTTCTGGTTATCACCATATATCTGGTATACCTTTCATCAAAGTTGGTGTAATTACTGATGTTCATATTGGTTATCCGAGGAGTCCTCTTCTCTGGACAGAAGTCGTCTCGATCTACTAAACAGCGGCAGAGTCCTACGCGACCAGACTTCTTACTATCGAAACACTCTCCTATAGGGATACGCGTGTCAAGACCCTATAGATGCTTGTCCTGCGGGAGATCATCTGATACAAGCATAATTCACGGTACGAGAATCATTTCCCGCGCGATCCTCTTGGTGTTAGATAGATCAGATCCACTGACGCGTGTTGGTACATCCTATACTACGGTTCATCATACACTACAGTTACTGACTATCATTACAGTTATAGACTGCCTTCTTTCCCTTCCACGATCAAAGAAGCGTGAGTTGCTCAGATCTTCTTGATAAGTGGCTTCATCTCTTGGATTTGCGGTTTACTCCCTGTCTGGCGCACTCGGAATGGGATCATCAGTTGGCAGGCTTGTTGCTTCACAATCCTCTGTGTCTTTTTCACAGGTCTTGCAGCTGAGATATACCATCAGCCTAACACTGCCACTCCTTTCTATCCGGGTCTAACTTCTGCATAGTGATTGTCCTTGGGCAAGTCGCGGAGATGTTGGTCCTCTCTCAATCCACAACAAACATAACCGGCTTGCACCTGATACATCTTTAGTACATGCAGCAACTGTTTTTCAAACAGATCTTTCTTCCAGTAAGTCCTACTGAGCTGTCTCTGCAGCTTGTATCCGTTGCTTCTTCTAGGTGCTTATCACGTGCACAGATCCGATCAAACGCTGCAGCTTCCCGCACACAGGCAACCTTATTTGTTCCCAGCAAACGGCAAACGGCCAGCTTCAAGAATATAGAGAGTGTTACTTAAGTTAGGGACGGCTTCTAGAACTGCTATTTAGAAGGTATGCTTCAGCTGCTCCTTTCCTTCTATCTATCCATTGCCCTGGGTTGATTTGCATACTTTCTCAGAAATATACTCCTCGTCACGGTCTTTGCATCGACTGTATAGATAGATTAACTTGTACGGCCTTCGTTCATCTCTTAACTCCTTTCTCGATCCTACTTGTTTGTTTTTCAAGCTGTCAACATGTCACCCACAATCACAACGTTGGTGTCGTCTCAAGCTTCCCCTGATGGGAATTCCGGCCTTACGAAAGAAGTCTCCAAGGACCTGGACACTGAGATGACTAGTCCACTAACATTGGATGATTGCAGTACCACCTCGTCAACTTCGGCTCGCTCTACCGAGATGTCCTCCTTTTACTCGGCTAAACTACGCCAGGAGCGCATCAATGCTCGAACCAGCCGGGAGGCTCTAATTCACTCTCCAGCCGTTTTGGGAACATGGAGACGGGAACCTCAACCTGAGCCATCTGTAACATCACCAACTTCATTGACTCGAACAACTACACTTCCATCGCCATCGCACTCGTTTTCAGAACGCCCTCCTACTTCAAACCAAAATCGATCCCCAGACAACATGGGAGGTTCATTCTCCGAATCCCGTCCAAAAGGTCATTCTTCAATGGCGGGCGAAGACGCGGTCCCCCTGAGTCGCGTGGTCCCCGGGCCTGTTTGGCCGTCAGCCAACCAGCTCAAAGTCGCTCATACCTATGGCATTCGAAGAGCCGACGGTACCTTTACTCAACTTATCAGAGCGGATGAGTTGGACAGCTACGATTTCGAGCGCGTTCCGGTCTCTCAAGGCCCTGAGGGCATGATCATTCTCCCGCCTCCCGAACAGCTGCGACCTGAGCAACGAACTGGACCTGAGCCGATCATCTCCAGCGACGTAAGTCCCGATCTTAACACGGCCATTCAAAGCCACTGACGTTTCTCAGATCATCCGAACACTTCCACGTAACAGAGTTCGCCGACCTCCTCATATCGCGCGCGCCCAGCGGGATCCCAGTGATGAGACTCAGGTAAGCATGAAAGCTTGACCCAGCTTGAACGCGATTATTTCACTTATATTACCGTCTCTGATGCTCAACAGATGCAAATCGATTCGATCATTGCACAAGCAGGACTATCTCCAATTTCAGCTCCAGCTCCAGCTCCCTCCGCATCATCCAAGCATGCGCGTAGAGAGAAGATCTACTGTGACAAGTGGATCCATGAAGGCGTCTGTGCTTTTACCCAGCTTGGATGCAAGTACAAACACGAGATGCCGATGGACAAGGCGACCCAGCTCTCTCTGGGCCTCAATCACGGTCTTCCGCTCTGGTACAAGCGCGCCCAAGCTGTGCAGATGCGCGCTGAGCCGCAGCAGCAGCAGCAGCTTGCCATCTCTCCGTCCCCCTCCCCCCGTGTTGCCGGTCCATGGCGTCGTGCAGACGCAGCTGCAGCTGCTCCCGCGGCCGTCGGTCAATCCCTGCCTACCATCATGTCGTCTCCTCAAAGTAAGCAAGCGTCTCCAAGGCCCCCTTCCTATTCGCATATCACAGCTAGCTTAGCTAACCCAACATCTCCTAGCTGGCCGTTCTCCCTTCGGTCCCATCGGTCCTCCTACACAGCCTGCCAAAAGCAGCCCACCATCTACAAACCCCTTCTCTCTCCTCAAATCTGAAGACGATGGCGGCGAGGAAGAGGACGACGATGACGATACTGTGACTTGGACTGGACGACGCCGTGGAGCTATCTGATGACCTTCCATCTTTTCTTGATTGGATTACACATCACATCTTCTTCCTTCATGACACGTCAACTACCTCTCCTGGTTATAATCCACCCAAGCTTGCTCTGGGAGGAACATACTCGTCTCAAATATCAGCTGAGGGGCTGGCTTCATTGCGAATTCTAGTGAGGTGTCGGTCGGTCGGTTGGATCTGTAGTTTAGTCTTCTTTTCTTTCTTTCCTTTCTTCTGATTTTCGATTTCTCCTTCCCATGTCAGTTTTCTTCTCCAGGTACTATCGCGCATGCTAAAGGGAGAGAGAGAGAGAGCTCTGGGTCTTCATGATTGATGATTGATTGATTGATTCTCTCTCGTTCATTCACGAAAATTACCTCTCTCCCTTCTTTGTTTTCTTCTTTCTTTTGACTTTCCTTTCCTTTCCTATCTGGCCTGTCCTGAGAATCCGGATCACCTACCTAACCTAACCTAATGACCGCATACGACTCCCTTCCTTTCTTTCTTTCTCTCTTGATGGATGGATAAATTCATGTTTCTTTCCTATTTGCATTTCTCCGGCGTTTTGCGTTTTACATAGGCAATTCAATTTGCTTGATTGTACGATAATCATATCGATGGATTCCTTCCTTCCTCTCCTCTTCTTTTTCCAATTAAAAGAATGGAGATTTCAGAATGGAACCTTTGTTTTTTAATTCATGCTTTGAAAGTATTATGAGTGAGTGAGTGAGTGAGTGAGGGAATGATGATTCTTGCAAGACTTTACGCTTACGCCCTAATGCCAAAGCTTCCTCGTAAATTGATCCTGCACTGCACCCCCTCCTCCTTCTCTTTCTCTAGGTACTCGATGGCTTTATAGAATCCAAAATCCACCTCCTCCCCCCTTTTAATCAACCCCCCCCCCCCCCCCTCTTTCCCCAAACCTACCCAAAACCCACAAAAGACCAAGAAAACTCGTTCTCAATTAATTCAATCCCACTCTGTATCTACTATAAGCTTACCTTCCTAATATTAACTTCTTTTCCCTTGTGTCTTGGCTGCTGAGGTGCTTTTAGATTAGATAAGGATAGATTAGGATAGATTAGGATAGGATAGGATAGGATGGGATGGGATGGGGTATAGGGGTACAGGGGTACAGGGGATGAATATTGAGGTAGTAGGGATGGATGGATGGATGTATGTATGTACCTTATGTATACTTGCAAGCAAGCAAGCAAGTAGACCATTGATGGAAAAGGCCTTCCTTCCTTCCTTAATTTACCTTACCTACTACCTTAGGAGACAGTAGGTAGACACTCGAGATTGTGTCACGTAATGGTTGGGGGAAAAAAGGGACCTGTTTTTTGTGAAATCGATTCTCTATTTTGGCGCTATAATTTCCTATAGCCTTTGGTACACGTTTGATTGTTCTCCCTGTCTGTGCATACCGAAGTCAAACGCTTCTTCCTCCCTCCCAGCTAACCCATCTTAATACGCCTTAATCAATTATGCAAGCAATGATAACCTCTGACGCCTCTTCTCCCAAACCCCCGGGGGATATTGACCATATGGAGCCGAAAAGAAAACCCTTCATAATAAGTACACTGCCCATTCATTTCTTCCTGCCTTTGGCCTTGCTCTCTTTAGACTTGCTCTCCTTGGCCTTGCTCTTTGATGCTGGCGCAGGACTCGAAGCTGTCGATTGGACGCTCGAAGCTCGCGAGGGAGACGTCGAGGTGGCTTTGCTTCCTGCCGCAGATTTTACATTGTCAAGTGCTTTATTCTTCTAAGATGTTAGCAACCCCTCAACAATAACGGGTGCACACCTCTACATACCTTGACACTGTTCTTCGATTTCTTCTTCGCAGGTGCGACTCCAAGAATGCTGTCTTCATCATTCTCGTCATCATCTGGTTCTCTCTTTGACTTGCCATTAGTAGCTCCGTTTGCCTTAGGTGCAGATGCATCTTCAAACTCTCTGGCAACAGTCGTCAAGAGGGTGGTGCATCTTCTGCTGATCTCAATCGGGGTTCGGCTGAGGAAGAACCAGTCAAATCGGAAGAGTGGGCTCTCGCGAATATCATCACGGATACGCTCGTAGATGCCTTCACTATCAACACCATATTTGTCTAGGAGCACAAGTAGGAACCGATCTTCCTCTTCCGTGTAGACTTTCTTGTTTGTGGTGGAGACGGAGTAGTTGATCTTCAATTGTTGTAATGGGACGCGGTACTGCTGCAATTTCTTCCGCAGCATTTTTCGTTGATGCTCCATCTTTCGCATCTTCTCTTCACCAGTCTCAATCAAGCTGATGTACTTGGGGTAATCCGCGATTTCCGTATACCTTTCCCAGAATACCTTGGCATACGCTTTAATCTCTTCGGGGGTCTTGCTGTCAACCTCATCCGCGATCAAATCGTAGGCTTTCCGGCCGTACTTGGCAGAACCATTGATAAACTGTTGAAAGTCTCTGCGATTCCAGTCTGCAAACCCCTGTTGAGACAGACGCTGCTTCAATTCCTGTTCCTCTGCCGTGAGTGGTGTGGCATTGTCGATCTCCTCTTGGTCCAATGCACGCTCAGCTTCGCGGTCAGACAAGTCCTCGTCGGGACCTTCTGGGAGAGGAACCTTGTAGCCGATCTCCTTGCGATGATAAGCGGTCTCGCGGTCCTGCAGATCCCGAAGGGTTCCTGGAAAGAATTGATAGTCGTGAACAGTAACCTGCTTTGGTGCTCGAGGGGCCTTTGGTTTGGTATCCGCAACACGCCCACCCGTAGATAAAGCCTGTTTGTAGTATTTGTCCATGGAGTATGACTGCTCTTTTCGTTCACGCTTGGCTGGGTTGATCCAATTGATACCGATCTCCTTCTTTTTGTTCGTGAAGTCCTGACCGTTCCACTCGTATGCAGATTCGGATGTAAATTTCTGCAAATCGTCAATACCAAGCTTCTCGTATCTGGCATTGAGCTCAGCAGTCCGCATTTCACCGTGCTTTAAGATTGTATCGATATCCTCGTCAGTGAGCTCACCACCCTTTTCTGCAAGAGTACCAGTAGGTCCCTTCGTCTGGAAGACTTTCTCGGCACCATGTTGGATCATGTTTAGCAGTTCATCCTTGTTCGCGGCTGCCTTGGCAGCAATTTGTGCGCGGCCTTGTTGGATGACAAGTTGGTCGAGACGAAGCTTCTGAGCAGCACGTTCCAAGACCTTCTCTTCGATAGCATTTTCAGTGACAAATCTATAAACAACAACCTGCTTCGTCTGACCAATTCGATGAGCTCGATCCATAGCTTGCAGATCAGCCTGGGGGTTCCAGTCGCTGTCATAGAGTATAACGATGTCGGCACTTGTCAGATTGATACCGAGACCGCCAGCACGGGTAGTCAAAAGGAAAATAAACTTTTCGGAATCCGGCTTGTTGTAATCATCGATAGCTGCGATACGGTCCTCGTGGGCAGTACCGCCATCTATTCGGCAGTATTTGAAGTCTCTGAACACACAGTAATCTTCAAGAATATCCAGCAATCTGCTCATTTGAGAGAAGATAAGAACTCGGCTACCCTGTTTCTTAAGTCGCTTCAGAAGCCTGTCCATCATGACCATCTTTCCAGCGTTCTGAATGAGGTGCTCATCAGTTGTATACGGAGGTCCAGGTTCGGCTCCTTCGAAGAGATATGGATGGTTACAGCACTTTCGAAGCTGCATGACGATATTCAGGAGTCTTGTCTTGGACTCTCGCTTCCCGCCAGCTCCATTGACAGCATCGATATCTTTCTCCAAAATCTTTTTGTACCATCTGACTTGCATATCGGACATGCCAATGTACAAATTGACTTCCTTCTTCGGTAACAAGCTTTTCTCGACATCACTTTTAACCCGACGGAGTAGGAATGGTCGTAGAACACGATGAAGTTGCTGAACGACGGTATCTTGATCTTCCCCTTGCCCAGAGAACCACTGATCAAAGGCGTCGGAATCACCGAAAACATCAGGGAGTAAGAAATTAAGCAAGGCCCACAACTCGTGTAGGTTGTTTTGAAGAGGGGTTCCAGTGATGAGTAGGCGGTTTCGAGAGTTGAACAGACGGATTACTTGAGCCAAGGAAGATTCCTCGTTCTTGATACGATGTGCCTTGCTTCAGTTAGAATATTGGCACGTGTAAGAAGAGGGGATCGGAACTTACCTCATCGATGATGATGTACTCCCAGGCGAACTTTTTCAAGTGTGCCTTCTCGCGTAGGATCATCTCGTAACTAGTAATACACACATCGAACTTCTCGTCAACAAGGCGCTCATTGATCAACGCATGTCGCTCATCCTTTCCGCCTTGGAGGACCAATACATTGACCTCCGGGGTCCATTTGGCAAATTCTCTCTTCCAATTGTCAAGTGTAGACTTAGGAACAGTAACAAGATGCGGGCCTGTGATACCCATTATGTGCCTCAGATAACCAAGGAATGAAATAGTTTGTAGGGTTTTGCCCAATCCCATTTCATCTGCTAGGATACCAGAGATGCCGTTCTCGTGTAGGGAAATGAGCCAATTCAGACCCGCAACTTGGTAGTCCCGCATTGTGCCATTGATAAAGCCAGGGGATTCTCTGAAAACTGTCTCAGCAGAGCCTCCAGATTTCTCATCCTTCAATAGCTCTGCGTCTTCCTCTGCCTCGGTTCGTCGACGTCGTTCTGCGGCGCCACCCTGTCTACTGCGCGACTTTTTAGTCTTCTCAGCCTCCTCATTTTGGCGATCAATCTCGTGCATGATTTCTTGAATGCGGGGGTTGGGATTGGTCTCAATAAAATGTCGGAACAGGTCTGTTAGTCCAAGCAGATATCGGAATCGTCGAATAGAGTCATCTTCCTAAAAGGAATATCCATCAGCCTGCTGCCTCGTAACATACCAAGAGTTTGGAGAGTATAATCCTACTTTTGATTCGCCGAGACGGTCATGTTTCTTGCCAAAGACACTTCGGCGTAGTTGAGTTGCCTCCGATCTTCGTTTTCGGCCGTCAGCATTGAGAGCCTCACCAGCAACGCTGCTTGCGGTGGTATTGGGGTTGGTATCCGAGTCCTCTGTGTAATCTGGGGTTTCATCAACTTCCTAAAAGAGAGATTCATTAATGTCTAGTTGCTTTGATAGATCATGACAGAGAACAGAACAGAGTGAATTTGTATAGAACTGCAGGAGCCTTCTAGGTATAATTCACGTACCATTTGATCTGTAGGAAGCTGTCTCGTAGGTTCTGAAGCATCTGCCATCGACGTATCCGTGTCGTTGCCATTCGCGCGCGAAGAGCGTGGAGCCATCTTGCTGAGCCTCAATCCTTGATGAGGACTCAACAGGAGGATATTGGCCCTTCTGATACAGCGGAAAGCTTCGCGATTATCGTGAAAGAATCCTCGGTCGCGTTATGGATAGGGTATCCTTTGAGGATCGATGTTGTTGATGCGCGACAAAGGAGTGGAGGGACGTGGTTGAATTCTGACGCGACTCTGGAATGGCAAGAGGAGGGAAAGTGTTTAAGCTCTCGGGCGACAGAAACGGGTTAGCGCATAGAGTACCGATCACGTGCATATGTCTTAGATTAGTTTCTCTCATGGAACAAGCCGTGAGCAACGACAGCTGCCCCGCTATTGTTCATATTGAAAGACCTGACAAGCAGTTGTCGACCAAACAGAGAGGTCGCTGTTCATTCATTTTCGTTGTATAGTGCTATGTAAGTACATTCCTCGCAGACCAAGCATTTGGCTGTAATATTTCGTTCTGCTGGTTCCCGAGTATCTTGCTGACCAGACCGTCCTTGTTTACAGTACTCTGCAGATCACGACCACCACCATGGACTCCATGAGGAGCCTGAATACGTCTCTGCCGGGTGCATCGTCCGCAAAGCAGCCGGTTGGAGAGCCACCTGAACAACTTCTACAATCCTTCAAGGCTGCCGCGCTATCGGTCACCAAACTCTACAAGACTGCCGCAGCAGACCAAGCACGGGCACGGGCAGAGGGTTATCAAGATGCGTTGGACGAATTACTCGCTTTCTTGGATAAGGAAAATATTGGTGTGAGCGATGGGGAAGGCTGGAGAATACGACGCTGGGCCACCGAAAGATTGGATGGTCGAGATTCTGTGTCCCAAAGTATGGAAAGTGATGACGAAGCTGGGGAGAAGATGGATGGTGGACTGTCACCAGAGATTCAGCGGTCCCAGAGTGCAACAAGACTCTCTCCCACAACCGGAACAACACCAATAGCATCACCAGAACGAACAGAATCCCAGGTGCCACCTCCAGTCGTCACTCCAGTCCCCAGCGAACCCACGATTACGATGCCTCCCCAGGGGATGTTCACTTTCCAAGCGGGGCCGGCATATCCACAAGATACAGATATTACCCTTTCGGATCTGAATCTGTCGGATAACGTCCGTCCTCAGAGTAATGACAATCTGATGGCGTCACATACCGCTAACACACCCATCACCGTTACGAGAACCCCACGAACCAATCCAAGACACAACCATCCTACACGACTGAACACGAGATCCACGAGCTCTCTCTCCCGTGGCGCAGGGCAGAAACGGAAGATAAACTTTGCCGAGTTGTTTGATATTTCGAACCCAAGCTACGGCAAGGACGGCTTTGGCGGTGGAGGGAAGCGAGGGAGATTTGTATGAGGAGTGGCAAACCCATTATACTCTTCGGTACCCAGGGGCCAGGCTCCATGCTGCTGATTCGGACCAATTCATCGCATTTGAGCGTGATGGAGCATTAATAAGCATGTAACGCAGTTGACGAAACCTTTAAGACACATCTGGATTGCAATTAACTCGGGAGCATCTGCATATTAGAGCGAGATCGATATAGGTCGTCATGCATATCAATGGCGTCAACTTCGGGGCTTAAGCATTGGATGAAGGCACATGGTTCCATAGCTTGACCCAGAAGAAAAATGATACATGGCAATAATCCCGCCGATAAATTTTGTGTACCTATTCAAGTGATGCATATCTTTTCTTTATTATTGAACTCACTACGACTTTAAGATTTTAGAATTAAACCTGCGCCCCCCAGCCACATTCTCTAATAGTATTATTTGCAGAGACGATGTAGCATTTCCGTGGCGTGATTCCAAATTCCTTGTTCCTGCACTACCTTGCGATAACAACGCCGTTCTTCCCAGAATTTTTCAAGCATCTTCCAGCACTTTCCTTCCCAGTCTAGCCTCCCGGTTACCCCCGCAGATAGTATCCTCGAACGTACGGTGGAACTTTTCCTTGTCGAAGGACCACCTTCGCGGACTAGAGAAAGGCATTTTGAAGACAGAGCTTCACCGACTTTTATATGGAAGGTTTGGAAGGATGGATCCTTAGGGCCCGACCCTCACATCTCCAGATCTTCGTTTTTTCTAGCTCGCGGATTTGGGTTTGCAAAACACTAATAACACATGATTGTGAGGATGGCTTTCATGGTGGGTTCTAACGAGGCAACCAACTTACCATCCTCGAGATACACAAGAACTAACTGTTGATGGTCCATGATTATTTTTTTGGGGGGGGGGGAGGCGCGGAGGCATATTTACGAGATACTGCGTAGAGAAAATCAATTGGAATGGTTAAGTATATGTATATTCTTGTTGCATAATCTAAGAATTATAGGTATGTGTCGAATAAACCACCAAAAAGACCTGCAACACTTTGATTCCTAAGGTAGGTGTTTGAGTCCTGAGTCCTTGTCATTGCTTGCTACTCCTTAGTGTGACTTTCGCCCCCTCGCAGCCTCGTCGGCACACACAGCCTTGTCCCGCACCGAAATTTCCAAATCCTAAATCGCGGCGGCCAAAACTGCGACGTGCAACAAAACTTTCCACCTCTCTAGATCTCAGCGCCACAACCTCGCAGAGAAATTCCAAAGAGTGCATTTTAACGCCCCGACATAGTATCCCGAAACTTCTAAAGGAATAACATTTGCAAAGGAAAAAATATTGGAATATTTAGGTACCCAGGCAGGTAGAATAGGGGTTCCAACCGAGGCCATCCCTGAAATTAGAGCCTCAGGCCACGAGATCCTGATAGCAACAGCTCCCCCACTCAACGTTCCTAGAACATCACAGCTATCAACGCAAACACATTTCATTCCCAAGTGCACATGAACTCCCTACAATTTACTCAACTCCTTATAAGAGCATCTCATTCCTTATCCCATAAACCTTTTTCAAATCATATTTCGAAGAGATCGTTCACCATGTCAACGCAGTTATCGAAAGAGCCCAGACGGTTCGCGCCGCTCAAGGAGGGGAGCGAAAACACGATAGAAGGAGCGCCGAAGCTAAAGGGCGTTGTGTTTGATGTTGATGGCACTTTATGGTGAGCGGTTTCGAATTGTCGCTGTCGAAAACTTTGCTTGCGTTTGGGAAATCTTTGCGGCACGTGCCCACATGCCACACCCTCGAAGAACGTTTTGGAGAATAATCCTTGAGCGGTCTTGAAGTCTTGAGATATAAATTTCCCCGAGGTTGAGTACCTCGTCGATGTTGTTATATGGAAAGCTCTCTGGGCAGACTAAGACACTTTCTTATTAACGACTGATTGGAGGCACGGCTCTCCGAGGCTGTTAAAGGCCAACCACTTCTGTGGGCGCCAAGCTCTGTTACACTGAGTATAGATAATGCACTCAAGTGATGTAAACTTCAAACATATAATAAGATCAATCGTTATCCCTGAACATCTCTTATAAAAGTCCTGAATCCCATAGACATGAACCCCAACAGCCTCCAGGAGGTCCAAAGCCAACCCACCCTCACCGCTCCACCAACACCAGCTAACCAAGCAACCAGCCTTCCCCAAACCTACATGTTCGCCGAGATGCGCGCTGCCGTCGGCATCCCACCCGGCGTCGACATCCTCGAGCACATCTACCAGCTTCCCTCCGCCGACCAAGAAGCCGCGATGGAGAAGATCCGGGGCGTAGAGCGCAGCGCCATCGCCTCGCAGTCGCCGCAGCCCGGGCTCGTACCGCTCATGAGCTACCTGGAAAGCAAAGGGATCCCGAAGGGGATCTGCACGCGCAACTTCGAGACGCCGGTGAACCACCTGCTGGAAAAGTTCCTCGCGGGCAAGCTGTTCAGCCCTATCGTCACGAGGGATTTTCGCCCCCCGAAGCCAGACCCCGCGGGCATTTTGCATATTGCGAAGACGTGGGGTTTGCTGAAGGGCGAGGGCGTGCCGGATGCTAGTCAGTTGATTATGGTTGGGTGAGTGCGAAATCTTGGGTTGTGTGCTGCTCGTTGCTGATATGCAGGTGAATGTAGGGATTCAATAGATGATATGACGGCAGGCTATAGAGCTGGCGCGGCGACGGTGCTTTTGGTTAATGAGGTGAATGCGCACTTGGCGACGCATGAACATACAGATCTATGTGTCTCGAGACTGGATGAGTTGATTGAGGTCTTAGAAAAGGGGTTTGTGGGAAGGATAGGCAGGGGGGAGGAAGAGAGCGATACTAGAGGCCGAGCAGAGCGGGTATTGAGGGAAGCCAAGGGGGAGGAAGCATTAGACAAAGAGTAGAATCAAGAACCAGTATCATAGCCTCTCGTTATCCATCTATGAGACGCCTCGCATCAACGCCCGAACTTGCTACGCTAGTTACAGTTGTTGCATGACACAATCCTGCTCCTACTCTTCTTTTCTCATACCTCTCAGGGGCCCAAAATGGCCACTTAAAATCAAGATGTGACACGCTAAAGAGAGAACAAATCCAAATGAGGGGTAATGACGCCGAATATGCTGAACTTCTCGTCCTCGAAACATACGAGGTTGTGAATATTGGAATGCTGAAGCCAAAGTAGCGATTGACACTATGACTTCAACGAACCATAACCTAATAACCGCCAGTGGGATATCCAGAGCTGTACATGCCGTTGCCAAATGTAGCCTGTCTCCGGCTCTCCCTCTTGGGGTCTATATCACTGCTTTCCTTCTTTGGGACAGGAGGTGGCAAGGGTCCAGTGGGTGCCGGTCGCATTGGAAGAGTTGTTGAACTGAAAGTAGGAGCGGTGGCACTGGCGGATCCACCAGATGCTGCGTGCTCAGTGGAGCTGATTGTTGAGTGTTTTGGTACAGAGTTTGTGGTCGAGACTCGAGTTGGAAGGCCAGGATGAAATGGTGCATTGGAAGAGCGTCCGGAAGTAATCGTTCCATTCATGTTAGGCGACCTAGAATTGCTGATGGATTCATGGTATTGCGGCGAAGTGGTAGCTGAACGGATGTCACCACCACCGATGGGAATGTCGCCTGATGTAGGTGTGGGTAAGGAGTAGTCCGGAGAGTTCGATAAGTTCGGTCCCCCAAGGGGCGAGTCGCCGGAGCGTAAGGCTGCTTGAGTTGCTGGCGAGAGTTGCGGAGCAAGGTGAGATTTACGATTGTCTCTTTCTAACAAACCCACTGCCCATTCCTTTAAGTCGACAGGGGTCCGCTTGGCAGCCTGCACGAAGGGCTCGCGCTCCTAGTAAAAAGAATAAGCATACTGATCACTGGATATCAACGGACATTACTCACGTAAAGTTCCTGAGGTGTTGGCCGATCCTCCGGGGCTTTGGCCATGCACTTTTGTATCATATCCTCAAGAATTTGGGGGAAAGCGTCGCTCTTCGGCAGTTTGGGCGCCGGTTCATAGACGATTTGTTGAAGGAGGTCCAGAATGCCCGCCGGAGCTCCATCACCGTCAGACAGGTGCTCGCTCGCATCGAACGGGAATTTCCCAATAGCCAACTCCATAATTGCCAAGCCAAAACTCCAGACATCAGATTTGACCGTGTACTTCTGACCTTGAATCCGCTCGGGGGCCATATACGTCGAAGTCCCAACAAAGGTATCCGCCACCGAGTTGACCAACTCCCCTGATACACCAAAATCGCAAAGCTTGATCTGTCCCTTCGAATTGACTAATATATTTGACGGCTTGATATCTCGGTGCATGATGTGGTGTTTGGTGTAAAGATAGGTAAGACCTCCCAGGGTTGCCTCTGCGATCTTTCCAAGTACATCAACTCTTACAGGACCAAAGTTTTGCGAAATTCTATCAAGCGCACTAACAGACATGTTAGCAGCTAACGATAGAATAGGATGTGTGCCTTACCCAACATCCATGTATTCCATACACATGATAACATCGTTGTTGTCGCTCAAGAAGGCCCCGTAGAAGTTGACGATGTATTCTGAATTGCAATCGTACATGATCTGGAGCTCCCTAACAATCCGACGGCGTAATTCATTCTTGGCTTCAACATGGATAACCTGGATAGTGAAGTATATGTTAGTTAGGTACTGACGACAGCATACACAACGCGTGGGTAGTGACTTGCCTTTCTCGCCATGATGGTCCCGGTTGCCATGTGTCGAACCTTACTAACTGTTCCCCCATTGCCGTGACCGAGATCTCTCAAGACTTCTAAATCTTCTCTCTTCAAGTCAAGCTTGTACTCGATCCCAATCTCCAATTGTGCGGTCTGCCGGGAACTCTCACTGCCGATGCCTCCGGGTATCTGGCGGTCGCTCTCTGATGGAGCTACATTTCGCGGTGCGGGGGCAGCCAAAGCAAGGCCCTTGACGTTCTTCCGCCTCAGCGTACGCACCGCACCAATACTGTCCGACATCGTGGGTGCTGGTCGGCGAGATCAGCGTGGGTTGAGCACTTGCGCACGCGGCAGACGTGGTGGAGCGGGCGCTGTTAATCAGTGCCGCTACCGTGGAGGCTTCGACGAAAGGCAACCGTGTTGTTGGAGGTTGCGGAGGATCGAGGATCGAGGGTCGAAGTTCGAAGTGAAGTTCGAAGCTCGAGGTTCGAGGCTGGAGGTTTGCAAAGGCTCGAAGTTCGCGACTCTCTTGTGGACTGCGAAAATTCACAGGGTAAGGTGCAGAGCGGGGTTGAGAGGGTCCAGGCAAAGATAACTTCAGGATACTGTAGGTATATCTTGCGCGAAGGTGATCTCTACCCGGTATCTTCACACCAACAGACAACGGCGCGACGCTACTCCAAGATGGCCGGGATCCAATGTGGGGGAGGCCGCGCTGAGAGTCAAGAATCTTGGATAATCAGTTACAACTTACCAGCACAGCAATAGGGACGCTTGATTCATCGTGATTATGCGGAAAAGAGTCAGGCAAAAGAGGGTTTTCATGACGGCGTCTACACGAAATCCAATCCCAGGAACTGGTACTAGAGTCCCACACGCACACGCACACACACGCCCAGGGCGTCTCAGCATTCTCAAGGTTGTGTGGATGGCATTGGGCAGCATTTGAGGGCACATAAGGTACGGAGGGGCCGCCCCCCCTGAACGGTGTACGGAGAGCACAGCATTTGACTGCCGGTTGTCATAGGAAGGAGGGGATGGATAGTGATGCTTGAGGTATATAGAAACAGACCTGGTATATAATATTTGCACAAGCGGAAATACCTACTGCTTTCTCTGCTCTCAACTCCCCGATGTCCAAAAGGGGGGACAACTCTCTCATTACGGCGGCTCACAAAGGCCAGAATCCAGATCTGTCTCTGAAGTCGAAAGTCTTTGCCGGCAACCGCTGTGGACCTATAATTAGCTAGCACCAACCACCAGTCGTGGTAACCGCGCCGCTTAGGTAAGCTGGGTCTTCCCAAAACTCTCTCTCTCCTGCTGACTAATCACCCGACGTAAAAATGACGTTGATGCCTTAGCGCCTGAGGTGGAATTCCCTACACTTGCATCCTTGTCGAAATCAACCATCGCGACGCGAGACTTCGAAAAGCTCAGATTGTCACATAATTCCGCGCACCTGCAACTCCATCACATCCCCGTAGGCCGACTCCGCCTTCGCAAGAGTATCAGAACTCCCTTCTTTCTCACCCTTCTTCCCATCAACGATCCGCAAAACCGCCGCAAAGATGAGCATGCAAGACTTGATCCAGGGCGAGGCCGAGCTCGACGACGAGGAGAATGACGAGTCCTTTGATGAGGAGACCGGCGAAGTCATTCGTCGAAATGGAAGGGAGAACGGCGCACATATAGATGACTCAAGTGAGGAGGAAGATGATGACGACGATGAAGAGGCGGCCCGTGAGGTATGCTCCTGATCCCGCCACCACGGATGTTTTGCGCCTTCTCACTAATACTTTCCTAGGTCCGCGAGGGGTTCATCATCGATGATGAAGAAGAGGAGCCCGAGGAACGAGAGCGACGCCGTAAAAGAGATAAGAAGCGCAGACGAGCCGAACGGGAGGAGGAGGAAGCGGTGTTGGACGAGGAAGATCTCGATCTCATTGGTGAGGCAAATCCTGAATGGGAGCGGAAGACCGCTGCACAGGTACGTGCTACCAGATAATGCTCATCGCGAACCCTCGACTCACCTGTTCTAGCCCAAACTCAAGCGTCTCAAACGTGGCCACCGAGATGATGGAGAGCGACGCCGGGAACGTGGCCTTGACGAGATCTTCTCCGACGATGAGGAACTCGACGCCCCACACGAGTTCGATCGCCGACCAGATCACCACCGCATGGATGAGTTCGCCGACTTCATCGAAGAAGACGACCTAGAAGATGAAGAGGAGAAGCAAAGACATCAGGAAGAAATGGAGGTGGCTCGCCCTCGAGAAAGGGGATATGTTGGTGGCACCGAAGCCACTGGCCTTGATAAGGATGCTCTCGATGATATGGAAGCAATTTTCGGGAATGGCGAGGACTACGACTGGGCACTGGCGCTGGAGGACGAAGCCGAGGCCAGGGAAGCGGGCGACCACAATCTCGAGTTGAAGGATGTCTTTGAACCTTCTCAACTGTCGGAGAAACTTCTCACAGATGAGGATAATCAGATCCGTTGGGCCGACGAACCTGAGCGGTTCCAACTTGATCGAATGCCATACAAACACCTTCAAATCACCGACGATCAATTCAAGGAAGAAGCTCGCTGGATCACCAGTCTTATCTGGCCCAAGAAGGCATTACACAGTGACTTGCAAACTCCTTTCACAAGGGCTATCGGCAAAGTTCTTGAATTCTTTGTGGTCGACGAAGTCGAGGTTCCTTATGTCTTCCAGCATCGCAAGGACTATTTGATTCATGCCAAGAAGACGAGGGTTCGCACCGATAATCCGGATGATCACGAGTACGTCGTCAGTGCTGAGAAATTGCTAAACCAAGACGACCTCTGGCGCGTACTAGAGCTTGACTTGAAGTTCCGTGCACTCATTGACAAGCGAAACGTCCTCGAGAAGACGTATGACAATCTGAAATTGGCTGCTGGCGTGCAGGATCAAATGGTTGAAACAATGCTTCCAGTTGCTGTCACAATGGAAGAATTACAGGACATCCAAGACTACATCTATTTCCAATACTCGGCGGAGATCAAGGACCTGGCTGCATCGAATGGCAATGCCAAGGAGAAACGTCGTCCTGGGAACAAGTCGTCCATATATGATCGGATACGCAAGGGACGGGCATACAATCTGGTCAGGGCATACGGTATCACCGCTGATCAAGTTGCCCAAAATGCCCTGCGAGAGGGGAGAAAGCAGTACACAGAGGATTCGTCCACCACACCGATTGATCTAGCCGACTCTTTGACCAACCCAGGCGAATTTAGCACCGGAGAGCAGGTGCTTTTAGCGGCACGTCAAATGTTCGCTGAGGAACTTTTCATGAACCCACGGATGCGAAAGCACTTCAGAATGAACTATTATATGATGGGCCTCGTCAATTGCCACAGAACCGATAAAGGTTTAAGAAAGATTGATGAGCAGCATCAGTATTACGAATTGAAGTACTTGAAAAATCAAACTTTCAGCGACATCGCGAATAAGCCCGAGATGTTTTTGAAGATGCTCAAGGCTGAAGAAGAAGGCCTTTTGGAGGTGCGAATTACGCTCCAGAATGAGCAAGAGTTCCGCAAGCAGCTCTTTGCAGAATTTGCGTCTGACAACTACAGTGAACTTGCTGATGCTTGGAACGACGAGCGCCAGAAAGTTCTTGATCTGGCATTCACCAAGCTAGAGCATGTTATCACTAAAGGTGTCAAAGAAAGCATGAGGACGGAATGTCAAGACTCCATCCTGAAACTCTGCCGAGAAGAATTCTCAAAGAAGCTTGATCAAGCACCATACAAACCGCAAGGCATGATTCTCGGAACGATCCCTCGGGTATTAGCTCTGTCTAACGGCAGTGGCGATCCCAACCGTGATGCAGTCTGCTGGGCCTGGGTTGAGGAAGACGGACGGGTGCTGGAGCATGGTAAATTCGATAACCTCACGCGAGATGAGAGATCGAGAGAAGCATTTGTTGAACTTGTGCAGCGAAGAAAGCCAGACGTCCTAGGCGTCAGTGGATTTTCAGTGGATACCCACAAGCTCATCACTGCTCTTCGAGATCTTGTGAGAGAGAGGGGTTTGACTGGTGCTGAGTTCGAGGATCCGGAGTCAGGCGACGACAGGAGTGAGCCCCTTGAAGTTGTTGTGGTCAATGATGAAGTGGCTCGGCTGTATAAAGACAGCCCACGTGCTGCAGTCGACCACCCAACTCTTAATTCGCTCACGAGATACTGTGTGGCGTTGGCCAAATATCTCCAGAATCCAATGAAAGAGTATGCGGCTCTTGGAAAGGACATTACCTCCTTGTCATTCCACCCATGTCAACAACTACTTCCCGAAGACAAACTGCGAAAACAGCTTGAGACAGCAATGGTAGATATGGTGAATCTTTGCGGTGTTGACATCAACGAGGCTATTGCTGATCCGTATACTGCCGCTCTTCTACCCTATGTGTGTGGTCTGGGACCTCGCAAAGCCACGGCTGTCATCAAGAGCATCAATGCCAACGGAGGTGTTGTGAATTCTCGAGACGAGCTTGTAGGTGATCCCGACAGTGGAAAACTACCTGTGGTGGGACCTAGAGTCTGGAATAACTGCGCAAGTTTCTTGTCTATCGAATATGATAGCTCGACGTCGACATCTGACTACCTTGATAATACTCGAGTACACCCCGAAGATTACGAACTCGGCCGCAAAATGGCCGCTGATGCTCTTGAATTGGATGAAGAGGATGTAAAGGCCGAAGTCGATGAAGGCGGCCCTGGAGCCATTGTTCGCAAGCTCATCAAGGATGATGAACAAGAAAAGGTCAACGACTTGATTCTTGAAGAATATGCCGAGCAACTTGAACGCAATTATAATCAACGGAAACGTGCCACGCTCGAGACTATTCGTGCCGAGCTGCAACAGCCCTACGAAGAGTTGAGGAGAAACTTTGCCATTCTGTCACCGGATGAGATATTCACCATGCTTACCGGGGAGACTCGGGATACTTTGTGTGAGGGCATGATCGTCTCAGTCAACATTCGAGTCGCCAAGGAAGACTTTGTCATTGCGAAGTTAGATTCTGGTATTGAAGGTCGAGTTGAGCCACAGGAGGGCTCAGATAATGATATGCCACTCAATCGTCTCTTTAGTGTGGGCCAGACTGCTCAAGCAAAACTTCTTGATCTCGATCGCGAAAACTTCTCTGCAAAACTCTCCCTGCGCGAGTCGATGCTGAGGCATCCATACCGGAAACGCATTGACCACGATCCTGGTTCTTGGGATGCGGCACAAGAACTCAAAGATCAGGAAGAGCTCAGAGAGAAAGACAAGGCAACTGGAAGAACCCAGAGAGTGGTCAAGCACCCATTGTTCAAACCCTTCAATTCTACACAGGCCGAAGAATACCTTGGATCACAGCCACAGGGTGAAGCCGTTATTCGACCTTCGTCGAAGGGCAATGATCATCTTGCTGTCACATGGAAGGTTGCCGATGGGGTCTATCAACACATCGATGTGCTCGAGTTACAGAAAGACAATGAATTTTCTGTTGGAAAACTACTTCGCATTGGTGGCAAGTACAACTATAGCGATCTTGACGAGTTGATTGTAGACCACGTCAAGGCCATGGCGAGAAAGGTCGACGAAATGATGCAGCATGACAAGTACCAGAAGGGCAGCAAGGCGGACACAGGTAGGTCATCAAGTATTGTGGCTTTCACGAAATCATACTTACAATTTCTTGCAGAAAATTGGTTGACGACATATACCATGGCCAACCCCAAGCGATCTGTTTATGCTTTCTGCCTGGATCCGAAACATCCTGGGTACTTCTATCTCTGCTTCAAAGCCGGGAAAGATGCCCGGGTCAACGCGTGGCCGGTGCGAATTGTCCCTAATGCCTTCGAGTTGATGAAGAGTCCTTATCCTGATATGAGAGCGTTGTGCAATGGATTCAAGTTGCGCCACGCAAGTGAGATGACCCGGAGAGGTTGATGGCTTATGGAAGTCTCAAAACCAAGACTGACTGGTGTGGAAGTTGTCATGGAATGGTTCCTGGCGTATTCTCCCCATTTTGTTGTATTATAACTCTACAAGCAACGGGATCTGGGATTCTCGTGAACTTTCAAAGGGAAGGAAGGGGAGGTGAAAAAGGCGTGTAGGCATCAGGTTTTAGCTCTCGAAGACCGTCTCAGCCTGCAACAGATAGCAATTAAGTTAATTTGAATTTACGTGGCCATGATGTACGTGCTCGTTCCCCTTTTATTCTCAAATTGATTGCGTCGATCCATGTTGGCGATCCTGGAGATCCTAGCAAAGCTTTTGAGGCTTTACCTCCTTCACCAGTCCCCTTCCCTCCAATAACGGCTCCAAGTACTGTACGCTGCAGAACCATAGGTCTTCACGGCCTGCCTCTCAGGTTTTAGCCTACGTAAGGGGCAAAGACCCCTTCCCCTAGAAAGAACATGGATAGTACTCCCGAGATGAAACCGCTTTGCCTAGATACGTTACTACTTTGTATCTTTACTCCGTCCTTCGTAAGCTGACGGTCTACGGTCTTCCGTTTCTTACGGCGCCACCATATGTTCTGTGCTTATAAACTGCAAGATCTTTTTGTTCTTTATGAGCCATCTCAATCGTTCAAGGCGCTTGTCTGTTACTGTTTCTGGGACCATTAATGCTGATCCACCTGGCGTTTCGACCTGTGGCGCAGCAACCTATCTAAACTTCACCAGCCACGAAAGCCTTTAGTTGCCGTTACCTAAAGGAAGGTCCCAGGTAAATTTCGTGGCCATTGTCAGCCAGCCAGCCTGGCCATATCATAGACAATCAAGATCCCGATATTGGATATATCGCCCGGAGCAGAAAAGCTCATTGGCGCTCGCGGCATCGACATCAGCCCCAAGCCTGACGGTAAACTCGTGCCGGCGCATTTTGGTGCCTGCTTCCGGCGGATTCGTCCAACAGGCGCAATGGCGTTGGAGCAGTTAGAGATTCATAGCAAGGTTTGCGGAGCCCTGAGCTGTGGATACATGATGTCTGATTCAAACAGTCATACATCGTACGTTGGGTCAAGGTCGAAGAAGGACATACAATATCCTGGAGTATCCAGCCGCATAAGAAATCACTGTACGTGTCTTACTCCAGCGGGCCACTCATAATAGCATCTAACACTCTCACAGGAACTTCGGTATCGTCAAGCATCCTGGGACAGGTAATGCCGCAAACGCGCAGCATGTGGTTGTTGAGGACACTCTGCTACAACCTGAGACGGCTCCCGAGAAGCAACGACGCCCTTCAACCGCGAAGAACGATGCCTCTACAGCCCAAATCCAGTTAAAAGCAAAAGGCTTTATCCCGATACAATGGTATGGCAAATGCGAAGCGGACAAGGTGTCCCGGGGTACATATTCAGTTGCAAAAGGACATGGTGGAATGTACGGCCTGGTGCTCGACAACACATTCTCAATGGCATTTTCCAAAACAGCGACTTTTGTCCTTCTCACCTACCCTTCCAACTCGCCCCCGCAGTCCGCTCTTCATCTACACGCTGGTCAAGGTGGACTGACAGGTCCAAGTGCCACAAGTCTTGGCAAGAACCAGAGCCCACGGTTGGGTGCTACATCTTCGGAATCTGTGGATAGCATTCCGAGTCATTACGCAAACAGTGGTAATAAAGGCAGTCATGCGAGGGGTCCATCTGATAGCCAGAATACAGTTGCGACGCATCATGTTGGAGTTCTGCAAAAACGGCGAAGGAAGCGTGGGCAAGGCTACGCGCGACGATTCTTCTCCTTGGATTTCGCATCCTGCACCCTATCGTACTATCATAATCGCAATTCATCTGCGCTAAGGGGTGCAATCCCTCTAGGCTTGGCTGCCATTGCTGCTGATGAAAGGATGAGGGAAATCAACATTGATTCAGGCGCAGAAGTGTGGCATCTGAAGACCTCGAGTGCAAAGGATTTCGAAGAATGGACTAGGGCTCTCGAGAGAGCCAGCGCTATTGCCCGCGGTGTTGAAATTGATGACGCTCCATCGCCAGAGCGAGTGCAGAGTAGAACGAGTGGGCTTCAAATCACAGCATCTCACGAGGATCAGGAATGGGAGCAGGCTGAAGCTATTTTAAGTAGAATCGCCGGTACTCGAGATGCCATGCGCAGGCTATATAACGACATGGCTCCCGAGGCCAAGAAGAATTCTAATCCTGGCCTTGGGCTCCCTACGAATAGCAGCCCGATGCTGGATGACAACAACGACCTGCTTGGAGCTCCATCTGAGAAGAAATCGTTTTGGAAGCGGAGATCTGGCCTCCCACCAACAGCTCAGTCTCAGCTCGTCGGGCGAAGCATCCCATCCCAACTAGCCGTGCCCGCCCCGACAACTGTCACGACCATCACCGCCAATGGTTCAGTAACACCCTCTTTTCGAAAGTCGAAAAATCAAGAAGAAATCGGTGTGCATGATCATGTTGCAGCACTGCTCGCTGAATTGGACACGGTTGTTCTCGACTTCTCGACTCTTCTAGCAAGCAGCAAACGTCGTCGAGCCCCCGCCCAAATCTTCCCCTCCAGAAATAGCATGGATTCGACTTCGACGGGTGAATTCTATGATGCGGAGGGGGGAGATCCGGATCGTCCACAAGTGTTAATGATTGGCCGCCAGAGTGAAGAAGATACCCCTCCCTCAGATGATGACTTCGTATCGGATGCTTCATCTGTTTCTTCTGTAGATGAAGACGATGTCTCTCCTAATATTGGACATGCCGCATCGCTCTTTCCCCAGAAGCCAAAGAACCTCGACCCTCTCCCTGTTTCTAAAGTTCTCAAGCGACGAAAAGTCATCCCTCCCGCAAAAGTAATGCCACCCAGTCTGGTTGCCACACTGCGCAAAAATGTGGGCAAAGATCTCAGCACAATCAGCATGCCTGTCAGCGCCAATGAACCGATATCACTTCTACAACGCGTGGCCGAACAACTAGAATACGCGCAAATCCTTGATGCAGCCGTCGCTCAGAAAATACCCGCCCAACGCCTGTTGCATGTCGCTGCTTTCGCCATCTCACAATTAAGTAGCAATCGATGCAAAGAACGCGCCATTCGTAAACCTTTCAATCCTATGCTAGGAGAGACGTTTGAGCTAGTGAGGACTGAGAAGGAGGTTCCTGGCGGCTTCAGATTGCTCGTGGAGAAGGTCTCGCATCGCCCAGTACGTACGGCTTGTCAGGCCGAATCAGCCAACTGGTCGTTCGGCCAGTCCTCCGCACCAACTCAGAAGTTCTGGGGTAAGAGCGCGGAGCTCATTACAGAAGGTCGGATTAGGATAGTTCTGCGGTTACCAGATGGGACAGAAGAGCTCTACAGCTGGAGTGTCGCTACGGTATTTTTGCGGAATGTGGTAATGGGCGAGAAGTACGTAGAGCCGGTAGGAACCATGACTGTGGCCAACGACAGCACAGGCGCCAAAGCCACCATTGAATTTAAGGCAAAAGGCATGTTCGGTGGCCGCAGCGAGGACGTACAAGTCGAATCATATGGACCCGATGGTGCCAGTACTGGTTTTAGCCTCGTAGGGACTTGGACTACCAGTCTCCAGCTTCTGGAAAACGGGAAACCTGTTAGAGAGATTTGGCACGTGGGAGATCTGGTGGACAACGCGCCTCAAACATATGGGCTTACGACGTTCGCGGCCAGCCTGAACGAGATCACAGAGATAGAGAAAGGCAAACTACCGGCGACGGACAGTCGGTTGAGGCCTGATCAGAGAGCTGCGGAGAGGGGAGATCTCGACGAAGCGGAAGAGTGGAAGAGGAGATTAGAAGAGAGGCAGAGAGCCAAGAGGAAGGAGGTCGAGGAGCGTGGGGAGGTACACAAACCCCGGTGGTTTGTAAAGGTTGATGGTGGAGACGAGGGCGAAGAGGTATGGAAGCTGAAGACTGGAAAGGAGGGCTATTGGGAGGAGAGGAGCCGAGGGGCCTTCACAGGTGTGGAAGACATTTTTGCTGCATGACCGATGGACGGGATGGCGGATACGGTGATGATGACGACCGGTAATGACGGTGGCGTTGGGGTTTCAGCGTCTCTATACTTCCCTATTTCAAAGAGTCAGCGGATGCATAGCGTTCTGTAGTTCTGTAGAAATAGAAGATGGCGGAAAATAGAAGGCTACAATTTAGACTTCAGAATTTAAAAAAAAAGAGAAGAATAGGATTCAATCTCTGCTCCAAAGCGAGTAATTCGACTTTTGATGGAGCTAATCATGGTGAACTTCAGGCTTTATGTTTTTGCTATTGCCTTGTTATTTCGTGCTCGTATACTGGTTCTTCAACCCTATTGCCGGGTATTTAGGAATCCATCCAGTTCGCACTGACTTGTCGATCTTCTTAATCTTCTCGATCTTCTTGAGCCCACACGTATGCGATGCCACCCTCACCACTTATTTAATATGTTGAATGAAGCACCGGTAGAAGAAAACTCAAATAGACTCTCTTATGATTCAAGAGTAGTTGAGAAGGGGGTATCGTATCTCATGCCACGCCCCATGCAATAACTCCGTTACAATGCCACCACCATTGGGGAAAATCCGAAATTCAATCCAACTGCGCCTGAACATCATCCTCATAGCCAACAATGTGATCCGCAACCCCAGCGATCCCTCCTCGACCTTGAAGTTCTTCTCTAGCATGACGCTCCGTCGCCTGTTGCGAGGCCTTTTTGATAGCTGCCTTCAAGTGTCTATGTAGAGTTCAGTACTTTTTAAGATTAGAGGATTAGTGAAGAAAGAGAAAGACTCACTTGACGTCCGATTTCAGAACATAGCCCTGTCTCTGGAGTTCCTGGGCGAGCTCTTCCTGATGGTTGTCAAGAAGTGTGGGGTTTGGAACGACGATAATTGGCAATCCCATCCGCATAGCATCCAAGATGGTGCCCGCGCCTAGGTGTTCCTGTCAGCTATTTTGAATATCAAGTTGAGGCGGTAGAGCTACCAGCATGACAGATCACGAGGCCTTCCTTCGACTTTCCAGCCCGTCCAATGCAAGCCTTCATCTGCTTAGTGAGACCCTCCCGATTGAAATCGAAGGCCTCAATTTCCACGCCCAGAGTCTTCTCCGGCTTGATCTCGTACAGGTATCTCAGCGCATCTCCGGCTTGGAACACGAGTTTCGTATACCCGAGGTCGGCGAACTGCTGTATGCAGTCTTCCCCCAGAACAGCCGCGATCAGAGCTGGGAAGGGGGCGGTGGCGCCGGTGCTAATAAGGCACTCGCGGGAGAGTTTCTTCTCTTCAGCTCCATTCTTCATGGCAGTTACACGCACAGCGCTGCGGCGACAGATTAGGATGAACCCGCCTCGCTTCAGGGCGAGAAAGTTCAGCTGGTTGGGACTAACAGAGAGCTCGGATTCGTCTTCGGGTACCCACACATCGACATGGGGCTCCGAGGTATCAGAAGGAGGCGGAAGGAGGGGATCGGTAACTCCAACTGCGATTCCTCCAAAGGCGTCGAGCAAGTTAGATCCAGAAACTCTGGTGATGATATTGGCGACCTTGTCTTTGATTCGAAGCGCGCGCTCCTTTCCACCAGCGAAAGAAGGCATCTTGAAGATGATGGTGGTCGGTGGTCGGATAAACCTCGGGCCGACAATGTTCCGTGGTTGTTGATTTGCTCCTCTTGTCTGGTGGCGTGTGTTTATCAAATTGAGGCGTTGTATGATTGAAAGTTTTGGCTAGTCCGGACTAGGCTAGTGCATGCGAGTATCCGGAGTGAATACCCTACTGGAATAGAGTTGTACCGTGTACTGACAATTTTGCTGCTGTCTACTGACGACAATCGCAAACAATACCGGCATGGCAACAGCCCTACAGAGCTTTCGCCTCACGGCGAGGAGCTGCAAATGTCAGTCTGTTGCACAGCGATACGCCACAAAGTCAATTGGGAGACGGAGAACATTTTCAACAGCGCCTCTTCGATGGAAAGAGCAGGATGACACTGATGCTCGTGTCAATGCTATCCTTGAAAAAGCGGCCAAGGACTCCGAGGCAGAATATGGGAAATGGCTGGGGGAGCAGGTCGCCACTTTTGACCAGCAGATGAAGGAAACGGAGGAGTCAGCGAAAGCGGCATTTGCTCGAGCCGGTCAACCACCAACCTTTGACTGGGAGAGGATAAAGGTGAAGACGAAGAATACCTTTCTGAACATGGGTGAGACCGATCCTGTTGATGGGTTTCCCGATGACGAGGAAGAGAACGAGGAGGATATCACGAGTCTTGCGCATGGGGAGTTGGAACACCATAGGGAGATGAGACATTATGCTAGATTGGCGGCTTGGGAGATGCCAATGTTATCAAGTAAGTGCTCCAGAACCGTGATACCCATCACTTTTGCATCAGTGAATGTCAGATTCTGGACATGGTTTCTGACGAGATAACAGCGCTGGCAAAGCCATTTGAACCACCTTCGGTCGACATGCCATTGCGATTCAGATACACCACATATATGGGCGAACAACACCCAGCGGAGAAGAAAGTCGTTCTGGAGTTCTGTACAGAGGATATGCCAGATCTGACGCCCGTCCAGCGCGAAAAGCTGAAGAAGTTGGTTGGAGTGAGATACAACCCCGAGACGGATATTGTCAAGATGAGCTGTGAGATGTTTGAGACCCAGGCTCAAAACAAACGCTATCTGGGAGATTTAGTTGATGAGCTTCTCCGAGAAGCAAGGGTATGCCTTCTGTGTTCCGAGGCTTGAGAATCATTGTGTACTAACGAATGTAGGATCCTACCGATACTTTTGAGGACATTCCCTTAGATACCCGGCATCATACCTTCAAGACAAAACCCAAGTTCCCACAGGAGTGGGCCATGACAGAAGAGCGCCGGGCAGAGTTGGCCGCATATCGTGAAGAGGCTGCAAGACGAGACGAGGAGCGCATGGTCAGGGGAGGACTCGTAGATGGCGTCAAGCAGATTGAAGAGGCTCTTATTAGGCCCCCACCAGAGACAGAGGCAGTGCCTGAAATGGTGATGGCCGGCAGGGGCGCCAAAGGAAAGGGCAAGCGGGTGGCTGTGAGAAGGTAGAGAGTGATCGTAATGACCCCTGTACAAGATATTGTAGACATATGTATACATACCGTGGACCTCCAATATACAAGGACTAAATGAGTCTTATTCTGAAGGAGACCATGCTGCACTGTCTCTGCTGTTGCTTGCGCAGGCCGGGAGGGGAGACATCAAACATTATCAACCCGCTTTCTGGCCCCCTATCACGTATACTTGACAATGTGACATGCCGACCTACCTAAGGTAAAGCATGCGCAATCAGATCTCTCAAGTGACTCTTCTCTACTGCCTATAGATCATTTCTGTTCAAATCCAAGTCTCCAACTCCAACGAAACCTAGATTGGGCTTTTGCTAGACGAACATATGTGGTAAAAGGCTCTCTTGTCTCATACAGAAAGAAAGGGCTGGATGAAGCGTTAGGCTTCTGATGGGACACATGACAGGGATCAAATTGAAGCTGCAGTATTTCCATCCACCGAGAGGTGTAGAATGAAAGATGTACCAAGGTCAATTGCTACTCGGGTGTATGATTACAATCGAATGCGATTCAATGGCGTGCAACAAAGATGACTTAAAGAGCAATCAACAAGTATAATATGGTCCGCAATACTTGAACGTCAATTTTCTATAGTAAGGTACCTTATGCCAGACTTCATGGCCTTTGAGGACGAAGCGCGCATTAGGTACTCGGACACAATGCCAATGAGCTTGTGCCGAGAATACAAGCCATTCGAACTAAATGAAATTATTAATCAGGAGACCATGAATAAAAAACACTTGGTATATGATGCCTGTAACGAGATTGCCCAACTGCACCTTACCATAGGATTCAGATCAAGACAGGATTCACCGAGGCTGTCAATGTGTCAATCGAGATCGAAGCGGATTAACTTTGGGCCGAACCTGCGGACGATCGACCCGTCATGCCGGCGCTACTACCAAAGTAGGATAGCCTCATGCTTCTCCAGATCATCGTCCTCCATAATCCTGGTGGCTTCCACGATCACTGTACATGAACATACCTCGGCATGTGCGTCTCTCCGCTTCTCCATTGCTTCCCCTCGTCCACCAAGCATCCAACTACATTCTTCCAATTATCACCGTTGCTCCGCATTTCACCTGCCCTGCTCCTAGGCATTTAAAGCTGATGGGTGCAGCTTGAATATGTAGGTTTTTGTGCTTCGCAGTCTTATACTTTTCGGAAACCGGTCTCTGACCCAACCTCATCTAGAGTGCTATATACACTTGACCGTATCCTTCGCCACAAACTCACAACATCTTTGCACAATGGCTTCAACTAAGCTTGTACCGTTCGAGTCCACCGCCGTTGAATCCATTCCAAGCATAGTCCATCAGTGTCAGACTACCTTTCGCTCACAGAAGACGAAGCCGCTCTCATATCGATTGGTTCAATTGCGGAAGCTCTACTGGGGGATTGTCAACAATGAGGACGCCCTCGTTGAAGCTTGCAAGCAAGATCTTGGGAAGCCGACCTTCGAGACTTTCCTCACCGAGATAGACTGGTGCAAGAATGACGTTGTCTTCGTCACCAAGAACCTGGCGAAATGGATGAAGGATGAGCCAGCTCCGGATATCCCTCTTACGAACTCCATGCTGCGCCCAAGGATCAAGAAGGATCCTTTGGGTACCGTCCTTGTGATTGGCGCATACAACTTCCCAGTCCAGCTTTCTTTCGGCCCTCTCATCGGCGCCATCGCTGCTGGCTGTACGGCTGTCTTGAAGCCATCTGAGGTTTCTCCAGCTACCGCTATGGTGCTGAAGAAGATCGTGGAAGAGTCGCTCGACCCCAGTGCATATGCCGTTGTCAATGGCGGTGTTCCGGAGACGACGGCTCTGCTCGAGGAGAAATGGGATAAGATATTCTACACTGGCGGCGTGGTCGTCGGAAAGATTATCGCCAAGAAAGCTGCCGAGACGTTGACTCCTGTATGTCTTGAGCTCGGAGGCCTGAACCCAGCTATTATCAGCAAAAATGCAGATCCTCACCTTGCAGCTCGCCGGCTGTTATGGGGCAAACTTGTCAACGCCGGCCAAGTCTGCATCAGTCAGAACTATATTATGGTCGACAAGGAGATCCTGCCTGCCTTCGTTGAGCAGCTGAAGATTACTTTGAAGGAGTTTTACCCCAATGGCACGAAGGCAAGCCCGGACTACGGAAGAATCGTCAACCAGCGACATTTCCAGAGAATCAAGAAGATGCTGGACGATTCTAAAGGAAAGATCTTGATTGGCGGAGAGGTGGATGAGGCTGAGAACTTCATCGACCTCACCGTCGTGCAAGTTGATGATATTAATGATTCTATGATTGTCAATGAATCGTTCGGCCCTTTGATTCCCATCTTACCGGTCAACGACGTGGAGGAGGCGATTCGCATCGCCAACACGGTGCACTCGACACCTCTTGGACTGTATGCATTTGGCACAAAAGCCGAAACTAATAAGAGTACGTTTCCTATTTCCTTCCGGTTATCGTTCAGTTACAGAGTATCAAGAAGGCCGCGAGACATTTCAACTTTGTGGATCCAAAGCTATCCATTTTTCAACTATCCTTTATTCTCGAGTTGTATATGCTCTTTGTCATATACTCCTTGCGGAACCAAGATCAAGACTAACTGGCATTCCAGTGCTTAATGAGATCACCTCAGGTGGTGCCTCAGTCAACGACGCCTACTTCCATGGCTCCATTCCCACCCTTGCCTTCGGCGGCGTAGGAGAATCCGGTCAAGGAGCATACCGCGGCCGCGCCTCCTTCGACACCTTCACGCACCGCCGCTCCGTGACGACGACCCCCGGCTGGGTCGAGAAGCTGATCGCAATCCGCTACCCGCCGTACGCAGGCAAGCTGGCGCGATACCGGCTCACGAGCGAGCTAAAGCCCAACTTCGACCGCGAGGGCAGGGAGATCAGGGGCATCAAGTACTGGCTGCGGTTCCTGCTGGGCATGGGCAGCGACAGCCTCAAGGAAGCTCTGGTAAGATGGGCCATCGCTGCCTTCGTGGTCGTCGGCTTAAAGAAATCCGCAGACGCCGGGAAACTACCGTCATATCTGAAGTGAGTGGGGATCTACAAAAGCCATGTTCATCAAAGTTGTCCTATTGTTGTTCTTTTGGCTACAGCCCCGGCAGGCTGGGAAAAATGTAATATATATACCTACCTATCTATCTAGCTTATCTAGGTCCGTAGTGCAGTAAATACCTCCATACCAGCAGCTATTGCTATGTACATTCCTCATCAGGAAATCCATCCTATCCCACCTATCCCAAAAAGACCCGCATACATACCAGGTACCTTACCTTACAAACAAGCTCAGCTCAGACCCCTCCATGATCCCAACCACCTCCCAATCAAGAAAAAAACACTTTGTTGCACATCGCATCCTCTCACATATATCCTCGGAGGTGTTTTTCCAGTCCCTCATCGCTCAGCGCCTGGACGTTGTTTCCTCTGCTTGCTCGTTCGTCCCAGGTCCTCGGAGATGCAGCGGGGCTAAACGCCGATAAGGAAGGAAGATTAATCGAAATGGAAAGCTGTGCACTGCACGCAGCTTATCGGATGGTGGAAGAGCCTAGAGGTATCTATCGCATACACCGATGGCGATAGAGTAAGGTATGTACAGTAGGTATGTTCCTCGGAGACGGCGGCTTGCGATATCATTATGTGGTATGTTGTTGTTGTTGTTGTTGTGGTTGTTGTAAATTGGAATTTTGAGGTCCTAAGCCGCCCGCTGCGATCAGCCTATCATGTGTGGATGAAATCGGAACTGCAAGAATTGCGTCTATATTTGGATTGTCTATTTAATACTCATTATGCTGCTCGTCTATCATCAAGTCTATCATCTAGTCTATCGTCTATGTCTATAATCCTCGTCTATATCTGCCACTTAACGCCTCGAATGCTTATGCTCTCCAGTCACCTCCCCAACTCCTATAACCAGGCGCCGAGGAACTCGGTTCGGCCCACGGTTAGTATGTCGAGACTCGAAGGGTTTACGGGGCGACGATGACACCGCGGTACCGCATCTTGCCCTCCTCCAGCCTCTTCATACTCTCTGTGATGCCCTCCACGGTCATGGGGAACTCCTCGATGATGGGGTAGATCTTGTGCTGTGCGGCGAACTCCAGCATCTCCCGGTGGACCTGTCGGGCGGCGACGAGGGCACCCTGGATGCTCAGTTCAGCACGGATGATTGGCAGGTAAGGAACGGTCAGGTCGCCATAGGCGATAGTGAGAGGGTAGATGGTACCACCAGGGGCGACAAGAGATAGGTATAGGTTCCAATCTGGCTTGAAGGAGGTGGTGACGAAGAGGTGGTCGACGGGCTTAGAGATCTTAAGCTCCTTGACGCCCTTGGTGGCGACGAACTCGGACGCTCCGAGCTTGAGGGCCTCCTCCTTCTTGCTGTCTGTACCGGAGAACACCACGACGTCACAACCCATCTTGGCAGCGAATTGGATCGCCAAGTGTCCCAGTCCTCCAACACCAACAATACCAACGCGGTCGGTGGATTTCGTACCGAAGGATCGAAGGGCGTTGAAGACGGTAGCACCTCCGCACATGAGTGGCGCGGCGAATTGTCGTGGGATCCTCTCGTCGATCTTGAAGATGTAGTCGTACTTCCAGATCGCATGCGTCGCGAAAGAACCTTGATCGTGGTCGTTGTCTCCGAAAAGCTCCCGCTCTGGGCAGAGAGTCTCACGGCCATTGAGACATTGCTTGCAGTTGTTGCAAGTGTTGTGTATGTACCCCCAGCCAACAGAGTCGCCCTTCTTGAAGCCCTTGACGGCGGGACCCATATCCTAAATACTTATTAGCTCTTGCTCGGACAGGTAGACCCAAGGGTACGTACTTCAACAATTCCCGCGCCCTCATGGCCAAGGACCATGTCTACCTTCCTGAAGTGCTCATCGGTACTGCAAAGACCTGAGTGGGTGACCTTGATGAGAACCTCGTCGTCCTTCATATCCCTGGTGGTGGTGGACTGGACGATTTTGCCATCCTTGGACCCCTTGAAAACCGTGAAGGTAACCATGATTGCTTTTTGTTATTTTTGCTTGTTATTTTCCTGTTGAATGCTGGCCGTTAGAAGATCGGGGAGGCCCTTTGTTATTATACGAATTTCTAGCCTACCTTTTATGGGGTTGCGTAGAATGAGAGCGATAACTTATCTGGCTAGCACTTCCGTGCTCCGTTGTGGATACGCACTGCGTGAAAGACGGAAAGGAAGAGTTTTCGTGATGAGAAATCAACATTCGGTACTTAAAGTAGGTAAAAGATAAAAAAGCTTAAATCTATGCTCTTAGCATTGTAGGGTTAGTTCCCTCGATTGCGACAATAACGGGATCCATGGTTATCATTTGCTTTCGGGGATATCTCGCAAGGCCGTATCGGCTGAATGCTAATATGGACCTGTAACGCCGATAGGAATTCGACTTCCAACTTCCGACACACTTCGACTTTCGGACATATCAATTCACACCGAGACGCGAATCCGCAGGAATGAAACTTATCAAGGCGAATGCTTGCCCAGACATGCCGCTGCCTTCTTTCTTGTGCTGATAAGAGCCGTTAGTGTGCTTTGATAGCACTGTGTCGGTGTACCTCTTGACAGCCTTGAGCCGATTTTCCAGAATTCGCCTCCCGCGCTATGGAGTTTTGTCGGATATTTTCAATGCGGCGGGCAAGGTGGGATCCACTGCGCTCTTCAAGATCGGCTGTCGTCTTCCTCAGGATACGACCTCCTAAAGATCCTCAGCGTCAATGGCTTCCTTGTATCCCTTCATGACCATGTCCTCGTCAACTCCCTGTCCATCTTCTACCAACGATTGAATCACACCTCTAATTCGTGCAATTTCCCTCCTCGTCTCGGGCGGAATCTCATCATTCTGGCTCGAATAGACCGTACTGCTGATACTCTCCTCGATCCTCGTGATTGAGACGTCTTCTCCGGCTGGTTCCACATGCTTGCTGATCCAGATATACCCGTTAACCCCGAGTATCACGTCGATCTTGCCACCATACGCCGTGTCAATGGTCCAAACCTGCCTGCGCGCTCGGGCCACACCACCGCCGCCGCCTGTCCCACTGACACTCATAAAAACGCCATTCCTCAGTTTGCCATATTTTAAGCTCCTCGTATGTAAACCCGCGCTCCCATCCTGATGTAAACTTTGCACCTCAGCTACCAACAAATCTCCCTCCGAGAAGAATGTTCTGATTTGCAGCTCGTCTGTTTCTGTCCTCTTTCGTAGAATACCGCCGGGAAGATTGATGGCCGAGAGGGGCAGGCCTGCGAGAACGGGAGCACCAACGTCTACGCGCCAGCGCTTGGATTGGACCTCGATGATGCGTCCTACAACCAGGTCGCCAATCTCAGGGGTATATCGAGCGCGCAGGGGCCGGACGGAGAGCAGCTTGTTCGTTTTTTGAATGGTACCTGCCACTGCAGCGATGATTTCGGTGCTTGAGGGTGCTATGTAGGTACCATGACCTCTGGATTTTTGTTAGACTGATGGCACAGTAACGGGATCAGGGCGGAATACCTCATCCACTGAGGATCATCAGTGACAGTCTCGCCAGGCGTGACCATGTTTTTCGCAGCATGGCGCGCTCTCTTCGCTGGCGGCATCTGCGTATCTCCTTCGAGGTCGACGCCGCCATGATCAGAGTCATCCGAAGAGCTGTCTTCTTGGTAAGGAATGGGAGGCGGAGCTGGAGCGAGGATGGTGATAGCCATTGCCGCGACGTGGTACGGACGAGCGGAGGGGATGATGAGGGGACAACGAGGCTACGGCGAGATTTGTTGAAGAGCTTGACTCAGGTCTCGCGTGCCTTCCAATTAATTGTAAGTTATCGCGGTAGGTATGATCACGTGATGGAGAGATAGCCTCGGGTGGGTGATTTCTTGCGGCCTGAGGCATGAAGGGCAATGAGGCAGAATAACATCCTGAGGCAGACACTGAGGACGACCCCTGAGGCAGAATTAAATCCTAAGGCAGACATGGAGTTCGACCCTGAGGCAGACCCTGTGGCAAACAATTTCAGGCATTGAGACTTGGCGCCTTACTGCCAAGGCCGCCAAGGCCTCGGCATGGAAGTTATGCACCGAGCCACCGCCCATACACAGCCGGCCACAGCCGCACAGGTCGGCACTAGCGGCTTCCGAGTGCCGTGTCGCCGCGTTCTCACCCTTCTGCACTCCCCAGAGTGGTCTAGCCCAGCCGCCCCCCTCGAATCAGCGCTGGGGCTAGACCTCCCATGACATCACCGTCCCGTGTTTACCTGGCATTTCCTCCTGTGCAAATATTGTGCATAACTTGAAGCCTGAAGGGAAGTCTTGGTCGCATCCCGGGTTGTCTCGCAACTTGCCGCTCTTCGCTTTTCCACCCCAAGTATCAATAGTTACTTTGCCCTACCCCCTCTCTCTTTTCTTCTCCATTCCCGCTTTCTCCCATTCTCCCATTCTCGCATTCTTGTCTTGTCTTTTGTACGGTACATATTAATATTCTGGATTTCTGACCCCTGAATCTTGTCGCTCTAGTTTCCTTTTCTCTCGCTTCACACCACCCCCCCCTTTTGACCCGCTCTGCGTGCCTGTCCATGACCTCGATGCTAGGTTGCTAGTCGACACTCCCACCGCGTAATGGCAGGAGAGTTAGATGCAAAAGATGAGCTGCCTAGAGAAGATGAGCCTTCGAGAGAAGATGAGCCATCCAGGAGAGAGGAGCCGTCAAGGAGTCTCGATAGGCAACCGACGCAGCCGCTGAACTTGGTAGGGCCTTTGCCCCCTCTATACAGACCACATCGACGACGAAAACTTTTCCTGACCGCCGGAGTGCTGCTTGCGACTTTGGATCTCTGCTGTCTCCCCATAACGTATGTTCCCGCGGTTTTCCTGTTCATCCGTTGTCACTGCGGCGTCGGGCTAATCGTGGAGATGCTACAGATATTATTATGCCTTGAAGTTTGGCACGTCCATGAGCCTGCAGGATATCTTCGCCGTCATTACCGGAGTTTATGGCCTGCTGAGCTTTACGCATTATGCCTTCCGATCCCTCAAATTGTTTCGCGCGAAGCACGCCGACAAATGGAGACCCATAGGATGGACCAGATGGGGGATGGTGAGTGGTATATGATCTAAACGAGCGCGCTCTATGCTAAGAAGGCCACAGCTGGAATTCCTCCAGGTCAATGTCCTTATCATCGTTACTCTAGTCGAGATCGAGCTTGTCGCAGGTACTGCACCCAACAATCCCGTAGTCCGGTTATGCGCCATGGCCTCTCCAACAATCTGCTACTGGATAGCTTTCCTTTTCTGCGGATCTGCAATCCTTACACATTTGCGTTGGAGACTCCCCTTCAATATGTCCTCCACTCCGAAAGGCTCGCCTTGGCGTCCGGCCCTCTTTGCCTTTATCGAGGACGCCGGAGCTATTGAAGGTCAAGGAGGAATCGAATATCGCCGACAAATGATGAAGAGATATGAAGTTAGCCCAAAATTTAGGCGCATGGTTTTGATTATGACCTGGTTTTGGGGAGTGGGACTTCTCATCATCGCCATTGTCTCAACAGTAGTGATAATGGTCGTAGAGACCGACGTTGGATTTGGTATAGGCTGGGGTCTTCCTTTTGTGTGGGCAGGCGCGTTGACTATATTCACCATAATATACACGAATAAAGCGGTGGCGGACGAAAAACAGGACTGGTTAACAAAAACACAGTCAATTCGACCAATGGAGCCGGTGTAATAACGGCAGTTGTATGATTCTAGACGAACTGAGATACCAATGGAAAGGAAATTCTTAATACAGTAGACCCGTTTCATGCGCAACTCCGTGTGATGCAATTCCTGATTCATACTCCATAGAGCCTCCAAAGACCCAACAACGATGACTGCTCTTTAGTTGACTAGTCTCCATAGACCCATTCCGACAAGTGACAGCGCAATAGTGGTGATTCCTGCCTGCCGACTCTTCATCCCAAACAAGCTCTTGCTCTGCAAAATCTTGGCTTCTTGTGCCTTCAACTGGGAATGTCCAGAGAAGTAGCTGTATGCGCCTAGACCAATGAAGGCAGTAGCCCCTAAAGCTGTCTGTTAGAAGAGGCATCTCCAGTAGCCCGGCGATTGCTTACCAGTGACCCTGCAGGGGAGGCAGTCTTCAGGTTTGTCCTTAGCAAGCACATCGCGCAGTGGCTCGGGGCGCTGGAGCTGCTCTACCGGTGGGATTGCCATGACGCTCGTTGGTCTGCGGTTGGTGATTGTTGATGGTTGTGAACTTGTGGAGGAAAAGAACCGGGAGCAGTGCAGCGAAGCGGCCGCTTCATCGTCCGACCCCACGTCGTCGTCGCGAAATCCGACATCACCTCTCAAGCTTCACAACCACCTAAATGAGCCGATAGCACATACAGATTGACCATGACTGGTTCTATAGAGGCAGTGTACATATTTGATGAGCACAAGTATGCGAAAGGCTCTTCCACTTCTTAACCCTTAACTAACTAAAGCTCCAGTCGCCCAATCCTCACACATACCTATAACTCGCGGCCTCTCTCTGCTGCCCAGCTCCTTCCCCTGTACCTCGCACATCCGGCGCCTCGATCGAACCTGATATATCTCCCGAATACCTCTCCGCCCACCTTGGTCTTCAGTATCTATCATGCGAACCTACTATTTCTTCTGACCTCCTCCTCCGAAATCGAACCGTTACTCGCTCTCGAGTTCCTACACCGAGTCATAGATGTATTGGAGGAGTTTCTAGGGTCGCCGTTGTTGGCGCATAAGATTGAGAGTAACTACGATGTAGTTGCGCAACTTCTCAACGAGATGTGTGATGCTGGGGCAGTAAGCACAACGGAGCCGAATGCGCTGAGAGATTTGGTGGAGGTTGAAGGGTGGATCGGAAAGTTGCTAGGGGGCATCTCTATTCCTGGGTTCGTATTCTTTCTGGAAAATGGAAAGGTTTTACTAGCTAACAAGTATTAACAAGAAAACCTGGCTTCACATCTACTTCAAGCTCCAATATGCCTGGCATATCATCGTCTGGGACGTTAGCTGCAAATACCCCAGCTTTGCCGTGGCGCAGAGCCAATGTTCGACATACCTCAAATGAACTCTATGTGGATCTCGTCGAATCTCTTTCGGTGACTCTTGCGCCTTCTGGGAGGCCTTTGGCAGCTTTTGCGAATGGAACTATTGCCTTCACGTCTAAGATCTCCGGGGTGCCTGACCTCTTATTAAATCTCTCTACCCCTTCTGGAAGACATAATGTGAACAGTGTGATGGAGTTGCCCGTATTCCACCCTTGTGTTCGATTAGCAAGGTGGAGAGAAAAGCCGGGCGAATTGAGTTTCGTGCCACCGGACGGCCGTTTTGTCCTAGCAAGCTACGAAGTCGATCTCCTACCTTTTCAAAATGGCAAGAGTGGAAGCACAAGTGCTTCTAATCTGAAGTTGCCTGTCAGTATCGAGGTTAAGACTAGCCTTGGTCCAACTGGTGCTGATTTCGAGGTTCGATTATTCATTGTCAAAGTCTCTGGACAATCCAATTCATCGCCATCAGGATTATCATCACGAAGTAGCAGCCATGTATCCGGTCGTGGGGGTTTTGGCAGCGGACTGGGCGGTGGCCTCTCTGGCGGCTCTTCATCAAATCCAGTGCTGGATGACCTTGTAGTCACAGTACCTCTACCTTCAGACGTAAGGAATCTGTCAGAGATCAGAGCCAGCAGAGGGGATATAACGTACAATCCCGGTGATAAAAAACTGGATTGGCATATAACCGCCAAGGAGGCCGTGGCTGGAGGGGCTACCTTGCGTTGTACTGTTGTAGGACTGCTTTCAGACGACGATGACTTTGAGGGCAATGGGTTCAAGCTGAATGGCAGATACGACTATGAAGAGGATACATATCAAAGTGCTCCGGTGAAGGCTGTGAAGGCAGCTGAAGCTACCGACGAGAAGAGAGATGTGGTGAAGGTTGCACAGAACAAGATGCTCATGCCAAATTCTGCGAACGTCAGTTTTTCGGTCAAGGGATGGTTAGCAAGCGGAATCAGGGTTGAAAACCTTGTCGTCGATACAAGGAAAAGTCGGGGGCTTGGGGAAGGCGTTAAGCCATATAAGGGGGTCAAATATTTGACTGTCAGCAGGGGCGGTGTTGAGATCAGGTGTTGAGCATTTACATGGAGTCAGGCGTTGAAGCTAACCCGCGGAGCACAGCGGCATTTCAGACTTCAGATGGACCTTAAGTCGAGGAAATGCGTTTCATGAATTCAATAGCCTTATTCAGGCAGCCTAATCTGACATAGAAGCTCAGAAGCCATGATGGTATACCCACAACATTTCGTCGATCACCAAACCCGACTCCCTTGAAGCAAAATGCCACAGCAACCGTAATGACTTTGGTAGCCGCTCAAGCACTCCAGCAATCCACGAACCTCAATTACGCCCGCCTTTCCCGTACCGCGCTCTTCCCTCATACTTCGCCTCCATTGCTGCAACCTCCGACTCATCAGCCATATCCTCAACGTATGTTCCCGTCATATCACCTAACCCCAGATCAGAGCCACTCGGTTTGCCCGTCTCTACGAACACTTCGCCCCGAGGTCTCTTGCTCTGCTCACTCATAGAAGCGGGCAAGTTTGATCGTTGTGCAGGAATCGCCGGCGTGGTCTGGACTCCACCTCGTTCTCCATCCAGCCGTGACAGATTCAACAAAGCCGGAGATCTCGGCAGACGATAATCATTTCTCGCTGGCTCTTCTCTCCTAGTCTTAGCTTTGCCCTTTCTGCCTTCTAACTTCTCCTTCTTCTCTCTATCTTCCCTCTCCTTTCTCTCCCGCAGCGCTTTGGCATCCATCTCAGCCCTCTTTATTCTCCTCTCCTCGTTGAGCTGCCGGGCTTCTTTCCTCGCGGCTGCTATGCGCATCGCCTTCGTGGGAGGATTCAGATCAGCCTGCTCTGGGGTCTCGCCCGGGAGAGGATTCTTCAGCCCTTGTCGTTTACGGATCTGCTGCATTTCCCATTCTGCTCTCCATCTCTCGGGGATGGGCGGGACTGGCGGGATGTCATCGGGGTCGAAGAGGTCTGTTTGTGAATATAGGCTGTGTTCGTCGGGAATCTGTTGCGCTAATTGGCGTCGATGATGGCCTTTGTTGTTATGGGTGGTGGCGTTCTTTCCTTGGTTTTGCTCTCCTCCTGGCTGCTGCTGTGGTGATGATGATTCTCCTGAGTTGGGTTCCATCTTATGAGTGGCTTCCTTTGAGTGCCCCCACACGTGCGGAGGTTCTGGCTCTGGTGAGTAACCTTTCGTATTATGGGCGGGTTTCTCCAAATGCTCCCATACGTGCAGAGCTGGTGGCTCTGTTGAGTAATGTCCTAAGTTATGAGTGGAATCTTCTGTGTGTTCTCCTGAGTTCTGAAGTGGTGACTCTGGTGAATTGTATTGCAAGCGACGCGAGGGATTCCTTTCATACTCTCCTGAGTGTTGAATTGGGGACACTGGCGGGTTGTAGTCGAAGCGACGAGAGAAATTCCTTGCATACCCTCCTGAGTTTTGGATTGCTGGCGAGTTGTACCTTTCAGCTTGTTTGCCTTTAGGAGAGAAAATTGGAGAATTCGTCTCTCCTTCCACTTGTTCTCCATCAGATCTTGGACTGTGCTTCTTGTTCCGCTTCTTGCTCCATTCAGGTCTAGGACCATCAATCAATATGCGTCTGGGGGGCGTGAAAGGTTCATCCTCTGCCATCCTCTGGCTCAGATCATCATATCTATGGTCCCAGTCATACAGTTCAGCTGTCGACTCTCTTGTCTGGTCCATAATGGGTTCATCAACCTCTGCTATCTGCTCTCTTGCTAGGTCCATTGTGGGTGTGGACTCGTTGCCTCTGAGAAAGCCCAATCCGCTTGATTTGTGTATCTTTTCCCCAGACCTGTTGTCTGTTTGGATTTCACTCCTCTCTAGCTGGCTCTGACCCTCTTGCTGGCTCTGACCCTCTTGCTGGCTCTGACTCTCTTGCTGGTTCTGACTCTCTTGTTTCTGTTGCTCTTGCAGGTGTTTGTCATGTTGTTCCTTGAACTGGTCCTTGACGTAGGCATCTTTCACGTCTCCAAGTAAAGGAGCCATGTTTCCACTGGTTGTGGTTCATTCAAACGTGTAGATCTATGTTTGCTTTTGCTTCAAGACGTGTTCAAAGATGACCGTGCTGTTGAGTAGAAAGATAGTCAGTCAGACTGGTACCACATGAGGCTGCTTGACTTCACTCGGGGATAGGGGGTAGCGAGTGTCGAAAAGAGGTTTGTTGTTTGCTTGTGTATTCCCGTTTGATCTCTTGTGTATCATTCTCTGGGGGCATGAATCAGTGTTCTGGATGGGGAGGTGTCTACCAAGTCACTAGATCTCGTGGGGAGAGTTGCAAACGATGTCATTCCTAAAATCTCGCCATAAATATTTGAGTGTTGCTACATGCGGCTTGGATTTAGATGTGGCTGTTAAGCCCTACTTCTCGAAGCCAGAGTTTGGAGTCCTCTCGTTGTCCTTCGTTATTCCTCGTTGCTCCTTATTGTATCTTCGTTATCCATTCAGTTCGAAACCACAACCCCAACTAGCCCAAACTACAGTCCCAACTTGAAAACCTATTGATTCCATCTTGTGCCCCTCGGCGGCCCCCTATTTTGCTGCGCCAATCTATCAGCCTCTTCAGCAGTAGGCACCATCCCTTCCAAATAGGTTCTCGTCATATCTCCTAAACGGTACTGTGTAGTGCGCGCTCTAGGAGCTGCGTTGCCTGGTGCTGCTACAGGCATTGCAGGGCCAGGCTGAGGTCCCCGAGCTGCAGGAATCAAGCCACTAAAGGAGTCGCGAGAGCCATAGGAGTTGAGGGAACCATTCGAACCACGATGACCAAGAGTGCCCCTCCGCTGCATAACAGGCATGGTTTGGAATGTATGTGGAGATGGCCGTCGAGGTATTCCTAAACCCGCGATAGTCTGCGCTCTGCGCCTCTGTGCTTGGAAAGGTGTCTGGCCACGCGGCGTTGCTAGCAGTGGCAAATGGGGTTGGGAACCGTATCTCAGAGCATCGGGATGACCGCCTAAGTATCCTCCAGCACCTCGTTGGGGGTACGGTCCTCCAGCCATTCCAACCTGTATCGAGGGGCCAGCAGTTGATGGACCATCAGCTCTTTGTGTGTTCGCTGCATCTCTCTGTCGCTGCTTATTCCTTTTGTATCGTTCATATGCCTTCTTGTCTCCGCCGATTCTGCTGAAGGCCATATCAAGGAAATCGTGTATTGGATCGTGGCTCATTTTTGCGGATGGATGTTCTGATTGTTATGATAACTTGCTGAGGGCTATCGTTTTCGTTCAGATATTAAGAGGGTTGGTTGATGAGAAGACTTGATATTATGATAACTTGCTGAGGGCTATCGTTTTGTTCAGGGGTTGAGTTGAGGATTGGTTGATGAGATGACTTATGTTATGATAACTTGCTGAGGGTTATCGTTTCGTTCAAATGCTAAGGGGATTGATTGATGAAAATGGTTTATGTTATGATAACTTGTTAAGAGCTATCGTTATGTGCGGAGGTCAGGCTGAGGATTGGTTGATAAGCAGACTATGTTGTGATAACTTGCTGAAGGCTATGGTTATTTAGAAATCAAGTTAAGGGAGGATCAAGAAGGAGAATTTATACTCAGGATTTCGCTACTTAGTTTGCTACTGTCTCCGTGAATCACTCAAGCTGCTGGTTTCCGTGAATCACTCAAACTGTTGTTTCTGGGAATCACTCAAAGTTGCGCTGAATCAATCAGGATCATTCACCTCTATTATCATATAGTGAGTCGTATGTCAGATACAATCACTCCTAGTAACCCGGAAAGGGAAGTAAAGTAGTTGGCACCCCCTCAAAAGTGTTTGTTGAAAAGAGGTGCAGAACTGAATAAGTAATATGTTATGAGCTTGAGTATTGAAGACCCTTCCTTTTACCAGTAAAGAGCTATAGCTCAATCGTGTACAGTGTGCTCCTATGGTTTGACTCACAAACACCAGGACTGTAAATTAAGAATCTGGTCATAGGCTGATTACTCAGTTCACAAAGGAAACAAAGAGCGCATGTGGTGATTAACAGTCAACCCTCTGTCAAAAGAAATCTATGATACTCAATGAAAAAGCTCTTAAATTACATATATGACATTTATCATACACCCCTCAGTACGGTGTTATCCCTGGAATCTATAGGCTGATATCGTTCCGCTAGAACCTCCTCAACCGTCTTGTCCAATCCGTGAGGCTTTTCATATCTCTCGTGGAGAGCCCTCTCTACAGCTGACGCGTTGCTAAGAGACTGCACCTGGGATTGCGCCGCTTCCTTGCCCAAGCCTACAGCTTCTTGCACTTTGCCGATTGCTTCTTTCCCCGTCTCGATTCCTTTGCTGACGGCATCCTTTATGGACTCGGCTGCATCTTGAGCACTAGACTTCGCAACCTCCAACTCCTCCTTCGAGGATGCAATTGCCTTGCTCGCAGCCGATTTCGTAGATTCAGAGAGCCTTCTCGCGCTCCCTACTGCCTCGGCTTCAGCTTTCTCGGCCCCAGAAGCCGCAGCCGCAGCAGCGCGGTCAATGGCTTCCTTAACCTTTGGTCGGGCTTGCTTCTCAGCCTCCGCAATTCCATCCTGGGACTTCTGGAGACCGCCGCCTAGTAATCTCGCAACAGCACCCTCCATGCCTTCCCTCACCTCATTCCAATCCGTCCTCTGCACCCAGCGGACAGCATTTTCAAGCTCCGCGTTCCATCGATCCTTCGCCGCTTCCACCAACGTGCTCCGTTCCTCGCGTGCCAGGTCTGCGCGACTTTGCGGCGGAGAAATGGGTGCCGGTTCCAAGAGGCCATTGAGGACGCGTGCTTGAGATCGGAGGGCTTGGCCTTGAGCCTGTCGGTTGCGTTCGTGTGCGAGAATGGTGAGATAGGCCAGACCGAGTGTGACGGTCACTCCGCCTGTCTATTACTTCATTAGCCATGTGCAAGAGCAACAGCGCAGTTTCCGGGACTTACAAAGCCGGTAGTGAAGCCCATCGTGCTCCTAATTGTTGCGCCGGCAGCGCAGGTAAGTCCCAGAGCAGGCTTTCTTTGAAAATGGCGGACTGGATTTAATGCAATTGACGTGGTTAGGAGCTCCGGAGGGCCCGCATGGAATGAATGGCTGGGATCCGACGGCGTTGGTGGTTGTCGTTGTAAGCTCGAAGCTCGCCAAAGTTTTCGAAGCCGAGAACGCAAATCGCGGAGACCAACCTGCGATTTGACGACAGCACAACCTCATACTCCACCATTCAACAGCAGACCAACCCTTCAGGCCAACTTAATTCCTCTTAGTTGGCTGATGCTGGGTTCACCATAAGCCTGCTGATTCTCAGAGTCTGGTCCTCTGTTCTGCTCTAATACCCTGATTCCTCAAAAATGGCTGGGGGACGAATGAAATATCGCCATCTTGGCCGCACCTCCTCACACAGACAAGCACTGCTCCGAAACCTCGTCACCTCCCTCTTCAAACACGAATCAATATCTACAACATGGCCGAAAGCGAAGGAGGCGCAGCGCCTGGCGGAAAAGTTGATCACGCTCGGGAAGAAGAACACTGAGGCTAGCCGGAGAAGAGCCTTAAGTATATTCTTTGTATGCTGTTTTCTGACCTCTGCTTTTGAAAGAAGCATCTACGGGATGATGCGTATAGTGCCAGTATCTAACAAGTGCTCAGACACCGCATGAACTCCTCCCCAAACTCTTCGGACCCCTTCGAGAACGGTACGCCAATCGACCGGGTGGCTACACACGCGTTCTGCGCATCGAGCCTTTGAAGAAGGACCAGGCACCTTCAGCGATTCTAGAACTGGTTGATGGGCCGAAGGATATGCGGTTTGCCATGACGGCAAGGACGATAGCTAGGCAAAGGGGCGAGGGAGAGGAAATGAACGAGATGACCAAGAGGAACGTCGAGAAAGTCACACGATTTAGACCTGATGGGCAGACGGAGTTGGAGAAGATGGTTGAAAAGTTAAATGACTTGCAAGTGGGAGAGAGAAATAATGCAGTGAGCGCTGAAAAGAGATGGGGTGGGAAAGTGTAAAATTATTTGGAGGCGACACTGTATTTATAGAAGCCATACGAGCGTGTACAATTGCATTGAATGTGGTTTATTAGGGACTTGGGGGCTGGATTAGAGCTTCTATACAAAATCAAAAGTATCGCCTTTCTCCCAGATCATCTTGCCTGCTCTTTCAGTACCAACAACTCTCTCAAGCTTCAGCACATCCCATTTGGAGAAGATCACTCTTACACTTCCCTCACCAGGCTCTAGCTTTCCTTCTTGCACGCTTCTACCCAAGTAACCTTCGACAATTTCCTTATAAAAGGTTGGGTTATCAGGTAATCCATACATAATTATTTTTTTCACGCCCTGGAGCCGGTATCGCCTGAAGTGATGGGCACGCTCTGTATACAACAGAATGCTATGTCGTCCGTTGACGAAGTGAGAACGCGCTCTTGCAACATCCCGTACTGATGTGTATTCAGAAATACTGGCGAAGGATAAGTTGCTCGTGGTCGGAGATGTGGCGAAATAGTTTCTCACGCGAGGAAAGTCAAGATAAGACGGAATGAAGATGATAGTGCCAGTGCTATCTTTGGAACGACGGGTTAAGGCAGGAATAATAGTCGTAGTGAAATAGGTAAATCGAGCATCCGGATCCGAGTCAAAGGAGGGCGATTCTAGTCGAGAAAAGGTTTGCTTGACTTTCAATCCTAACCCCTGAATTGCTCCCGAGTAGTTGGCGCTGATTTTGATTTTACCCGCCCAATTCCTGGACTGGTTGAAAAATAGTGTGTTGATTTCAGTGGTGTTAAAAGCAGAGAGAGCAATGACCTGGCGGAAATATTTGGCGTTGTTGTCCAAATACCAGTTCCGTACTCTGCTGAAGTCGCAGCCATGAGCCTCCTTTGGTTGTAAATTGAGGTGTTCGAAGATATACTCCACATGTTCCCATTTTTGCATGGTGAGTGCATCAACCTGGTCAACGATGACCACTTCGATCGAACTTAGGAAATCGTAATCTCCTTTCTTATCCCCCTGGCCTTCGAGTGCCATTCGAAGGCCTAGTGGACTGGCGAATATTATGTCCGAGTTATAGAATTGAGAAAAATATTTGATCGTCTTCCTGGTGAACTTCAAGCCCAGCCGGAACATATCATCGTCATTCCCTCCAAATAGTTCCTTGAAATCATCCGGTTTGTCTGCTGAAAAGTTCACATCCTTCTCTACATACGAATCCTCAAATCGTTTTCGGTTCTCCTGTTGCTCTGGCTCGCATAGAGACGTGATCATATTGACCATTCGAACGCAAGATTCGCGGGTGGGCAGAAGCATGAGGACCTTCGGACGAGTGAAGCCTTGATCTCGTAGTTCCAAGTCATCGTTGTTTTCTTCCTTTGCAAGACGGGCATTGTTCTTGATAACACGATCTCGAGTTCTGTTCTCCGTTAGTTGATGCACAGCAAGCATACAGCAGTGATACTAACTTAAACACATGATTGACAGCATGCAAGCATGCCAATCGCCGTAGACTTTCTGCATTTGCAGTGCGTCGTTCACAAAATAAGACATCCTGATAGTTGAAGATCAAAGGGGCAATGTGCATTTCCAATGCATCAAAAGAAGACCTTTGCTTCGTGACCGCCCCTTTCAACTTCTGCTTCAATTTCAATTCCTCTGGGCCAGATATTGAAGTTAAAGCGGTTGTGGGCTTTGAGCCATCGGACTGAGGGAGATTGATCACAGCTTTTCCAAATTTTGGGACCATGACTTTCTGCGTACTCCATTGATTTTCCTGCAATGCCTTCAATCTCTTGGAGAGTAAATTGTCGTCCGGGTTGGCAAAATGGGCCTCGAAAGGATCCGAAGCATCTTCTAGATCTTCATCATCCTGTAACAGGCCATCAGTTGCAGTTTCTGGCCCCTCTTCCACCTCTTCAACGTGATCGACGTCTACGACGCCAGCTTCAGTTTCTGGCTGCTCCACTTCGTTTTCCTGGGGCATGGGCTCTTCTGCTTCCTGAACATGCTCGAGCTTTCTTCTCTTAGGTTGATGGCGTGACTCGGCGGCCAGACTTTGCATCAAAGCCGCATAAGGACGAACTGTCGGCAATTGTATTTCATCTTCGTCGCTGCTGGATTCGTCTTGGCTGGCAAGTTCTTCCTCTTCCGAGCTTTCGAATTTGGCATCTTCATCTTCCTTACTTTGTACTCTTAGTAAGATTACCGGTACGTTTTGTAGATTAGTATACTTACGCCTCTTTCTCAGCGATCCTAGCACTGTCGAAAACGGGTCTGCCTCTGCCACCTCTGCCACCTCTAAATCCACCTCCGCGACCTCTAGAGCGCCCCGAACTTGAGCCACGTCCTCGAGAGCCGCCTCTGGATCCGTGAAAAGCCATGTTTCAAGAGATTGGTGGATATAACACGATTGGCTCTTGTCAGAGAGACCACGAGGTTTGGGGGAAAAAATATTCCAGATATCGGGAGTCTTATCTTAGCGTGCTCAGGGCTTTTAGGAATTGAAGGTCTTCCGCAGGCTATTCAAAAAGATGCCTTACTCAATTATTCCATTCACCTGAATGTTCAATTCAGAACAGGGACCTGACCTCTTCAGAGACTGTGATACAGGCGAAAGCTCACCCCAGATCCATAAGACGCAAAATCCCATCCCCCAGATCTCCAAGTCACGTGAAAGCTTATCTTAGCGGCAAAATAGCCTTGAAGCCCACACAAAATATCCCACCCAGCGCAGGCGACGACGAGGGGGAATTTGCACTATTTACGATCCTATTCACACCTCCGTCGGACTTCCACTCTACAACCACCCAGCATGGCGGTCAAGACTGAATCCTTCTTGCATCTTGCGCGCCCCCTTGCGCCCTCGGTGATCGGGGTCCAGCCTACGACGGCACCTTTGAATGTCATAATTCAGCCACAAGTGCGTCTCCAGATGAGGAAATTTATTATCTGTTCATTAACAAGAGCCAGGCCATATTCTCGATCCTCGACCATGCGATCCGACGCGATATTCGGGATACACAATCCACAAGAGTCATCGGGGCCCTTCTCGGTGTCCGTTCTGAGGATGGCATGGAAGTCGAAGTGCGAAACTGCTTCGCGATCCCACACACTGAAAACGAAGACCAGGTCGAGGTAGACGTCGAATACCAAAAGAACATGCTCGCATTACAATTAAAGGCCAACCCCCGAGAGGTCTTGCTGGGATGGTACACGACGGATCTCACCCTCAACAGCTTCAGTGCTTTGATCCAAAATTTCTTTGCTAGCCCAGAAACCGGAACTTTCCCTCACCCAGCTGTTCATTTGACTGTTTCAACGGAGCCTGGAAAAGAGATTGAAGCGAAAGCATACATCAGTGCACCTGTCGGAGTCAACGCTGAACGTGCAGCGGAAAGCTGTCTCTTCATTCCAGTGCCCTACGAGATCCGTTACGGCGAATCCGAAAAGAGCGGTCTTGAACTCATTTCCGGAGCGAAAGACAGCGAGAACCGTGCAGCACCAGTTGTCTCAGACATCGAGGGTTTGGAGCGAGCTATTGACCAAACAATCGATCTTTTGGAGCGCGTTTCGGAATATGTCAGCTCAGTTTTGGATGAGGAGAGAGAGCCATCGAACGCTTTGGGACAATTCCTCATGAACGCTTTGTCCTTGGCACCCAAAGTCGACCCTCAAGATATTGAGCGCGATTTCAACAACCATATCCAGGATGTTCTTGTTGTTTCATATCTGGCAAACACTATCCGGAGTCAGATTGATCTTTCTCAGAGGTTAGCAACCTCTACTCTCACGATGGGTGGATCGGATGCTCTCGCAGCAACGGGCGGCGGGGAAGGAGGCGAGAAGGGAGAGCGTGGCGGTCAGCGAGGTGGAAAACGTGGCGGCAGAGGTGGAGGAAATCGTGGGGGTGGCCAGCGAGAGCCGCGAGAGCCAAGTGAGTAGATGAGTTATGTAATGAGGTGACAATTTCCATAAGACTCAGCCGTGCATTTAGATGCATTGTAAAGGATGGAAAAACTACGGCGTTACGGGGGCTATAGAGCCATTAGCATAAGAGTACGATATGCTTCACATTATGCTTTACTGCCTGAGGGTTCGTCTTATTGTAGTTTATTGCACGCGTGGTCTATCAGCTCAAATGTTGTAAACCTGGTAAAGTTTCGTTTTGATGCCTTAATTTCCCCACTAACTCCTCCAATGCTTCCATACGCCACTTTCTGATAATCATATAACGGGCCCCGAAACCTCAAACTCCTGGTGGTGGTTTTGGGGGCAGTGTGGCAGGATTGCCATAGTTTGGGAGATGGTTTCCAACTTGACCGTTTTGAGGCACGTTCTGCATATTCTGAATACCATGAGGCCCTTGCGGCAAGCCTTGAGACATGTTCTGTGGCATACCCTGAGGCATTCCTTGATGCATCATTGGCCTTGGTGCCATGTGAGGAGATGCATGATACGATGGCAAAGAGTTGTTTGAACCCTGCCGAGCCATGCTGTAGCCCATTCCATTACCGATTTGCTGCTGAGGCGGAGTGTAGGCATTATAAGACAGATGGGGAGACCCGTGATGAGGGGATCCATGATGTGACATAGGTTGAGGGACAGGAAGGCCAGTGCCGCCAGGGACAAAGGATTGAGTCTTGGGATTGAAAGCATGGCGGTTGAAACTTCCAGGAATAGGATGCTGACTTTTGGGATCAGCTGGATTAGCTGTACTGGGCAACTGGCCAAAAGCATAAGGAATCGTGCTTTGTGATCCTGGTACCATGGGTCCCCGGGACTGCTGGTAAATATTATGATACATAGTCGGTTGTTGCCATTGTTGATGTACAAGTGGTGGAGATTGAACATGTGAGTTGTATGTGGCAATCGGTGCACCATGCTGTTGGAACCGTGGTTGGTTCTGCTGAGAAAACTGCTGTTTACTGTTAGCAACTATATTCAGAACTGCCTGGCATGTTTTCATTTACCTGCGGCATGTTGTTGTACGTCTGTATATTGCCATTGTTCATCATGACTGGGTTGAATGGTTGATTTTGGGGACCAAATTGTTGAGGTATAGTGGTTTGATACCCATTCTGAACAACGCCATTGAACTGCTGCGGAACCATTGGCGCATACTGGGGAGCAGGTGCCCAGGTTGGTCCTGTGGGAGCCTGCTGGGGGAAGAAGGGTGTGTACTGAGATCGTACGTCAAAGCTATCGGTGTCTTCTCGACGCTGCTTAGCAGGCTTCGCCCTTTTACCTTGGTTAGATCTGTCTTTGGTGGAGACAGAGCTCGATCGGGACATCTCGTTTCCATCTTCTGTATCTAATAAGCTGTCAACATATTGGGAAAGAGAAATGTAGAGATGACCATACCAGGAGTGCCATCACCCGTCTTCTCATCCTTGCCAAATATGCGCTCTCGTGCCTTATTATAAGCCGCTTCCCTCTCTTCTCTAGACAGCCTAAGAAAGAATTAGTAAATACGATCCGCAGCATATTGACTGAGATCCATACTTCTCTTTCGCGGAAAGCGTTTTATCTTTACTATCACTACCAGTCTCCGAAGTTGCCTTCGAGGTATTTGGGCCTGTATCACCATCGCCTCCTCGTCGCATAATCTTCATCGCCGGCATGGCCGGGGGTGGAGTGTTTCCAGAAGTAGGAGGGTTCGAAATACTAGTAAGGGGCGGCGGCAATCGACAAAATGGAGTCCGGAAAATACGAACGGCTCCAGCAACTGCGTCCACTTGGTGGGTCATGTGATAATAGTCCGCAAGCTTGTGCGTTAGCATTCTACAAAAAGAATTACATGGTGGGAGGTCGATGAATGGCTCTCTATACTTTGGTTAGCTGTGGATTCGATTCAGGTATGCCGCTTTGGCGAATAGGTACGGTTGAACTGGTAGAAACCTAGAAGGTGTAACACCACTTACTTCGAGTCTTTCACAAATTCTATCACCTCTTGTTCGAGTCGAAGCAAAAATATTCGATCCTTGGGTGACTCCAAAGCCTCTAGCAGTTTCTCATCTGGCGTCTGGCGATAGAAGAGATTGAAAGCATCAGGCACTCCTGTTGCGCCGCCGAGTGGCTTCGATTTCGAGTCATCCACAACCTGCTGTCCCGAGGAACCACTTTGGGGCGTACTAACCCCCTGACCCTGGCGCTCTTGCATAGGTTGTACACCACGCTTGTCAGGAGCTTCGTAAAATTGGGATCGATATGTGCGGGCTGCGGCTTCTGATCCAATCCTAGAGCCTGCCACGATAGAGCCTCGTCCTGAGAATGTATCATCATCCTCAGCAGCTTTAACGCTCGCACTATCATCTGGGCGCAAAGACTCTTTCTCATCCAAGGCAAACGTGGTCCCTGAAGTGATACTCTTCCCATCCAGACTTGGTGGTTTGGTGCCCAGTTCGGACCCAGAATCTGCCCGTTGAAATGGGTCCTCTGAGAACCCCTCGACCATATCAGATTTGCTGCTGTTATTTGCAGCTCCTGATCCATTAACGACAAGGCTGGGCATCGGATCATTAACGTTTAAAGCTTTGACCGCATTGACAAGATCGGCTTTGCTGACGCCTGATCCATCCGTCAATGAGCCTGCTCCCTCAGCTTTTGACTCATGGTTACTGGACGGCTTCGAGGTACTCTGAATAGCGGCAGGATCGCTAATTGATACCTCAATTGGTTGATCCGGGCCTGCTTTCAGCTCCTTCTCATCAGCCTGCACATTGGTATTCTCCTTCCGTACATCTCGGGCAGGCGCTGATGCGGCGACTTTGGCGAACGAGGTATGAGTTGCATTTTCTTTCCCGGCTGATGCGGCGACCTGCAAATGAAGTCAAAGTCAGTAAAGAAGCTTGAGAACCCGAGGCAGGGGGGATGCTGATGGAAGCGTGCTGCCTTATGGAAGACTGGAATTGCATACCTTTGCGAAAGATAGTCTAGATGGATCTGCAGACATCGAGGCGGCAGTCATCTTGCGAAGATATGGACGACTGGGCGAAATTCCAGTCGCGGAAAATGAATGTGGTCGTCCAGACCGGACCAAAGTGAGATCGCAACCAGGCGAGGTGCCTGTAGAAACCAAAGCTTTTTTGAAAGTAAATTAAGGGAGAAGGTTAATAAAAGCGCCCGATGCAGAGAGGTGACATCTGGTCATTGTCGTGGTCGACAAGCAGCTGGGTGATGTTGGATGTTTTCTTGGGGAGGAGTGCAATGGGAGTCGTAGAATTCTGGGGTCCGTTTGATTCGATCCCACGACAGCGTACGACAGATTTGCGGAACTACCACTTCTCCGCCCGATATAGAAGTTCTTCCAGAAGCGGGCAGTATATGCCAGGGTGGATGGAACTGAGGAGGGATGTGGGCGAACAGAAATCAGAGCATATCCAGCTCTGGCTGCTCTTGTTGAGGGGGGCAAGGTAAGGCCAGGTTCGGTCGGGGGGGTGTTCGAGAGACGTGAGCCGTAACAATGATTATCATTCAATAATTGAGGCCTTACGAAACGCAACTTTTCTCAAGGCCGAGCGGTTTACCTAAGCGAGTCTACAGTACCCCAGTCTCCAGCAATAACCCCTGCAAGAATGATATCCGCCAAAGGTTGTTTGGACTCTTGATATCGACTGCAAACCGGACTGCCTCCAACTCCAGCTTCTGGCAAACACACGCGGCGCTACATGGTCTCCTGAATATTACTGGATACCGAGCCGCGAACACATGCGACGTCAGCTATCCATCAGCATACAGCAGCACCTTCGAAGACCACTCCAACTCCCCCGCCTCCCCTCCCCCACGAAGGACGAGCCACCACCTTTGTTATAGAAACCCCAGAGCAGACCGCTTTAGCTCGAGGATTATCAGATACTCTCTGCATTGGCGACAATGAATCGATACGGCAGAGGCCCAACTATTGGCGGGCCGTCCAAAGCGACTGCTTCTACCACTTGCCAGAAGTGTCTTAAGAAAGATATGTATGCTTGTTCCTGCACAAGTTCAACGGACTGACCGCTTTCTACGGCATTACAGCTACGAATGTAAAACCGTTATTCAAGAGCGACCCTATGTTTCCCGACCCTCGAGAACTCAGCAGCTATTGAATCCTAAGCTTGCTCCCAAGTTGACAAGTGATGTTCCACAAGACCTTTTGAGAAAGTGAGTCTTCTACTGTCTCGACTCTCCTTTCTTCTGATATATGGCGATGCTTGTCTGTGTCAGGGAACCGGGGTTTCCGCAAACTCTCAGGCTATAATCGACGTATAATCTCGTCTAAGTATAACTTCGACGAATGTTTGAGCAATACTGGGGTAACCTTTTCTAGAACCTGATGCTAATCTTGTGTGACATTTTAGGAAAGGTGTTGCAGATGAACAACTTGCAAGACTAGAGCAGGAAAGGGGTCGAAAGCGTGACCGGCAGAGTGAGGATCCGGAAATCAGGGGTGCTTCTAAGAGGATGCGGTCAACTTCAACAACATCATCAGTTTCCGTCTCGACTATATCCACGAGTATATCACGTTCGCCATCCCCTCGACCGTCTGTCAGGAATTCCACTGCCGACAAGGCCTATTCCGCAAACCGGTCACACTCACCTCCTACCCGAGTTACTGGTCACAGACGGAGGCCTTCTGCAAGTACGTCACGATCACCTCCACCACGGCAGCATCTCAGAGACTCTGAGAGAAAACGGAGGAGGGATTCTTATTCTTCTGTTGACTCGTACACCTCCGAGGATGGAAGAAGCAATACGTGGAATTCAAGAGAGAGGCCGAGAAGTCGAAGTACCCAAGGAAAGTCCAGACAAGTTAGCCCGCCCGCACGAGGTAGAAGAGCCGATAGTAGAAGCCCTCATAGAGGCAGGAGAAGACTGTCAAATGATCGTCGACGCCTGACTGATCGGGAGAAGCCCCATTTTAGCAATGACGGACCCCCTCCACGCAACGAGCTTAAGGAAAACAGAGACCCTCCACGAGAGAGAAGCTTGAGTCCTTTCAGCAAGAGGCTGGCTTTGACACAGGCAATGAATATGGGCAGATGATGTATTGGATATAGCTACCAGTAGAGGCTTAGGCCCTGTTGGTATCAAGGTTTACTGGACGCGATGTCCATAGGATCAACGGAGCAGGTAGCGATTTGCTAGTATGATGAAGACTGAAGCCTTTCTGAGATGGAAGGTAGCCTTACATAGGCAAGAAATCTTGGTTTGTGAGGTAGCGGATTACAGTTGTATAATAAGCAGGATTATATTCCCTTGGCTGGCTAGGCAGAATTATGTATCCTCAATGGAACGCCAGACTCCCAATGCTACCCTATTCCGTGGCACGCCAGTATTTTATACATAATCAAGAATGCATAATCAAGGCTCCAACTGCCTCTCCTCGTCCTCTTTCTCTCTTCGCTCTTCCTCCTCCTCCTCTCTTTCCCGTAACTTGACCCCCTCTACAAGAGCGACACCCTCCATACCCATCTCTTCTCCCCCATCGCTCGCCGAGACAGCTCCATTTCCAGCTTTTATTCTCGCTGCCTTCTGTGCACCCTCAATACGTTCCCTGACCAACCTTGCAATCGCATTCTCTGTCCTAACATTGAGCACCTCTAATTTCTTATCGAGATCCCTCTTCAAATCCCAATTTGGTTTCTTCGGCTGCAGCTTAAACAGATCCACGCCCTTCTCGTCCTGCTCCTCCTCCTTGGCCTTCTTCCTAATCTCTTCCTCTACTTCTTTCGCCTGCTGCTCTAACGTGGGTTTCTCAAGCGCCAGTGTGGGCGGCGCTTCGAATCCAAGCTTTGGGCCTTTGACTTCTGGGTCATAATTTCGACCTGAGAGATGTAGTGCTGCAACATTGGGAGAGGCTGGTGGTGAGGGAGAGCGCGTTGATTCGGGGGCCACGATCTCATCGCCTGGTTGTTTGCGCTTAAGTGACTTGAGCTTAGCTAGACGGGCCTTGCGCTCATCTGCTGCCGCGCCCAGAGAGGCATGTGTAGCTGACATTGTTTGGAGGAAGAGGAGGTAACTTAATTCGTCTGCTTGTGGGGTTACTGTAAATAAAGTAAACAGTTGGTTGAATGTTTGGCGGCCTTGATGTCAGACCCTTGAAATTCTCAGCCTGGTCGGCATCGGCTGCACTAAAAACATTCGTATATCGAGAACCTTAACTAATCCTTCCACCTCCCTTCCCCTTCGCTGCCAACACCATCCACACAATGGAAAGTTAGACGAATATAACTAGCAGCTGATGCCTCTACGTTCGGGGCCACCGAAGAAACGCTGGTCAACGTTTGATTTGCCCATCCTCCCATTCCTCGCGCCTCGAGTCTTCACGCCATGGCCACCTAGGGGTCGCAAAGCCTATTCTGGCTTACAGTTAGGCCAGGTACCCCGTGCAGATGCGGAAGACCGTAAGATTCCTCGGCCTAGTGGAGAAGGGCATCATTCTGAGGGCCTATTTCCGCGCAGATTAGGAGTGAAAAAGGAGCCCAGTGAACCCAAATTTCGACTGAGCCACGCAAGCGCAACACCCCACGGCGCAGTCATATCTGATGACCCTTCAGAACACAGCAATGGACTTCCGGATACCGGCAAGACATATGCTGCAAATGGGGAGGTGAAAGAGGCAACACCCTCTCCAGCGGACGAATTTCGCCGGAAGTATGAGGAAATTTGGGGTGGCCTCAAGAGCAAACCGCATCAGCGGAATGCGGCTCCGCTATCAGTGACGCTGTTGAAAGAGGGAGCATACAGTACTGGGAACGAGACATCGAGGAGTAAAGAGCCCACACCGAAACCTCCCAACCGCACGGCGGGCATCAATGCCAAGACACACAAAAGGATTAGGAAAGCGGGAATTCCGCAGAGACTTCTCAAGAGACGTTCTCATGTTCTACGCTACAATCACCGTCAAATGAGGAAGCTCAAGCTTCCAAGGAAACCTACCAAATGGGTCAGTTGGACGCCTGGCAAAAGCTCATACTTCTTGGATTGGGAAAGACGCTTTGCAATTCTCAATGTGCGTCACCAATACTACCGCAGGCGCCCGACATTTATCAGCACTGCGAAAAATCAGTTTCCTGAAGAATTCAAGAAAGCGTTGATCGAGCACGATTCTTCAGTCACACTTCGTGCTTCATGGGAGATGATCCCCGAGGCCCAGCGAGAGAAGCTCTGGCCAGAGCTCATTTGCACTGCTTTGGATAAATATCCAAATGCGTCCCTGAAGGTTCTAGCAGCTACCTACACAGAGCCCTATCCCCCAGATTATGCTGCTTCTGATTCCGTGGACTTTATTGTCTCTCATTATCTTCGAAATAAGCAATCCCCCGAGCCCAGAGATGTTCTGAAAGTTTATGGAGTTATCTGTTACCTGCTACGCAATGGACCTCCTGGCCATCTTCGTTTGGATCAGAGTTCGATATACTTGCTGCTCACAAATCTGGATCAGGCCCAAGTCAAGCCTCTCTATGAGATTTTAGAAGACGTTGAGCATCCCTTACATCATAACACCTTAATTCAGTTCAGCTATCGGCTAGCCAGTTCTGGAGATACCGATTCGGCTTTCAAAGTTTTGAAGAGGATACGTGATCAAGGCGGTGACTTCAATTCTCCGAAGATGCTGAGTCTGTGTGCACGTGTGCTTGAGAGGAAGGGCCGACATTCCAGCACCGGTATCTCTGATTCCCAGATATTCGAATTCATGCTGGAATGCGGGATGAAACCGAATATTATCATCTACAACATTTTATTGCGGAACTCATTTGAGGGCGGAGATCACGAAACTGGATGGCAAATCTACGACATGATGATAGAGAATGGCATCAAGGCGGACGAGCATACATACTCTATATTATTGAATGACAGCAAGCTGCGCATGGATCAGTCTGCTCTGAGACGTGTTATTGGCATGATCAGGGAAAGTGGCATTCATAACGCGCATATTGGTACTGACATCTTGCATGCGATCTTACTGCTCAACCACGGGGGAGCCCCTTCGCGTTCTTCGAGTCAACGTCGTAAATCTCCAACGTCGTTTGAGAGAATGCTGCCGGTCTATTGCGAGTACTTTGACTCTAGACCGTTGGCTCAGATCATCCCTTATTTCCTAACACGCTTTGGAGATCTAATACCGCACTCGAGCAAGTCGGAGTCTGTGATGGAGCCTCCGGCCCCTACACTGATTGTCATGCTCACTGGACTTCTTATGGAAAGCACACCGCAGAATGCAATAAACTACTATAATTGGTTCCAGCATCTGGTATCGACTGGAAACACGGTTGTCTCTGGGCTCCTGCAATCAACCCATGTCTATAATCTATTCCTCATGGCGTTTGGCCAGTCCAGTAAGACGCTTGACTGGTGTCCTCGTATCATTGGAGATATGCTTTCTACTTCTGCAAATTCACTTTTGGCTAGGACGGATACCGCAAATCAAGCCACGTCGAAGAGCCAGGTAGCCCTTCCAGAGCCTCTTAGCCGCGGTGCAGGAAATGAAACTAGCCTTTCGGACACAAGTTGTTCACCTCGTGCAGCATTGATAAATGGCGGGACTCCGGATGTCCAAGCATCTTCAGATTCTTGTCAGAGTCCGCCTCTTCCGGACGTATACACTTGGTCCATTCTCCTCGATATATTTATCTCCCATCGGCAAGCTCGAGCTGCCGAGAAGGTCCTCACGATGATGGAATCCAGAGGCGTGATACCTAACCAAGTCACATGGAACAGCTTAGCAGTCGGATATGCTCGAATGCAGGACATTGGCATGACAGTGGACGTAATTGACCGACTGGAGAAAGCCAACCTTCAAGCCGACGACATCACAATGAAGGGTATATCTAGGATAAAGAATCGTAGGGCTTTGATTGAGGCTATGAAGGCGAAGGAGGATGCGAATAGTAAGATGACATCGGAAAGTCGCAATACACACAAAGCGCTGGATCTTTTGGACAAGGCATTGAATGCTGAGGGGCAGCTGCATGGAATGCTGCAAGACGAGTACGTCCGCGATGGGACGGGAAAGGTAGTGCCTGTTGTGAGAGATATCATAAGTCGAGATCTCGAGCCTTTGCATTCTCCAGTTCGTAGGTTTTCAAAATACCCTCGACTGAAGGGAGACATCGGAGAAGACTCTGTTGTCCATGAGATGTAGAATATACATGTACGATAGACTTTATTCTAAAATAATATTTTTATACCCATATGGGACCTGATTCGTGTTGACATTTTCATACGCACTTCAGCGAACAAATTGCAGAATGGAATTCCATTAACTTATTACTCTACACAATGAGTTGAGGTTCGTCTTCTAGAGACTGAGTAGCAAATGAGACGAGCTCAAATGCAAGCAAGCCATAAAAGCCTATGAAAAGAAACCGATGAGCAAAAATAGGGCTCGCCATTACGAGTAATGCTTCCCCTTATGTTGCCCTAACGTCGCCAGTAACGCCCTCCCTTATTCCTCCACGCAATGAGTTGAGATTTGTCTTCGAGAGACTGAGTGGCAAGTGAGACGAGCTCAAATGCAAGCAAGCCATAAAAGCTTTTGAGAAAGAAACCGATGAGCAAAAGTAGGGCTCGCTATTACGAGTAATGCTTCCCCTTATGTCGCCCCAACGTCGCCAGTGACGCCCTCCCTTATTCCTCCACACAATGAGTTGAGATTTGTCTTCTAGAGACTGAGTGGCAAGTGAGACGAGCTCAAATGCAAGCAAGCCATAAAAGCTTCTGAAAAGGAAAAAAAGGGAAAAAAACGACGCGCAAAAATAAGACGAGCAATGAAAACCGAGCAATGCTTCCCCTCCCTAACGTCAGTGATGCTCTCCCTTATTACTCTACACAATGAGTTGAGATTTGTCTTCTAGAGACCGAGTGGCAAGTGAGACAAGCTCAAATGCAAGCAAGCCATAGAAGCTTTTGAAAAGGAAAAGAAAAAGGAAAAAACGACGCGCAAAAATAAGACGAGCAATCAAAACCGAGCAATGCCTCCCCTTGTGTTCCCATAACGCCGTCATTGACGCTCTCCCGTCTTAAACAAATCTCAAATAACCACCGAGTAGCATCAAGGTCCAGATCGTACATCGATCCAGAGCTAATAGCCAGTTTCAACATCAGCGGCGGTCACTCCAACTCGGCGTCCTTGCACTCTCCGCAAACGATAAATCCGCATGCACACTTGAAAGCTACGTCGATGTCTCCCGGCTTCATGTCATCCATGCAGTTCCCGCATGCAATGTTACAATCGCATTTGTATATGCGGGTCTCGTCACCAACTCTGTCAGACGGAGGCAATCTTGGGCAGCTGTAACATTGAAAGTGTCCGCCTCCACACTGCCAGACTGGTTCCCCATTCGTATCCGTCGGCCATAATAGCGGTAACTCAGATGCAGGCAGATTATCACCCTCTCCATGCACAGTCGGCTCGTATTGGAGGGGTTCTGCAGGCTTCATTCGCTTAACACAAACAAGACATCTCCGTGTTTCGTCGAAGTCGCCGTCAGTGGACAACATACGCCTCAAGTCGTGTTGTATATGTCTATGTTCCTCGAGTGGCTGGTCGCCAGTCTCATGGCCATCATGCTGCTGGGAGCCTTCTGTACTACGTGCAGAATCAACTTCGTAGCCGTTATCGTTGATCTCGTCCTCTCCCTCGTCGTCGCCGAAAATCTCGAAGATGTCGAGGTTGCCATTAGCAATCCGAGCTTCAAAGGCTCGCGCTTCACATTCCCGATTGCAAACATTGTAAGGCCGCAGGCAGTTCCAACAAAACTCTGCGCTGCACTTGCATCTCATATGCAGGCAGCCGTCAATTTTTTGAACAGCGATCCTACACTTAGGGCACCTCTTTACTTCTCCTGTGTTTAGTTGAGCTTCTAGCTCTGGGTCGAGGTCGGTTGTCGAACAGTCTCCAGGATGCTTGAGATAATGGCACGTTGTACATATCAAAATGCCACACGTAGGACAATTGACCTCGGGCTGCATCACTTTTGGCAGCGTGAGTCTAGTTTGATACGGCAACGCGTCCCACACGCCGGCCACTTCGAATTGGTAGTGATGAATCGGATCACCTGGCAGCCACACTCGGGTTCCATTATTGTCGTACTCCGCGCCTTCTTCTGGAGCTCTTGTAGAAGGGGACTTGTCTTCCTCAGGTATCTCTTTCAATTCGGACCAGAATAGTCTGGGTGCAATAAAGGTTGAACAGGTCGGTACAGGACAATACAGCCTATCAGTTGTGTTCCATTCCTCAAATTTGGCCTTGTAGAGCTCGATCTATAAGACGTCAATACTTGAATAGTCTGGTACAACGGCAGTAATTACTAACTTCAGAAGTTTGTAGCACAGCAGATACTGCATAAATGGGAACGATCCTGCAGCAAGATGGAGGCATGTTGGACTCGTTTTTGCAAGCCTCAATAAACCATTGCTTGAGGCATTTTGCGCAAAAGACGCCCAGCTGGCAGAAAGAGCATTCGTAAATGAACCAATTCTCCGGATCATCCTCAAAAGAGTCTTCGAAGCAGACTCGGCATTTCTTTTGTGGATGCTGAAGCCCTGCCCGCCTGGCGAGAGTAAGATTGGCACTCATTGTTCTTGTAGTTGTGAGCCTTAGGGAACAGCTAGGTAGACATGATTATTAGTATCCACTGTTCACAGGTAAACAACAGAAGAGTTCCGGGACTCCATAGGCACATCAGATAACATTTTAAGAAAGAGATGTAGACATAGAACCAGTTTCAAATGGTACAAATGAGGGGACTCTCTCCTGTGAATCAGACACGTGCTTGACACGTCCGGTAACGTGATTTATACGTGTAACTGGAAGGGTTCCCAAACGACTTCCAAGGATCAAAACCGAAGTAACGACTGCACTTACTAGGGATCTGTGCTGCATACAGCAGAGAATAAGGTGGATTGAGACCTGGTAGATCTCTCAAAGGTTGTTGTATGATTGAATTCAACAGACTAACAGGATTGTCTGTAAGAAGTTGGTTGATGCTTGGTGCTGGAAGATCTGGAAGATCTGGATGTTGAATATGGTGAATGCCGCCGCTCCTTTGGCCCTAGGAGAGGTTGAAGATCAACAAAAGGATCTGGGAAGGTACAGGATCCTGGATGTGGAGACCAGGACTGTCGAAGAGGTGAGTGTCTTTGTATGTGGTATGTAGGAGGAGATGAGTGATTGAGAAGGTCAGGAACGTGAATGAGTGATTGAGAAGATCAGGAACGTGGTTCTCCAGCTGTAATCTGACTTGACTGGGGAACAAGGGAAACTGTATCCTGTGTTTGGAGGTGTGAGACTACATGCTCAGAGAAAGTTGGGAAATTTAGTGAGTCAAAAAGTAAGGTGATGAATAGTGAACGGCCTGGTATGAGAAATAAGGCACTGTCAGGCCGTGAAGTGTGTCTCGATACCCGAGAGGAACGAATATGTTAGCAAATCTGTGTGCCCTTCACGAACATCGACTCTTAGGTTCGTAGAAAAACAGGACGGAAAGCTATACAACCGGAAACAAAACGAAAACCATACGAAAAGAACAGGACGAAATCCTATGGGACCGGAAACAGAACGAAATACTATACATAGAAAGCAGGACAGAATGCTATAGGACCGGAAACTCTCTACACTGACCGTACTATGGTCAGCAGTAGAATCTCTTCTCTTCTCCAGCCGTACATATCTAGCTAGGCTCATCTCAAAGACCTATGGGTTGGCAGGCCTTGGATAGAAAATCTAGCCGCTGTACGCATTACTTGATTATTCTATTATTTATATTTGAAGAGTAGATATTTGCGGGTTGGGGCCGAAAAGGGAAAATTCTTGGACTTCCAAGTCGACTCGTTTCCCAGCTCTGCAAAATTGACATTGCTACTGTGAAGCCAAGTTTCCCCCGTATCTGATGTACCGATAAAGGCTGATTACATAATAAGCTTTTCGGGTGCTGGTGGGGCCGTTCAGGCATTTTCGCTTCCTGGGAGTGTTGCAAATGGGGCAGAGAGTTTTGATATCAATACTCAGGTACTGTATTGAGCTTCAAAATGCCCGACAAAGATGCTGGTACTCCAAGGGTCTTCCTTGTACGCCATGGTATGTTACAATGAAAATCCTTGAAGTCTGGGTGAGGTAAAAGGCAGATAGATTGAAGCTCTGATCCCGAGTAAAAAATCTGATTTCTCTATAGGGGAAACTGAGTGGACAATCTCTGGGCGCTACACTGGCCGCAGTGATATCCCGTTGACTCCGAATGGCGAACTTCAAATCTCCTCGTCTGCAAGGAAGGTCGTAGGAGCCGGGAAGATTATTGATCCGTCGAGAGTAGCCCGCGTGTTCATCAGTCCTCGAACACGAGCACGGCGAACATACGAGTTGCTGTTTGATAATGCCTCGAAGGAAATCCTTGAAGGGAAATCTGAAATTACCGAGGACATTCGGGAGTGGGAATATGGCGCGTACGAAGGCCTTTTGACTGCTCAGATCAGAGCAGGTCGAAAAGAGCGAGGTCTGGACACAGACAGGCCTTGGAATATATGGACGGATGGCTGCGAGGATGGAGAATCAGCCAAGGAAGTGTCGAGCCGTCTTGATCAAATCATAGCTAAGATCAGGGAGATCCAGGGACCATATATGCATGGTGAAAAAGGTGTCGATGTGGTTCTGATTGCGCATGGACATATACTGAGAGCATTTGCGAAACGTTGGATTGGGTTCGAGCTCGGAATGAGACTGCCAATGATGCTGGAACCTGGGGCTGTAGGTGTGTTGAGTTATGAGCATCATAGAATTGACGAGCCTGCTATATTACTCGGTGTGAATTTGGGTGAGAGCGAATCCGGCTCGAAGGAGTAAGTTTGAGAGTACAAAGATAGCATTGGACATAATGCAATCAATATACTGCATATAATAGAATAGACATACCAGCTGCTTATAAAATCATGGTTTTCGTTTGAATGTGTACAGGAACAGAGCCTCCCTTGAAAAAGTGGGTCGGTCGATATCCTCAATCTCTTCCACCAAGAATTTCTTTCTCGCATTCTTCATGAAGTGCATGTCTGCCTTTCTCCGTTTCTTGAAGCAGAAGTACACAACCGCATCCTCACAAAGCCCGAAAAGTTCTTCCAAAGTAGCAATGAGTAATGGAAATGCCGGCTCGAAATAAACGCAGTCGGCAGCCAAGATTACATTGGGCTTCTGTTCAACGACCTCCAGTGGTAGTGGATCCCCCCTGATTCTTTGTTAGAATCAAATCCATGTAGCACGAAAGCAACCTACCAGTTCAAGACCGCGGGTACAACACGTGACTCCAGACCATTCAGCTTGATATTTTGGATCATGAGCGGAAGCATATTTTCTTGGTCTGTAATATATATAGGGTGGTCGACCTGGCATCCAATAGCAACACCTAATCCAACTAGGCCGCCGCCAGCACCCAGCTCAAGACTGCTCAGAAAAAAAATGGATTAGCATTGAAGCTTAGGAGGAGGAGAAGAGGACAAACATTCTTGCATCTTTCAGCGAAGACTTATGATAGCGCAGCATATGCTGGGCCAAGACCATTCCAGCTGGCCATAATTGCCCGCCACAACCGGATTTGAGATCTTCATGGAGTTGTAGCGCAGGCTCGAGGAGGTTGGAAAAGTTGACGGACGTAGTGGACGCTGCTTTGTAAACGGGCAGAGGTGTGAGATCTTCTCCAATTGCCAAAGGAGAGAACTCTGGGGATGGAGAACGTGACAACACCATCCTTGGGGCAGATCTTTGTTTGTTTGTTAACAGATCCACTACATTCGAGGAGACCGACGTCCTACCTCCTTGGTGGGATGAAGAACAGCTAAGGCGGTGAGGATATTTAATGCCGATTCATAATCCTCACCGCCTATTGCCTTTGATAACAACCTTGCGCCGATCCCCCTCCTCCCTCACCCTTTAATACACACGCTTGATGGCCTCAAGAACAGTCAACTTGGGACGGAGGAGGGTTTCTTTGATCCCATGGCTGATACATGATTATAGCCAATAAATTCTACTATCTTCGTTGGGACCCACAAGTGGTACCGTATAGGAAAGTCAATGGTACGATGCGGCTCTGGCCGCTGTCTCCCATCTATCGCCATCTACGTTCTCGGAGTATAAAGACACGCAGCCTTTGGCATCGGACCAGTTGAGATCGAATACCTACCACTTATTTAATCAGTGCTGTCTCCTTGGCGTCGAGACTCGTCGAGGTGTTGGATAATAACCTAGACTTTGATGCGTGGTAGCCCATTCAAGTTATGCCAAACCGCATACCTGTCAGTATTTTCATTTGGTTACTACTTTGGACGTGCACCCAATCCATACGAGGGACTACCCATATGTTTCTGCAACTCTTGGCACCCTTTGCAGCACAGTTATACAGCGGAATGCCAGAAAGCAAAGTGAACATCTCGAGAATGGTTTCCTGTTCTGTGCCTCTAAATTTGTTGCAATAATCGCCCTCATCATGCCTGACTCATTTTATGGACATCTTAGCCTCTCATTCTGCTCCTTCAAAGATTCTCATGCCATGGTATGGTATTCCTGATTTTGTTTGTATACCTGTTCAAGTCCAAGTAGCTACCTTAGGTACACCTACCTGGTACTGTACGCATGCATTAAGCGACGACCAGGGCAACTATAGTCCCAATGAAGGTGGCATTGTGGAAGGTCTTTTTCATTACCGTCATCTTTGGCGCCCTTACCAATGCTATTCCAACCTGTTGCGCATCTATTTAGGCTCTTCTTGTACATTTTCCTGAACTCAACGTTCTCCTCCACAAGACGATATTCAAGATTTCTACCTCTTGTGGAATGAATCCGCCGTGGTACTAGATACGGAAGAACGAGGGTCTATTTCATCTTTCGCCGGAGGAGATCTAAAGAGAATAATGGCTAGGCATAGTATACCTGATTTATGGACGACTCGGCGAGATTTGGCTAAAAGTTTAAGATCTGGTGATCTGATTTACCGTGGGCGCAAATAGATGGGCAAAAGCGCACAGAGGTTCCCGTAAACATGTCGGAAATAGCGAAAATAGCATGCATAGGAGAAAACTGCTCAGAACAGCATCGAGCAGCTGTTCGGGAGCCTTATGCTATCTGATTTACCTCTTGTGTCTGGGATCAAGCAGATAAGCTAGATCGTCGCCATTTTTGGTGGATTGTGTACAGAAAGTTCATGGAAACTACCCAAGAAAGGAAGAATATTACGCATGAATCTCCTGTGGTGGCGAAGGAGCCAATGGGCCCATTGGAGAATGTTATTTTCCGTAGATATAGAGATGAGTATATTTGACGACTATTTTACTCGAATATGGATCTGCATGGGATGATACACCCAAGACAGCTGAGATTTTGCATACAATGCTAGCAGGGAAGAACGAGGATACGAGGCAGTGTCAGATCGATCGAATCAAAAGACAGTCAGTTTTAATCGCCGAGCGGATCAATGCTTCCAACACGTCAACTCCATAACGGATCGCAGAGGGCTGAAACGAGCGGAAGAAACGCAGACGATGAGTACACAGATTCCTTGCCCGACGATGATTTAGAAGAGAGCTGGAAGACCCATCACGCCCCTCCAAACAGCCGAGGTAAATAACGTTATTGAGTAGGTAGCTTACGGAACTGAAGACTCGAATGCTGTGATGCTGGGGATACCTCAGCTTTGAATGCAAGGGTGGATTCTGCTAGTGTATGCTAAATTAACAAAGAAAGCTTCTGTAGTGGCGTCTGGGAAGGAATCGGAGCATATAATTAGGATGATAGATTTCTTTGAATAGTTGCGGATGGATTGGATGGGTAGATGGCGCAAAGCTGTAGAAGCCCGTGATATCAAAATAGAAGCACGATGGACGACTGTACGTGCCAGTGGTTTGGTGTTTTGATCTCTCCCCCATTTCCCCAGATTTGTCCAAGATAATTATCACTTCAGTGATGCAAATCATTGAGCGATTGATTGGCAAGATTGCAAGGGTGGCCTTGACCTTTATGGCGCCAAAAGGAGCCGAGATACGCGGCACCAGCCTCATCTATAAAGAGGTACCTACTCAGCACACACTATAGGGATTGTAAAAGCAAAGGAGCCGCATGAAGATATAAATGAGGTCGCATGTCACAAGAGCCTCCAGAGGTCAGATAGAGGAACAACCGAGGCGAAGTCCAGCGGCGGAAGGGGGCGCGTAACAAGGGTGCAAGCCTGCGAGTGACAATCCGCCTCCACAGCCAGCCACAGCACAGGACAGAGTGGGTTAAAAACTGCTTCCTATAGTCTATAGATAGCCAGTAAAGCCTTTCATTGTGCCACACGCGCCAATCTTGGGACGGAAAAGCCTCGCACACATACACATACACACACGTTCTCGCCTGCATACCTACACATCTAACCTCTGGGTCTTGAAGTCATCACCGTCAATCGTCGTGCTTCAGTGTCCGCTCCAGCTCCAGACCGAAGACCCCTCTCTTGCCGCCCTTCCCCCTTCGCCTTGCTGCCTTAACGTTTATCTGCGTAGCGACTAGCGAGCCCGGCCCACTAGCTCCTTCGTCATTCAATCCCTCTCTTCTACCTCTCTGGCAATTTTCCAGCACACGAGCTCGCTCTTTACTCTCGGAACAAGTCTTTACCCCTCCGCGAAGAAACAATCCTCCTGCGAATATTCCTGATCCAGATGAACAGATAGTCCCTACTTCGTCTCTGCGAACCGTCTTCTCCGCCGCGCCGCCACAGCCCCGCACCTCCATTCTTGTCCTTTTCAACAACAACAAAAAAGCCTTGTACAGATCCGAATTGTTCCCAGTCGCTGACCAAGAGGACCCGGTCTATTGTCAAGATGGGACAGACTCTCTCTGAGCCGGTCGTCGAGAAGGTATGCAGTCTTCTCTGTTCATGAATGTCGCGTCGTTGGTCTTACAACTACCGATCTCTGCTTTTACAACACGTATTGGCTTTTACCAAACCTCCTGATCTGTTCTTGTCACTTGTCCAGCCTCTTGTATGGACATTGGCATTTTGCGGACTTCGAGGGTATATGCCAGGCGGCGAGCTCTCTATCTGAATGACCCCTGCTCGTTACATTGATGCTGACACGTTCCCTCTGTTAGACTTCAGCAAGTGGAGGAGACGAACGTTTAATATTTGGTGTATCATCGATGCAAGGATGGCGTATTAGCATGGAGGATGCGCACGCAGCCATTCTGGACCTGCAGACCGAGGACGGGGCACAGACAGGACCGACTAGTATTGATAAGAGGCTCTCCTTTTTTGGTGTCTATGATGGGCACGGAGGTGACAGGGTGGCCTTATTTGCAGGCGAGCACATCCATAAAATTGTCGCAAAGCAGGAGGCGTTTAAGAAGGGTGATATCGAGCAGGCTTTGAAGGATGGTTTCCTTGCCACGGACCGAGCTATCCTAGATGGTCAGCACGAGCAACCCAATGCCATGATATAGGCTGCTGACTCGTGCTTTACAGACCCACGGTACGAGGAAGAAGTTTCTGGCTGCACTGCCTCTGTTGGAATCCTCTCGTCAAAGAAAATCTATGTGGTACGTAATGTCCCGGACATCTCAGCTAGGCTCAGCGCAGCTCAAAGTGTTCTCACTAATAGTCATAGGGAAACGCGGGGGATTCGCGAAGTGTTTTGGGTGTAAAGGGTCGAGCCAAGCCTCTTTCATTTGATCACAAACCACAAAACGAAGGTAATTAACCCTCCATTCTACGAACGGGTTAGAATACTCACTCTTCAATAGGCGAGAAGGCTCGAATTACTGCAGCCGGAGGTTTTGTTGACTTTGGCCGTGTAAACGGTAATCTTGCTTTGTCAAGAGCAATTGGCGATTTCGAGTTCAAGAAGAGTGCGGAACTTGCGCCTGAGCAGCAGATTGTTACCGCTTACCCCGATGTTGTCGTGCACGACATCTCGGAAGATGACGAGTTCCTAATTGTTGCTTGTGATGGTAAGTGAAGATTCCTCCAGTGGACCGAACAATCAGGGATTAGTACTGAGGCTTTCCAGGTATTTGGGACTGTCAGTCTTCTCAAGCTGTGGTGGAATTTGTCCGCCGTGGTATTGCTGCGAAGCAGGAGCTATCGAAAATCTGTGAGAACATGATGGATAATTGCCTCGCGTCGAATTCGGAGACTGGTGGTGTGGGTTGCGATAATATGACCATGATTGTTGTCGGCCTCTTACACGGCAAGACCAAGGAGGAGTGGTATGACGAGATCGCCAAGCGCGTTGCTAACGGAGATGGCCCGTGTGCTCCTCCAGAGTATGGCAAGTATTTCGTTTATTTTCGTTCGCGACGGCAGTGCTAACTATGTTGTAGCTGAGTTCCGCGGACCCGGCGTCCATCATAACTTTGATGATAGTGACAGTGGCTACGATGTTGATATCGACAGCAGGTCGAGGTCAGCCGATGGAAACCAACGAGGCCGTATTATTCTACTTGGCGACGGAACTGAGGTTTTGACGGACTCTGACGATACTGAGATGTTTGACCACGGTGAAGAGGACAAGGACCTTGAGAGCCAGGTTCCCAAAGGCCAGACCGGTGGCGAGTCGACCGGGCCAATCGTATCAAGCACAGATACTTTGCCTGAGAAGGTTGACGTTACGGACCCCAAGTACAAAGTTATTGCCGAAAAAGTACAGCACAGTGCAACCTAACCTGTGGGTCCTTTGGCAGCAGAGACAACATCTGGTGCCGAAGACAAGTAAGGCCAATTTACGATGTTCTTGGACTAGTTTGGACATTCGTAAATCTTCGCTTGGGATGAGGATATCGACGATAGGACATGATTTTTAAGACAAGTCTTCTAGATGGATGTCTTCTTTGCACCTAGGCCTGGGAGGGAGGCAGGGAGGTGTTTGTCTTTTTATGGCAATACGTGAACGACGATTTCACGTTTTGCTTCTTTTCTACTGGGCTAGAGGACGAGAGTGGGGGTTACGAACGTTCTCGGTGCCTCCCGCCTCTGGCACTATCCCGAATACCTCAACCGCGGTGCTTTCAATTCGTACTCATTTCCTGAATTATGATCTCCATCACGCAGCGAGTTTGTCTAGTCTCGAGTCTCTTTTTTTGCACTAAAGATCTCATACACGGAGGGAAGATCAAGTCTTCAAGATTAAGACCAAGGATCGCATTGTACCCAATTCAGCCAATTGATACCTGATAACCGTTGAGAGTCCAGCAATACTGCCGTGAGATGTGAGATGTGAATGTGGAAATCCCGTGCGATTCAACCAGCCGACAATTGTATTACCTATGTCTCTTCTCAAGCCTTGGCCAGCCTTGTCCGCCCGCTGTCGTTACCTAGCATGTGACGCACGTGACTTGGTCGATGACGATTGGAACCGCGAACCTGGAGATATCCCCATTTGCCTCTCCCTCGTAATAATCGTGCATATGTCCAAGCAGACAACTGCAATGCCCCACACCCAAATGCCCTTCGGCCCATTTCATATTGCCTGAGAAATAATTCTCTTTCGGAATTGTTTCTCCTTGACTCTTTTGAATGATCGACCCCTATTGATTACTTCCGGAATGACCCCTGCGAGTCGTGTCGAAAAAACATTCATTTTAGAAATTTGATCTGCTCGGAATTGCACATCGACCACAAGGTCATCGGCATACCCCTTGGTCCCAACCCTCCTTCGTATTCTACGACTCCTTCGCAAACCCATTACGTTCTCATAATCCGACATAATGTCATCTCCGTCACCCACAAGTTCGGGAGCAGGAAAGCGAAAGCGGACATCCACCCTGCCATCTTCAACTGAGAATATCGCCGCTATCGATCAATTACAACCCTCATCGAGAGACGCTTCGGGCGAGGAGGGAGAATCCACTGCCCCAGAATCGGGTACGCTAAGTCACAAGAAGGAAACACCTCTCGACGCGGGCAATCCTCCAGCAAAACGGTTACGACCGGCAACACAAATCAAGATCCCCAATGGATCTGAAAATGGTCAAGATCCCGGCGAGCCTTCAGATACCACTGAAGCGAGTACAGACATTGCAAGCCGGGTTGGGCGAAAAGAACGAAACAAGGAGGCGGATGGCGACAAGACACAATCGATGGCTCCACCCCCTATTGGGAAGTTGACGCATCCAGTCGGATACAAAACCAACCCTCCTCCAGTCGGCAGACCTATCCGAGTGTATGCTGATGGAGTTTTTGATCTGTTCCATCTTGGGTATTCCTCCTTCAGTCTAATCGATTATACGCACTTTAGCTAATACGAACAACAGTCATATGCGGCAATTGGAGCAAGCCAAGAAAGCTTTCCCAGGCGTCTATTTGATGGTTGGTGTAACAGGAGATAAGGAGACACACAAGCGAAAAGGTCTCACGGTTCTATCTGGAAAAGAGCGAGCGGAAACTGTCAGACACTGCAAGTGGGTGGATGAAGTTATCGAAGATTGCCCTTGGATTGTTACGCCCGAATTCCTGGAGGAGCACAAAATTGATTATGTTGCACATGATGATTTACCATACGGTGCTGATGAGGGGGACGATATCTACAAACCGATCAAAGAGGCCGGCAAATTTTTGGTTACTCAAAGGACTGAAGGTGTTAGCACTACTGGTATCATAACAAAGTAAGTTGGGAATACCAAAGGTTCTGTTCATTGTGTTTTCTAAAACTCATGACAGGATCGTTCGAGATTACGAGAAATATATTACTCGCCAGTTCAAGCGCGGTACCTCTCGCCAAGAGCTCAACGTATCTTGGCTCAAGAAGAATGAACTTGACCTCAAGCGCCATGTAGCAGAGATGAGAGATGCTATTCGTTCGAACTGGACTACTACTGGTCAGGAACTGGGCAAGGAATTGAGGCACTTCTGGCAATCCAGTCGACCCGGTAGCCCGGCTCGTATGTCAAGTTTCGACGACTCGAGCAGTCGAAATTCTCTCACCAGCCCATCAGCTCTGTCACATTTGACCCGCCGATTAGAAATTCCAAGAGGAGATAGTTCTGGCTCAGGTAGCGATTTTGCTACTGGATATAGCTTAGGATTGATTGGTGGTGTTCGATCATGGGTAGGTTCTACGCTCAAGGATAACACTCTAGTACTAAGATGAATCACAGATGATGAGAAGCCGCCAAACAAATCGCGATAGCCAGCATGAAAGTGATAGCAGTGAGGAAGAGAGTTACGATCGACGATCGCCACCTCGAGGCAGAACCGGTAAAACAGAAAGCGCTACGAAGGCTCAGGAGGAACAAACCGATGCTCAGATCAAGGCTATGATGGATGAAAACTCAAAAGAGTCAGGGGCCTAGAACAATGAGAGGGTTCATGAGTTCCTTTATGTCTGACGAGCGTTGGTTCTGTCAAGACTTCGATTCGCACTATACCTTCCCCACTTACATATGCTTCTAATGACAAAAAGATTTCGAGGTGATTAGAGGCTAAATAAAAGCTTGTTAAACCTGTACCTGAGGCCATGTGAACGATGATATGCGAAACCTGGAGATCTCAGAGCTCCAGCTGAAACCCGGTGTTGCATTTCACCCGAGGAACCGTTGACTTAGAAAAGATAGAGCTCTGGCTCTCTTCCAGTCCATCATTGCCTGCTTGCCTTCCCCGCTGTTCCACTCACCTATCCCATTTAAAATCAGGGGCCGGATCAAGCTGACTCCAGTAAACATCCCATTTGCCACGTGACTGTCCAATCAAAACCACGGATTAGAAATAGGCGAAGGCCTGACATCGACGACTTCGACCTCTTGAACCCCACAGAATCAACGCCTCTCCCTCACATCTTTCCTTTCGTTCTTGTCAACGCCCAATTGACAAAATGTTATCCAGTACGAGAACGGCCGCGGGTTTGGCGCTCCGAGGTACGCTTGACTGCACACCATAGCAAGCTCTCCCGCATTTGCAACAAAAGCTAACACAACCAACTTGCCACAGCCAAACCGAGCTCCGCCATCATCCCATACCGGTCAATTGCTGCGATTTCGTCGTCGTCCGCGAAGCCTGCGAATGCCGTGTCGCCGCATAATGTGCGAGGGAACGGGTCGCAAGGACCGCTGTTGAGCGTTACCGGCAAGGAGAGGCGCGAGGTGCCATTGCCCAGCCAGGAGGGCAAGAAGGGCGTTATGCAATACGCATTGTACGTGTACCCACCGGATTCCCCTCAGCGGAGCTTCCCTCGAGGCGGCACGCGTTGTCGAAGTGGTTGTGGGCGAAGTGAGGAGCTCCGGATCCGGAATCGAGGCTAATCCGTCCTCTCTTATCTTTCTTACAGGACAACGCTCGATCAAATAACCAACTGGGCCCGTCAAGGCTCTTTCTGGCCCGTGACGTTCGGTCTTGCATGCTGCGCCGTCGAGATGATGCACTTGTCGACCCCCCGCTACGATCAAGATCGTCTCGGTATCATTTTCCGTGCTTCGCCGCGACAGTCGGATGTCATGATCGTTGCCGGAACTCTCACGAACAAGATGGCTCCGGCTCTGCGACAGGTCTACGATCAGATGCCGGACCCCCGGTGGGTTATTTCCATGGGTAGCTGTGCGAACGGTGGCGGTTACTACCACTACAGCTACAGTGTGACCCGAGGATGTGATAGAATTGTGCCGGTTGATGTCTACGTCCCTGGATGCCCACCTACCTCAGAAGCTCTGATGTACGGAGTCTTCCAGCTTCAAAAAGTGAGTGCCGAATCCAAAGCTGCCTCCCTATCGAGATCTACAAGCTAACCACAAGCTCCACAGAAAATGAGACACACAAAGATGCAAGTTCCCTTCCCTTCCTCCCCGCTACGAGAGATCCTTGAGCTGACCGTATACGCAGCACGAGAATGTGGTACCGGAAGTAGACTGCTCGGAGGAGGACTGGGGATCGGGGAGCCATTTTCCTGCTGTATAAAGTTTTTTCAGTCCGCACATAGGCATGATATGATGCTTGGGAGTTCATTTTTGTCTTACAGTCTCAGAGAACGCATACCTTGCGCGCAAAATGCTGCACCTGATCTGATATCCTCTTTCCCGTGCTTCTGGCGAGTTTCTTTTGTTTGATCTCCGTCTCTGCCCCCCTCTCTGTAACAAGAGGCAGCTGCAGTTGACCAGGTATACTGGCCATTGGTTGACCTGGACCTGGTGATTGGTATCTTTCCTTTCCGTTCTCATTCCCATCCGTGCTTCCTTTCAGTCACGCTTCTTGGCCTCTTCTCATAAGAGCTCTCAGAACTCCCTAGATCTGCTCAGCTGTACTATATCTGAACAAGTTGATATATACAGAGCCCAAAGCCATTCACATCTGCATCCATACACACATACATACCTATCTCACATTACAGATTCTCGCACAAGGCCGCGACTAGGTGTTAGGATCGTGCTTGATTCTTGTCACATAAGGTACTAACCATTATTACTTATATTAGCTAACTGAAGCGATTGCCCGTAAGCTCTTCCCAAAGCAAGGACAGACAGCCTGATTAACACCCTTCCATCCCAACACTCCCTCGCTCCCCACTTGAAAGCAAAACGCTAAAATCTCAAAAAGGTGAAAGACTCAAAACAAGACAATTGAAAGCTTCCTCCTCACTCCCAACCCCGAACAACAAACAACATTCCCCACATATCTCCCCTACGCGCAAAAAAGGGGCCCTTACAACATGGCACCCACGAAGCCGGCAAGACCCACGAGGACACCGCCCGCGTTGATCATGACATCTCGTGCCGCGCCGCTCTTGCCAGTCGCGCTGGCGCTGGCGCTCGCAGCGCTAGTCGTGGAGCTCGCCGTGGCGACGGCGCCGCTGGAGGCCGTAGTGGCAGCGGCCGCGGCAGACGCGTCGGTGGTCGTGGCAGCAGCTGAAGAAGTGGTGACGGCGGCCTCGTTGATGGACGAGGAGACGGGGCGGGAGATCGGGGTGCTGGTGGACGAGGTGTAGACGGAAGCGTCATTGCAGTAGGTCTCCTGGGTGGAGAGGACCGAGGAGTAGCGGGAGTCGTCAGGGCATTGCTGGAAGCAGCTGTTGTGTGGAGAGATGGGAATGTTAGCTATTGTTTGTTTCTTCTGGGGTTGGGGAGAAGGATGGGAGGGGAGGGGCACGTACACGAGGACGTCGCTCCATTTCTTGCAGAGGCAGTCGTAGTCGGTGGTTCCGCAGCCCGCGGCGATGGCTTGGGTGGATGCGAGGCAGGACTCGAGAACGGGCTGGGCAGCGCAGGCTGAGTTGGTGCTGGCAACGAGGGTGGTCTGCGCAGCGGCGACGGAGAGGAGGAGGGCGCCTGGGAGGAGAGAGAGCTGCATGATTGTAGATAGATAAAGGTAGAGGTTGTAGATGCTTGATGCTACAGTAGACAATGGAGAGGTGTGAGGAAGATTTGATTCTTGACACTTGAGAGATTGTGAGAGGAATGGTAGAGGAGGCAAACACAGAGAATGTCAAAAGAAGTGAAGCTGTACAGACCTCGAGAGAAGAAGAAAGAAATCAACAACAACGCGTGCACTTGAGGCTTGTCTTCCTAACTCCCCACGGAGCAACGGGGGGGAAGGGGGGGAAAGAGACACTTGCCCCCCTTTGGCACCCATTGATGCTATCCAGTTATCAAAGAGGAAATTATACACCATTGTAATCGATAATAACCAAGAGCCAAGCCTAAGATAGGGATATTATTTACCGGTCTGGACCTTCTTCTCTCCTCTTCCAATCCACCGCTTGGATCTTGCGGACCTGCATATGTGCCTAGCGCCAATATCCATCGAGTTGCGATGGCAACCGCAGAGACAACGACGACACGAGAAAAGCTCTCAGACCGCCAATTATATGGTCAACCAATCTTTCAACCCCAATACATCTCTACGTGTGTATACATACATATGCCTTTGCATCTACAGTACATTACAACTATGAGGCCTTGTACATGGTAACCCACAGTACGCTTGTCCGTGAGATGCGGCGCGCTCGGACCCGCACGGTATTGCAATAATAAGAAACATGGAAATTTTGCGGCTTTCCGGGTCAAGCCTCATGGGGTTTTGGCGGGCAGACTATTGTATTGGTCTTACCCCCGGATACGAAATACGAGGATCAGGGGGAAGGGGTATTGGGGTAACACGAGTACGAAGTAGGCAATTATTAGACTATTCCCGAAGGTATATTAGCACGAAATATGATGGATTATATACTCCGTCGCCTTGCTTGCTAAGAAAAGTATATATATGAGATGCCATTCTAGACTGAAATCTATCAAGTATCAACGCCGTTAAATACTGCAAAGGCCCGGCAAATTGATATCATACACTCTTCCACCCCTCCTCCACCCGCGCTCTACCTTCCATATCTGCCCATCCGCAGGGAGTCAACGACTCAAGAACTACAAAGACACGGTATCTTCATATTCTTTTGTTTGTTGGTCAATGCTACTGTAATTACATGAGCCTCTTCTCCATTGCTTACCGACCGTGAATATGCCTCCCAACGACGCGGAGTCGCTGCTGACTCCGCCAAAAACAGCCCCTGGGCTTGTGACAAGCCGAGCCCCCTGAGTCTGTACGAAAAACACCGTCAAAGAAACGAAATGCAACCAGTTGACAAATCATTCCTGCCCAAAACCCATCGTCTCCTCTACCGCCATCGTCAATTTCGTCTGCAACTGCTCCAGAGTCTTGTATGCTGGAAGATCAAGTCGGTTGAAACTAAGACACGTCAGTACGCTAGTGGAATAACATAGATGCTTGAAAGGAACTTACCATGTATGAGACTTGGGCAGATTGTTGATTTCTCCTTGCTTTTCAATTGTGAAGCGCCTTGGCCCATCGCTTCCTTGAAGGTCTTTAAACCCATTGACAGGAATACGGGAGGTTCCCGTAGCAAATTGAAGGAGACGAGACTTTTGTTCTCCGTCCCAGCTCCGTATGGTCTGCCAGAAGAATTTGATGACATCATCAGATTCGGTATATCCTCTGTAGTCGGTATGCTTCTTCCAGTCGTCAACATCAATCTCCGCAATCCCACCGATCAACAGCTCAAGTTCACGCTCATCGAAAACGTTGACAAGCTCAGCGGGGATCAGCTCGTGAAATCCAGTGATGAATGCTTGGAACTGTTCATCAATACGCTTCTGGATTCTCCACTTCACCATCAGATCTACGTATTCCTTCTTATTTTCATCAGTGACCTCGATATCCCTTCCACCGGGCTTGAGATCCTCCACAGTTGTAACCCCAAATCGTTCATCTTCAGTAGAGAAGGTTTGCTCTAGAACACCCTCGATGGGATTGTCCAGCATCCACTGAAGACTACGATGGAAATCAGCATCGACACCCTCCATGTCTGATAGTGTCACCGGCTTGTTCAGCATCATTTTGTATAGAGCACCGATGAAGAATGCATCGAGGAAACGACGGTGGAATATAGCGAGGCCGACAACACGGCCAATGAATTTAAAGTAATTGAGATGCTCCGGATTGATGCCGGAATGAGGGTTGATTTGGAGGGTGTAGTTGTCGTGAGCGGAGTATTCGAACAAGCAGTAGAAAGGATTAAACATCTCGTGAGATAGGAGGAAGAAGAACTCTCTCGAAAGACCACCGTAATCGAGACCATCTTCACCATCGAACTTGATCATCAGACGCTTTTTGAGGTCCGTCGCAGACTGGCGCATAATCTCGGCGTATGAATCCTCAAATATATGAGATCTCCGGACCTTGACGTGGCATTGCCCGGAAAGGATTCGAAGGGCTGGTTGTGACCGGAAGTAGATAAGCTTGCGTCTGAAGTCACGTTTGTATTGTGGAACGTTCTGGTCCAGCGATGATGGGAGTCGCGGATCGTCCCAGGTCGTCGTTTTGGTATTGTGATCCACGAAATATACTCGGGCTGTGTTCGTAAGTCTCATCTCCCACCCACTGGGGAGAGCACCAAGTTGGGAGACAGGTTGTTGTTGAATGGTATTGTTCGCATTCTGGCCACCGTACATGCGGATATATTGCTGACGTCTTGGATCGACCCAGGTCGTTGTTCGGGTGTTGTGGTCAACAAAGTACGGACGACCTTCGGGCGTATGTCTCATTTCCCATAAAGGCGGGAGTTCTCCGGTCCCCGGGGTGGTAGCACCTGTTGCTACCATTGTAGCCGCATTTGCGGCATTTCCAGCCTGTTGTTGTTGGGTCAGGTTGGGGGAATTGGCGCCTGTTCTATCTTCTGGTAGTGTTCGGTTCTGATGCCTTTGACGCTCAACTTGAGTGTTGGCATCCCGTTCATTGCGTTGGCTTTCACTAGTACCACCAGCAGATGGACGATTCCAGCTCGTGGATCTAGTGTTGTGGTCCACGTAGTAGGTTCTCCCCAGATTATCCTCCCGCCTCTCCCATCCAGCGGGCAGCCTACCTTGTGCATCTTCGAAGGAGCTGAAGGTTCCATTCTGTCGAGTTGACTGGGCGCCATTTGCTTGTGTAGTGGCTGTGGAAGGACCGGCGCTACCAGCAGCGGGTGCATGACCTGGGGTAGGGCCCGTAGACATCGTCCCGTTTGGCGTATTCCCACTAGATGCTTGTGGACTATGAGTGGGAGTTGTTGCCCTTGGGTGGCTAGTCGAATTCGATGCTTGCGGTGCGCTCAAAGAATGTCGGCTTGCGTTGGAGTGGTTCGGCGGAGCCAAGTTCTCTCGTGGGGGTGAGTCTAGATTTGTAGATAGATTGATGATAAGCTTCCCATGTACAACCAGATTATCCGTTGATTTTTTGAGGTCCCGGGTCAGCATCTCTGTGAATAAGAAGTCAGTAGCGGCTGGTGAATCGGCAGCTATCCCCATCACTTACGGTCTTCGCCGGAAGAGAAATCCACCACATCTCCAACTCGGACGTTGATGACTCCCAAGAAACCTTGATCCTTCTTTTTGAACTTCTTCTGGTCGAATATCTGTACCGCTAATATACTGTCTTCTGTCGCACGTCTATCACGACATCAGCATTTGCTCCGTCCTCGGCGAAACAGGGCATCCTCACAAATCAAAACTCTCATTCCAATATGGATTCAGCGTTCTCTTTATCACAGACGTTGTCTTGGTCTGCTCGCCGCCCAAGGTTGCCACGGCGAAAGGGTCGGGGAAGCCTGTATCTCACGATCAGCATGCGAGCTCGTCGTGGGGGGGGGGATCATAAGAGGGGTTGCATACGGAAAACATCACGCTTGTAGAGCCCGTCGGCGGCAATTACTATAGAAATGTCAGCATCTCGCAGACACGGAAGAGGGAAGCAAGGGATGGCAGACTGGTCAAGCGCAAGTTGGGCTGTCTGGGAGGGTGTCAGCAGCGTTTCTCCTTCCTATGACGAGATGAGGAAAAACTCACGCGGGCAGGCTGGAATCCATCCTGCTGGCCATGGTTCACGGTATGCCAAGAATGGCGGCAAGGTTCGCAGCAGCAGCGTCAACGATGCCTTCTCGCGGACGTGTATCGCGATGGTGGTGTCGAGGGTTCTGGATGGAGGAGGCTCCGGGTCCAGATCTCTCAGTTGTTGCAGCGCTGCCGTACCAAGGGTGGCTGTGCACTCTTGTGTACGCAGCTCTCCGGCGCCCTGCCGTCGACGACGATGTCTGACTGATGCTTCGAAATCACCTCGAGAACTCTACGCACATCGGGATCGTCGATTATTCAGTGCGACATCAATAGAATAATGGTCTCGCGGGCTTGGAAAGGATGTCTTCCTTCGCCGCAGGATAGTCCCCGCGCTAGATTTCTTTCGGCCTGAATTAGGCGACAAATGCAATCGCCATGACGAAAATAGCAGTGCGAAGGGAATACCCTTATATCAACTCTGGAGGGATCAGCAGTCTTCGCCAGCCCCGCTATTAGGGGCGGAATAGTGAGGATAGACTTCTTCTACGGCGGAAATTCCATGATTGTGGGGTGGAAGAGGAGAGAAAAGCGCATCTATCTTGGAAAAGCACATCTACCTTGGAGCATCGGATGAGCCTGCACGTGCCCAGTTTGCAAAGGTCTTTCTCATGAGTTGACTCCAGATTCCAAGTCCAGGCATGGGGTGAAAATCTTGCTATTGCGGTGTAAATCAACGCATGTGTGCCACTGTCGCTCATCTCCAAATTACCCTACATTTTGTTTTTTTTGAATCCACCCATAACCATCCAACGGTCAATATGGCGCGTAACCCCGACCACGACCTCGATAACCGCCGCGGTATCCTCCTCGGGGTGGGTATCCTCCGCGTCCACCGTAGCCACGTCCACCTCTCATGCCGCCTCTGCCTCGCCCACGGGTCATACCTGGGATATTGGTACGCTTGGGAACGACCTAGAGAGGGAAGGGGTTAGAGATCCATATAGAAGCGTTGTAGGCGTAAAGCTCACCTTCAGGTTACGTCCATGGAAGACACTCTCATTCAAGACGAGAGCTTGCGCAACCAGGCTTGGTTCAGTGAACTCCACGTACGCATACCTGCATACCCTAGATTAGCAATCCATCTCTTGCCAGGTAGCGCTGACCATATCGGTTCTTGAAAAACGTAGCATCAGATGAAGACGGATCGTGGGACGGACCCCTTGGGATGGCCGGTGAACTTATCCAGCAGAATGGTAACACGGTTGATGGAGCCGCAGCTCTGGAAGTGCGCCTGGATCTCCTCGGGTGATGCAGAGTAATCGACGTTGCCGACGAAGATGCTTCTTGAGTCGATGTCTTCCTTGTCCTCTCGCAAGTCATTACTCTGTTGGTCCAGTGTCGCCTGCATCTCCCTGAGCTTGGCTGCCTCCTCTTCCATCTCCGCAACGCGGCGCTTCATTGCTGATATCTCATCCTGGGGGGAGGGTCAGTCAGGATGCCCCACGAAGGTACCTATCTTTGCGCAGTCGCGTACCTCTTCGTTCGTCTCATCCTCAGCCGTCATGGTCTCCTCCTCAACCTTAGGCTCTGGGTCCGACATCTTTGCCGCGATGTTTGTAGGAAGTTATTAGAAGAAGTCGAAGAACGCGCAGAGAACGTGTTAAGCGTCTGTCGCTAAATAAGGTTAGCAAACCGTGACAGAATCAGGCACAATTGTGAGCGACATCTGAGTGAATGAATTCGCGATTCAAGGCCCAAGGAGGCAAAGCAAAGAGCTATAGTTGCCGCCCGCCGCTGCCCCTCACGCAGCTCTTTGTAGGGTTGGCAGAGGAAAGGAGAGCCATACCTGCAGATTTCAGATTGTCCTCTTCTGTGCTGAAGTGCAGGACGTGATGTTCGTCAAGAGCTTTGCTTTGCGCGGAGGTATCGAAGTTGCGTGCAGCCTTGCCATCCCAAGATTCCCTGCTTGTCGGCTACAGGCGACTCTACTAGCGTCAGATTCTCCACCCGAGAGAGCTCTACGCCAAGACAGAGAAGAGCTACAATCGACAACCCCATGATTATTTATTAATAGTAGTATATCTACTCGATATCCAGGTTAAACAAGCTCCTCTAATATCAGGAAACAGGACAGGACTTCCGCCATGTCGGTACATGCATACAGGACGTCCGCTCAAAAGAAAGAGTCAGGATCGCGCCCATCGCGATAAGGCGTGCGCCACGGCCGCGGATCTCCTGCGGGCCTTGTCTTCAAACTCACCTCCTCTCAGCTGTCCACATTCTCGAGTCAGCGCTCTCCTACTCCCTCTCTCTCTCACCCTCTATCCTCTCCTCTCCCTCTTAATCCCCTACAGTGCAATCAGCACCACCAATCCCCACCATGTCCACTTCTCCCTCTAGCACCTCGCCCCTCCTCCACGCCTCGCGCCCCGCCCCTCCCCCGCGCAGCACCTACACCAGCATCCGGCAGCGCATCAAAAGCTTCCTCTCATCCCGCGCTCAGCACTACACGGTGCTCTCTCTCGTGACCCTGGACGTGCTGGGCATCTTCGCCGATATCATCATTAACCTCTATGAATGCGATCAGAAGACCGTCGATCCGCGGTGGGATGAGGCGCGGGATGCCCTGGGCCTGCTGGGGCTGGGGTGTAGCTGTCTGTTTATGCTTGAGCTGCTGTTGAGTATTTGGGCTTTTGGATGGGGGTATGTCTTTCCTTTCCTTTCCTTTCCATTCCTTCACTTGTTCCCAAACTTATAACATCCCCCTCCCCCCCTTTTTTTTCCAACCCCTGAAAAAAAGCAAGTAAACAACCAAAGCTAACCCAATCCCCCCTCCCCTTTTTCTCAACCCAGATATTTCAATTCCCGCTTCCACACCTTCGACGCTCTGGTGATCCTCGCCAGCTTCCTGACAGACGTCGTGCTACACGGTCTCCTGGAGGAAGTCGCATCGCTAGTCGTCGTGCTGCGGCTGTGGCGCCTCTTCAAGATCGTCGAGGAGTTCAGCGTGGGTGCGGAGGAGCAGATGGAGGGCTTGCAGATCAGGATCGAGCAGTTGGAGGCGGAGAATGGGGGCTTGAGGGAGGAGCTGTTGAGGTTGAAGAGGGGGAGGGATGAGGAAGAGGAGGGGGGTGGCTTTTGAGGATGGGGTGGGTGAGATGGTGGGCTGGTTGCTGTCTTTTATATATCCTGCTTTGGTTCCTAGCACTTGGGCTCTATTGCCGGGCAGGCCTTATCTTGATGACTATACAATGGTTTCTCTACATGGATGAGGTAAGTCACTTGGGGAATATTTGAAGCATTGAGGCACACCGCATTGCACTGATATGTATGATTCCTACCGATCCATTTGTCTGCAACTTCATAAGGGGTATCAAAATCCGGGCTTCGTATATTTGAACGTTGAGTAGATCTATGATACAGCAATTCTACAGAAGAGAAGGGTTTTTCTATGCCTTAACGTATGCAGCAACGCAGCGCATGTGCCTGACAGACAAAGCCCAGAAGAACATCTAACATTCCCTCATTCCCACGGCCCCGGGAGGGTACGATAACCCCTCCCGGGATCCGCATGAGTATATATATATACTCTGAACACAGAAGCTCACTTCCGGCTGCGCCTATCCTTCGTTTCCTTGACGGGGCTCACAAACGTGACGTGTTTATCTTCTTTCCTCAGCCGCATGCCGTCCCCGCCACTGCCTGACCGGTTTCTTACCACGGTCCGCGGGACGACTTTCTCCACCTCTCCATCCTCGATGTCAATTTCCGCAACATCGCTGCCTTCATCCTCGTCCTCGGAACAAGCACTCTCGGCATCATCGTCCCCGTCATCATACTCTCCATCGTCACTTACAAGACTCGGCGCATTATTGCTAGTGACCGTGTTCGGGCTGAGGTCTACCAGTGAAGGCCCCATCATATCCAAATCACCATCGGTGTCATGATGGTGAAAGGCATCACGGTGGTCATTAGCCAAATTCATCGTCGGCCGGTTGTGGTTCGCCGTAGCCGTGGTATCAAGAACCGGAGTTGCGAACGACATGCGGGGGGAGACCCCCTGCTTTCGAGCGTTTTTGGCATCGACACCCTTGCTGCTTCCAGGACGACCAGAGGGCGCTGGGGACATGGCTGTACGGGCAGGCATACGCATGGGAGGTAGAGGAGAATCGGTCCCATCGAAACGACCTGGCCCGGGCTGAGGGAGGCTCTCGCCCTCCTCGGATTCCTCGCCATGCGAAGATAACTCTTCGAGGTCGACCTGCTTCTTAGCCTCGCCAACGATCTCTGGGAGATTGCCACCAAATCCTCTATTTCGCATGAAATTCGAGAGATATGGGGTCTCCGGTGAGGGTACGAAAGTTTGTGGCGTTGCTCCTGGTGTTGAATTCAGACCAGTGCGCCTCATAGGTGTTGAATCCGGACGGCCAGGTATCGAAGTCACACCTGGAAGCTCTCCTTTCTCAAAGAGTGCCAGGGATGTATCTATACGAGACAGGAGGGATACGTAGGCTTCTCTGTCAGTTGGAGCAGTTCGGATCAGCGGATGTACGAGACCAGTGGCAGCTGTTGCGCCCCTGTCCTCGCCCACAACTGCGCCTCCCTCGTCGAGCTCGATGGGTTGTCCGCATGCTATTGCAGCTTCCTCGTGACTCTTATATTCCTTGCGGTGCGCTATACGGCAGTGATTGATGAAACCTTGGGTACTGGAGAAGTTCTCCCGCTGACAGTCGTTGCATACGAGCTTCACCATCTGGCCATCCTCCGCACGTTTGAGAACGCAAGGACCAGCCTTTTCTTTAGCCAGAGGATAGCCATTAGATAGAGCCTGAAGTTTTTGACCAGCGGAGCCTCGTTGAGATCTAGCCTTGCTGGCGGTCGAACTGCCCTCAGCAAAGCTGTGCCGGGTAGCCCGACCTTCAGGAATAGTCTTACCAGCACGTGAACCGTCATAGTTGGGATACCAGCCGGCTTGAGGACCGTCGAAGGCTGGATCTGGAATGAGCCATTTTGCATAGTGCCTTGAATAGGGGCCATCCGTGACCCCATATGGCGCAGCCCACTGCGGTACGGTGTCGCCGTGTCTCACGGCTGGGCCGGTACCGTTGCTGACATTCAGCATGGCCTCGGGGGTTCCCTGGGTGACTGGATAAGGTATCAGGTGGCAGCGCCGTAGTTGCTCCAAGGCGGCTTGACACTTGGCCAATTCCTGGTTGATCAGGCGCAATTCATCGTGCTTCAGCAAGATTTCCAGGCTGAACTGCGACTCGATAACCTCGCGGACGTGCCGCGAGTCCACGTTCGCTTTCTTCTCGGCGACTGGAGCCTCCTCCTTGCTCTCCATCTTGGGCGACGAATGGTTCAACGCGTTCGGTTTCCATCGCTTTGCTTCATGTGTACCCCCCGTTGTTATCTCCGACCCGAGCGCCTCCTCACTGCCGGCGCGTTTCCTCTTGGGCGCGCCGGATGACAGGATCTCGACGAAAGGGCGTGACACGTTCGCCATCTTGTGGTCTGCCTCTCCATTTACCACCTTGTCGCAACCCCTGGATTCGGAAATCCAAGACGGGAGCCGGAACATTCGCATACAGGAGAGGGTGGGCGCGGGTAACTGCGAAGAGGGCGCGTCGAGGCGCCTTACTGACGTGGGTTGGCGGGGATAGGCGACAAGTGGTGAGGCTGCGCCTATCTTGAACTCATGGGAGGGGAGTGAATACCGTGTTGTTTTGGCGCTTGGTGTTGTGTCGCGCGCGCAACTTTCTAGCGTACCGTGACGTCGACAACTAAGGTAGAGCCAACCGACCGGCGCAGAGCCCCTGAAAAGCGACAACCAGCGATGCGCGAGGCGGCGCGCTAGAAGAGTCTACACGGGGAATATTAGGAATTACAAAGGGCGTAGAGAAAAAGGCGACCGGCGAAGGGAGTGGGAAGAAGCGAAAGATGGGAGTGGAGTGGTGTTGTTGAGTATGTTTTGTGTAGAAGCGATGTGGTGGAGGGGCGATCGAAGGAGGGGATATTAAGAATGAGTTGGGTAAGCGATGGGGTGAAACCGATGTGGTGGTGGGAGGATGGTGGGAAGATGGTGATGCTGGCGATGATGCGACGACGACGGCGATGATGGGGGGCGAAGACGATGCGCGCAGCGGAGAGGCGAATAACGAGGCGGGCAGCGGAAGGCGGAGAGCGGAGGGCGGACAGCGGAAGCCGGAAGCCTGAAGGGGAAGGCGCTGGCGATGACGAGGCCCAAGGCGAAAAAGGCGAAAGGCGAAGAAGGGGCGAAGGGGGGCGAAAGGCGAAAGGCGAAAGGCGAAAGGGGGCCAAAGGGGAAGCCGCGATAGGGCGATCGATAGGGCGGTCGGGTCCAAAGGGCAAAGGACCGGACAAGAAAGAGCAGGTCGGGCGGCGTCGGTTATTACAAAGGACAGGCGCGATCGTGAGGGTTGGAGGGAGAAGGCGCCGTGGAATGTCGAAGGGTGAAAGAGGATTAAAATGGAGATGGAGGGGGGGAGTGAAATGAAGAGAAGAGAAGAGAAGTAGTAGTAAGTCGTGGAGGGAACGGGAGGGAAGGGGAGAGAAAGGAGGGCGAGATTGGGAGTCGGGGGGGACAGACGAGTAATAGGAGCAAGCAACAGGGCGATAGGAGCCAGCCGTTCACACGTTCTTGGGGGTGTGGATCGCACGGGCTGGAATGGAATATCACCTCGTAAGAACCTTGGAACCGCGGGTCTGGGAACGGGGGATTATTGTTGCCTTTCCGTGCCATTACGCAGGAGTCTACGGGAGCCCGGATCAGTGCCGACCTGTGCCGTGCGGTGCGCCGTAGTCACTGTACGTGTGCTACGGGGCACGGCTGGTGCTTATGCGCAGCGGGCAAGGGTCAAGGATCGGGGGCCTGGGTTTGCACATTTAAATGCAGCACTCGGTGAATGCTGTAGATACGGTAGACATCGTAGACACAGTTAGACACTGTAGACACGGTAGACACGGTAGATACTGTAGACACAGTAGACAGGTCCAGTAGGGCTACTAGATGGACCAATCCTGTCCTGTACACATCCCTCCAGATCCTATCCGGCCGCGTGCATCTCACTCATACCAACCCCCTCCAACCACCCGTGTGCTGTATACAGAGTGACACCAGGGAAGAGCCGCCCATCAGAGTTCAGAACGACCACAAGTCTGAGACCATCCTGAACCCCCTATCCCTGCGCGGGCCGGGACATCAAGTACCACTGTACACTCCCTGACTTGTGGACCATGGGCCAAAGGCTCTCTGGCAATCATACTCGCGTTTGTTTCGGGGCCGCACATCCTCAAGGCTGTAGCCTGTACCAAGGAGAGGCCGCCACGCTTGAGCGCCCCCCCGCATGCATGAAGAGGAAAGTGACTGTTTCTCCTACATCTGACACAGTAGACAATAATAGACAATAATAGACCGCTTTGAAGTTTGGGAAACGCTCATAACTATGGAGAAGATACGGATGAAGAATTCTGCTTGTGGATGGACTTCCAACCAACATCACTATCCAGACCTTACATCCTTTCCATGAGACAGCCTTACCAAAGTCACTCCTCCCTTCCCTCACTTGACAGACGGGGTGGGGCTCTATGCGGATCCGCGTGCCTTGCAGCGTTCATCCCAATCAGGGCGTTCAGGAGCCAGTATTGAACTTTCCCAGAAGGAAATCTAGGTTTTGATTCAATGTGCAATATATTATCTTGTGCGCTCCCCAAAGCGCCGCTGTGTGCCTCTGAATGGTTATATACGGGCCGTGTACCTGCGTGGCCCGCAAGGCTGAGCGACGTTTCTCAACCAACGCTAAGGCCGAAGCGACACATTCAACTGTACCTAAATTCGAGCCGCTTCAGCAGTTTTTCAAGACTCCCCTCCTCAGCACACCCGTCATGATCTCATCCTATATACAACATCCCCCTTCCGCCCCGCAGAAGGCCTGAAGAACGATTCTCATGGCGCGAACTGGTACCCCGCAGGGCGCCGCCCCAGCCCAGCCTAAAAAGGCCCAGCAGCAGCAGACCCGGAAACGAAGTCTCGGGCATTTTAAAGGACGGGGTTCAGAGTCTGCCCCTCCGTCGTCCAAGAGAGCGAAGCAAGATCCACGACCCGGCTCTCGACAGCTACGGCCAGAGTCCGCTAAAGAAGCCGACGACGAGGGGAGTTTAGAGGCCACCAGCGCCAGTGCGCGTTCGACACTGCCGGAAGATCTCACATCCTCGCACGATGTCACGGCGATGAACATCATCTCGTCCTCGCACATCCAGCAGAAAGCCACGCGGGCCATCGAGGCACTAGCGAGCTATCCAGCCGTTCCTCCTGCAAAACCGGGATTGGTCGTACTCCACGCCAAAGCGCCCGTCGCGTCGAAGATGATTACCATTGCGGAGATCACGAAGAGGGAAATTGGGAAGAGTGGAGGGAAATGGTTCCAGTACAACAAGATCGAGCAGGTTGTGGTGGAGCAGAAGGACCGACCGGAGAAGACCAGTGACGAGGCTACGGGGGTAGGAAAACCGCTGGCTGATGCTGATGAGGAGGGCGCGGATAGTGGGGAAGAGGATACAGCATTTGAGACAATGAAGACGCCATTCGAGAGAGCAAACGAGGGCAGGCCGAAGGTTCGAGCGGTTCCTATTATGACCATATATCTGGCTCGTGACCGGATTGACAGTCTGAGGAAGGCTTATGGGTAAGATACATACTCGCGATTCTGCGTCCCTTTGTTTCTTGGATCTCGACTAACTTGCTTCAGGGAACAAACCAATGCTTTGGAAGCATCAAAACGGTAAAGGCATCCGTGCTATTTCTGGGGAAATTGGCGTTCTGGTTGTTAAGTAGACGATACCCGGTTCATGCTTCTCATGAAGCATGCAACACTCGCAGATTTGCACATAGCTCATTCATAAAGTCTCAATTGTCCCGGACTTCGATGCAATCATACAATCGACATTGCAGGTTAAACCCTACTAATCCCCAGCAATTTTACAGGCCCCCGAACGCCTTGACTGTGCCTTCTTCTCAAACGCCGTTTCTGGCTCTCTACACTGGCTCTCCCAAATGTTCAATCTCTTATCCTATGTGCAGATTCCCTCCCTATATGCCCCTCTAATTCCCCGCCGCACAATCCGTAACATATACCTATCCCGCACACTCTGATCCCGGATCCTTCCATCCCGGAGCTTTCTCTCAGTGCTTCCCCTGTTTCTCCTTAGAGGCGTATGTGATGCGGAGGACGAAGTTGACGACGACGGCCAGCAGCAGGATAATGGCGAGGAAGGTCGGGCCGAAGAGGTCGTCGAAGCCGGCCTGGCCGCGCAGGCGGATGGAGCGGGCGCGCCAATGGTATGTGAACAGGGCGTAGACCATGGCGGCCATGGCAATGATGGTGAAGAGGAAGGCGGAGATGAAGGCCGGGCGGTCGCCAAAGTTCAGCATGCCGACGGCGAGCGCGCCCAGGATGACGGTGAAGTTCAGCCATGACAGGAACGTCCGCTCGTTGGCGAAGAATACCTTGGGCTCGACCCGGGTCGGGAGCGCGATCCGCTTGCCTGGTGGGCGAGGAGAGGCGTGTCAGTAAAGTAGGTATGTTTTGCTTGCTTGCTTGCTTGCTAACTGCAGCCCCCATCTCTCTCGCTGATTGTTTCTGGGGAGAGGGGCTCGAGGGTCGGGCTTACCGGGCGTAGTCTGAAGGAGAGGTTGACTTGACATCGTGGCAGGAATTGTAGGAATTGCAGGAATTGAGGAGTGTTGTGATGAGCTGTGATAGCTAGAGGTCCACAACTAGCTGGAGGAACTGGCGAAGAGCGACGACAGGTTTGAACGGCAACGGATTAAAATAAGTAATAATAAAATGCTCAATTGCTGATTTCGTTAAGGCATATACAAAGGTGCAGCTTGTGATACTGTGATACCTGAGAACTTATCACCAAGACCAAGACCTCCGGAAAGCTCAAGTTGTGAAGTCAAGTGAAGCAAAAGTCTATACTGTACACGGGAACGCCCCGCCACTGAACGTGCGACGAGCGAGCTCAATGATTCGACATGGGGCCTCGCCGCCTCATCGACAAGCGTGTGGGGCCTCAGGCATCGCTGAGTGTTGACGTCGGTCCTATTTCGAGTTAGGGCGGCTTTCCCCAGATAGCAACCTGGTTGGCGGAGAACCAGCATCATCTTCGAAGCCTCACGACCGGTACACCAGCTGTAGCCTACCCCTACTTGTTCTTCCCCTGGAGCTATTTAAACCCCTCAAACCCTTTCGACCCCTCCACACGAATCAAGAGTATTGAGAAAGAAAGTATGGCTGCACAATCTACAGCTCCCGCATCAACTGCGACTCCTGTAAGATCTGTCTGAACCAGCTTGATATTGCCTCACGTGTACTGACGTCGTCCAGCCCATTTCTCCCACAAGACTCAAGCAAATCGCAAACGATGTAAGTGGTTACCTTCGAAACAATCCTGTGGTCATCTACTGAGCAACTGAACAGGCGTGCCAAAGTGCTCTAGGGGGAGCTGAATATTACGAACACTCAAAGACAGAATCATGGAACACAACCATTATCGTACGTCCATCTTCGCTCCAGCCTCGCTGTTCATACCTTGCTGACAAGTGCATCCTTCGCAGAACTCTATCCTACGCTCCTTGATCTCGGAATCTTCTCCCGCGGGTGGCACTCCATCTTTCAAATACGCCGTCAACAGCACCATCATACAGCATCTCGTGCCCACCTCTGCTCTCAACAAACCTAGACCTTCCCACGACTCCTCGATATCCTCTACAGAAACCGATGCCAAGACTGCCACTGGCACGGATGGAAAGCCCCACGTTGGACGCAGAGGGATGCATAGCGCAACAGGAGCATATTGGAATGAGAAGACCGACGGGATGTGGAGCTTCAAGTACGAGGGGGGAGAAAGCAAGGGCCTGGATGTGGTCATCAGTGTCATTTGGATCGCGATATAGGTAGGATTCGGCAGCAGGGGGATATCGAAACTGGCCAGCAGGCGTATGGCGGGGTGCATAATACAAAGGAGCCGGAGCCTGTGGCATTCAGTCCAGGCGGCAGTCCGGGTTCGGGAATACTTTGACAAAAGTCTGCATACATATCTAATGATCTGTGAGAGTACCGCGGACCAACTTGAAGTCGGAGTCGAATGCAGAGCATTGTGGTTGCAACGCATAGGGCATTTCTATTTTGGATTCGTTTAGTATGTTATTTTCTCCCCGAGCATTAAGGAAGTTCATGGTTTGCAATCAATCACACCACTACTTGGATTTCCAGCAAGAGTGTCGGTGAACAATGTATCCATATTGCCTGCTCAATTGCCACTCTGTTTAAGCGCCCGACTGCACTCTCTGTCCCTTGTCTCGGGCTTTCCGGCGTGCGATTCAGTTACTGACGCTCGTACTTGCATTTCAAATGCGTCTGCTATCCTATTATTAGCTGGTGGTGATGGAGAACAGGCGTTTTGCCCTTTTGTAATCAACATCCGATGCTTTAGTTCCCCGGGCGGCTGTGCCTGGAATGGATGGAATTAACTCGGGATTTTAGATTTTTTCCTTCGGCTGCAGTTTTCCAGGTTTTCACCGCCCCTCGACCAAGCAAAAGGAACGGCAGCTAAACTGCCCAAGAGCGTAAAGTGCCACTGCCGAGCCGACTTTAGCTACAAGTACCTGAACCGATTTTCGCATCTTCTCGAACAGCAACCTCCACACAACTATCTATATCTATATCGCTGCTCTGCTCTGCTCTCCTCCCCCCGGGCTCCCTCGACAAGGAACCGCGCAGCCTCGGACCCAGCTCAGCTTGTAAGATTTCCTTCCAACATGTACAATCTGTGAGGAATCTCTCAGGATCCTTATCAACTCTGACTAATCGCTGCCCATAGGCCGGGGAATGGTGAGATCCAAGACCTCTTCGTCACATATCTCGATCGGGCGTCGGCGTTGGCTTTGGTTTGTTCAAACCGCTTCTCTGCAAATGTCTGTTCTCGAGTCCACGGCCTCACAATCGCACCTGTTCGGCCATCCCAGTCTCATGCTGTCCTGAAGACAGTCACGGGACCTTCCTCTGAACAATCCCCAGCGATGGAAACAATCGCAGCTGTGGCGCCAGTGCCATCCAGGACCAACTCGCAGGAAAGCGCTATTTCTGATGAGGATTTTCCACTCACTCCCGGGACTGATGTGACGACCCCTGATTTGTCGACACCAGATGGATCTGAGTGCGGGTTCAACGTAACGGCCGATGTCGTGAGACGCCTATCTCTCCTGCCTCCAGTCAAGCATGGTGCTAGCCTGTCATCCCTGCCCACGGAGCTGCAGCTTGAGATTTTCAGCTATCTTGACCGGATTGACTCCGTCTGCTTCGGGTTGACCTCATCCAGGCTGTATGCGATCTGCCGCGCCATGTATGGTACGAAGATACCGCTAAATACACGGCGCGTAGGTCCGAATTCCCTGGAGTCCGCCTGGAAGATTGACAAGCAGCAATGTAGACAATGCGGTATGTTCCGCTGCGAGCTCTGGCAGCACATCAAGACGTGGATGCCGAAAGATCTGGAATACTGCTCGATGAAGCACAACTTCGGATTACCCGCCAAGGAGGGCGCCTCTGAGAGCTGCTACCGCGGCAAGCCGTCAAAGCCAAGACGGTGCGGCCGCCACCCGGTCAGGACGACTACTATCCACCAGGACGATAATAATCTGGAGTCGAAACTATAAATTTTGGAACTGCAACACAGTGCGGGCAATGCCCAAGGCATGACATTTTGATTTAGCGTGCGTGCATATAGATCTTCTGCATTATCATTAGAAGATCCTACTACTTCTTTTGGTGCATAGAAATGGCGTTTGGGTTTTTTGTTCTGCTTTTTTTGGATTTCCCCAGAGGTTTTTTTCACTGGCGTATAATGTACGAGAGTTGTTACAGCTGTCTACGTGGTCACAGTCGAGATCAAGTCTGAGAAGCTCGGATTATTACAGAGATCAGAGATACACAGAGAGATACGATTTGGGAAGGTTTTGTTTCAAGATATCTAGAGACGAGATTGAATAAACCCAGAATATTACCCAGAATCCTCCCGACTGAGTTGTTACGATGCACGCACTGAGCCCCAACTCAAAACCTTCAATATCAAATCCCCAACTTAGCGAACATATTCGCCCATCTTTCATAGCTAGGTAGGTACGGTCCAAGGCGTCCCACTGTTCCAGCCTCATCTTGCCTTTCAATTACCTTCCCTCGTCCGCCTTGCTTCTCCTCTTCTCCTCTCCTGGTCTCTTTACATAAAGGCTTTTTCTCGATCTTCTTCCCTCGTATAGTACCTAGTTCTAGACGACTTCTTGTTCTTGGACGTTTACAAGGATTCTTTTTAACTCGGAACCGATGACAGTAGCACGCCTGGTTTTTTTTGAGCTCCTGCTAGTCCTCTTGCTCTGATTACTGTTCTGCCGAGGGGATGGATATCCTTTTGTGCTTTATCCTCCCAATCTTTCTTTCCCCCCCCCCTTTTTTTTTACCTCCTATACCAATCTTTCATTCGTTCGTCCGCCTCTCCAATTCAAAGCCCAGACCTCACAGGGCATGCATAGCGTCTCAAGTACTGTAACTCTTCCTGATGACGAGGTCCCAGTATATCTCCTTCGATCCATCTTCATGCACCAGGAGCGGAGGAATCCACGCCCAATTTCCTATCTACTTGCTTGCTTGTTTGTTTGATAAACCAGTCCACCTGGGAAGAACATCAACATGTCTCCATTCAACCGACCTTGGGAATCCAAACATGCCATCTCATCTCGCGTCGTGAATTATATGTCTATTCTAGTCTATTCTATTCATCACAGCGCACTATACATTGATTAATTACCCTAGCCAACCCCCCCCCC